CGTCAGTGTTGTCTTGTGGGGACACAGCGTCCTTCCGAAGATATGATTTTCCGAGTCGGCCGTCTAAATCAAACCCAGGTCAGCGTTTTAAGGACTAAGGGGCATCTGAATGGTGACAACGGACCATCATTGTCTGGGGCACATTTGTCTTGCAGTACAGAACAGCCCCTGCATCCAGCAACAAATCCACGAGAGCCGAGTTCTTGTTCGGCGGATCCCGCCTCAGATATTCAGTGTATCCGACCGTTGCATGCCTTCCCTTGACATGGAGAGAATCCTGCCCACCATTCAGTACTAGGGAGTGGAAAGCTTTGAAATGGAGGAACAGCGTACCTTGAGACTGACTGGTAGACCGTGTAAAGGTCCTACGACCTTGCCGGTCGTCTGAAGCTGCTGATCCAGCCACTTTGCTCGTTCAATTCCTTCATCAAAAAAGATCTCAGTTAGACACGAAGTCTTGGTCATGCCGTTAGTGATGATGTCATTTTTTCAATCGACAGGCTAGGCCCCCTTACTGTTTGTTGAGCAACAGCGGCCATCTTGCAGAAAGTCACAGTGACCTCCGCAGAAGTGAGCTCGCCGGCATGAATCTTCTGAACGAGCTCTGATGCAGTTGCTTGTGAGATTCCGATCTCATGGTCGGATAGCAGCCCCGATTTCTGCGCAGTCTGGAGCTCGACGAGGCGTCCATGGCGGTCTGTTCCGTGTCCGGTGATTTCTTTGAGCGTATCGTCGCTGAGAGTCCAAGCCTTCGGAATTGCTTCACGCTGCTTCTGAGAGTGGGCTGCTGCCAGAGCTGCCCAGTCTGAGGACAGGGTTGATCGATTCTCTTCGATGCTGAGGGCGGCTACGGAACCCATTGTAAAGCGCGGTGTTGACGTGGAACGTAGATTGTGTTCGTAGGGAATCTTGAAAAGCTGCACATGGGCAGGCAAAAAAGGGACTTCCGTATTCCAGTCTTTATCTATGCCCTACTGCCGAAACACGTAGCTCGGCATTTCGTTACGAGACCCCGATCACCAGCACACGCGACGCCGACGGAAGGCCGGATGCAACAAGGGTCAAGAAGAAGCTGGGGATGGTGGGTCCTTCGATGCGCAGCGCGGGGTAGCCTCTTCACCAGGGGGCGTGGAATGGAGGGGTTCGGCGCATACATTGCCCAAATCAGGAAAGGCATTGCGCTCTAGGCTGCAAGGGCGGCTTCCAGCATCGGCATGCAAGCTGGCTGCTTGGAGAACCCACCTCGGCATGAATATGCATGTTGTATTTAAGGCATAACGTCGTGGAGTCAGGGCGGACGATGGAATGACCGCCACCCTGTCACACCACCTCGTCCGTCAGTTGTGTAGCACCGACTCTGCCGTTCAAACCTACGTTAACTCAAGATGGCGCCTCCAACTACGTATGCTAATGCTCGGCATGTTTCTTCGCCCGGAAATCCGTTTGCTGCTCAGGAACCTGCTGTACCACCCATGCGCATGCCCCACCTCGAATTTGTGTATCGCATTGTGGCCAACATGGACCAGACAAAGGTGTCGGAGATCAGAAATATTGACGGAGCGGGACTGATAAGGCTCATACTGCCAATCAAGGACGGGGTTATAGACGGGCCTCGGATCAAGGGCGTTATCGTGGAGGACAGTGGTGCAGATTGGGCGGAGATTCCGAATCCTGATAAGGTACGTTGAACCGGTTCCGACCTTGGCGTGAGAACCTGCAGCTAATCTCTGAACGGGGCCCTAGATCTTCACGAGGCTTAATGCTCGATACACTATCAAGACCCATGACGGATTCCATATCTTGGTTACTGCTACGGGAATATTTCGCCCAGGGCCAGGTGTTGAGATGAGCAAGCCGGCGCCGGACGCATCACAAGATGACGTTGAATACTTTACTCAGATACGACTAGAAGCGCCTGGAGATAGTCCCTACAACTGGCTCAATGGTATAGTGCCCGTGGGAGTCATGACCATGTCGAAGGGGAGGCCGATCATTGATTGTTATCGGTTGACCAACTTTCCCGGGGTCACAGCAGAGAACCTGTAGGACTGAGCGCCGAGTCAAAAGGTAGAAGATATGCACTGAGTTTAGATATCTGATGAAGGATGTTTTTTGGTTCTGTTGTTTTTTCTTGCTGAATAATCAGGCATCATGTGGTGTGTTAAAGGAAAAGCTGTTCTCCAGCACCAAGCCCCTAAGGCAACAAAAATATAGCTTTCCTAAATCATTTGTTCTTCTCATGAAGATCTACCAAACGCCTGAACCTCGGGGCCAGAGCAATCCTGATTCTCTTGCCCCAAATGAGAAGAGGGAGGAAGAGCGAGCCAACAGCAAAGGCAACGCACCCAGCCGTAATGAACATGTTTGACAAGCCCATGCTCGTCATCCAAGGCACAAAAGCAGATGGAACGCCAATGGCACCGGCATTGCGAATAAAAGCAATACCAACAAAGGACTCGGCGGTCAACTGAGGGCCATTAGTATGTCATACGGTCGAGAATGGTGTCTCATTTAAGGGGGTAAATACCTCTCTGTAAGCGTCAATAACAAGTGTGAAAGCGATGCCACCATTGGAACCAAGGCCAAAGGCAAAGAATGCACCGCCGATACTGGGATAGATCCAATGCATTCTCTGAATACTGTTAGCCTTGCAAACTTTCAGTGTCCTTGGAAATGACGATGCTTACTCGGGCTGCCGTAGTACCATACATGATCATTCCGCCTGCCATAGTGATGGTCGACAAGAACAGGGGGTACAGTCGCATCTCCGGCTCGTAAATACCATTGTTGCGACGCGCCAAACGAACGACTAGCCAATCGGCAAAAACACCGCCATAGATGCTGCCAAAGACGTTGCCGACGAACGGACCGAGGGCCATGTATCCCACTCCAGCGGGAGTGAAAAGGTAGGGCGGCGCCGAGAAGACAATGGCGTTAGCCTGCAGCATCGTGACCAGCCAGCAGACGCCAGAAGCGAACTGAATGGCCGTGAATGCCACATGGGGCAGGCAGATGACCCTGACTGGCAAAATGAATGTTTCCCACAGAGACTCATTCGATTTGGTGACGAGGCGGTGCCGTTCCCGATACGATTTCATCGGAATGTCGACTTCGCCGACAGCGTTTGACTTGATCGCTGCAAGGTCCACAGAGTTCATCTTCTTTACCTCGCACTGTTCCTGGTTCTGTCCCTCAATCGGAAGTTCCAGGTCGTTAAAGTCGATCACTGCGGTACTTTGAGTGGGACAAATATATTTCGTCTCTTCGAAGAAGAACACAAAGACGACGAAAAGTACAGTCAGGGCAATCGAGATGCTGTAGTAGGACCAACGCCAGCTTTGCGCAACGGCCTGAGCGCCAGCGCCCATGGGAGTCAGGAACGAGCCGCACATGACGGCAATGAAGTAGACACCGTTGGCAGCTCCACGCTGGTGTACGAAGAATAGGTCTGAGATCTGATTATGAAAGCCTTGGTTATCACACTGTCATCCACATCAAATGGGGAAGGACTTGATCTTACGGTCATCTGCACTGCTGTTTCATTAATTGCACCTGCAAGCCCTGTGATGAAGGACGTCGCGATCAACTCCGCGTAAGAGTCGACACGGGACGTCCACCAAGAAGAAGCTGCCAGCACAAGAGTGGAGAGGAGATAGACCGGACGTCGACCGTACTTGATCGCGAAGGGGATGAAGAAGAGGCATCCAACTGCCAGACCGGCGAGCTGGGCCGATTGGGCATTAGACAGCTGAGAGAACGTGACTTTCAGGTCGACACTCATCGGCTGCCAGAGCACTGTTTGGACAGAGAGATTGGTGAACGCTGCTAAGGTAACGACGGTGACGAGACCATAGTTGAGGAATTTACGCCATGTCGGCCAATTCTGTCAAATCAGGGGTTAGCTCTTGCTTGTGTAGCAGGTTGGGATCACGGGCTACGCACCAGTGGCTCATTGGGGTCAGACGATGGAGTTGGCGAGAGAAGGAATTCCATTGCTCCAATAGTGTCCTCATCTGTACAAGACACATGTTAGGTTTTTACTTTTGGGTTCTGACAAGTTCGTTGAGAACTGACGCTGCATCAAAGGCACCGTGCCAGGTGGCGGCGGCGTCGTGTCGGCCATGTTGCGGTTGAATGATGTCGGTGACAACTTATGAATCTGAAACTGGATGAAGAAATGTGAGATTGAAGTCTCAACAACTTTGGTATGGCTGAGTGCTGTGCGCGCGCTGAAGGACAGCTCAAGGAAGGGCAGTGCTGTTTTATGAAGAGTCGGCAACTTGGTGTCTCGCAACAGTGCTGGGCCGGCAACGCGAGTCACCACCCATTCTGATGCAGATTGTCACGTTGGGGTACACCCGACATGCCGGTAGATTTGACGTCAAGATGGTGTCGCATTGGGCTGGTGAACTATCACTGCCACATTATAGGCCTGATCTCACGCGCCCTCCTACACGAAAATCGCTTAGGTTGGCAACGCTATCGACTCCTGGTTTAGGCGATCAATCAACCCCCCGCACTGCTATCTATGAGAAAGAAGCTGGGGTAACGGGGGTGGAGATGGTGTTCAGCTTGTGCTGCTAGTCCTTAAATAGGAGGTCGTTGCGCCCCTCCCCAAGCTTCTGGGAGCATCAACCATCTCGCTCGTCCCCTTGCCCTACTATCCGTCGCTGACTCGTCGGAACGACTTTCCGCAATCTGACCCCGGTCCAGCAGGTGTTGAGGAACGATGGGCGATGGCAAGGTCTAGGACAGGCTGTGCCAATTGCAAACGACGCAAGAGAAAATGCGATGAAGCGCGACCTAGATGCCAGGCCTGCGAGCAACGTGGCATTCAATGCGACGGCTACAATCAGACACTACGCTGGAACAACGGCATCGCGTCACGAGGTCGCTTTGCGGGGGCTCTGGTACCTGAGCTCCCCGAGTCCCCCAGACCTTCCGCAGGAGCACGCGAGTCGCACGAACCCCCTCGCCCTGGGCCAGGCGATTCTTCCCAGATGTCCGAAACAACACCAACGGAGGCTCACGATGACGCGTCTGCAGACACAGACATGATCCTAGACGCGCCGTTGGCCGTCTCCTCAGCGCCGCCATCACCATATTCAAGCCTTGGGGTTGCGCCAACTCGGCCTTCAATGCAGCCCGAACTCTTTGAACAGTGTGAGTGAGCCTCATGAGGAGTAGATTCAGAGAGTGCGCGTTGACTGTTGAAGAACTAACATTTGGCCAGTCTTGTCATCTGGCCTCTTGCGACTGTATGCAACGGAAACCGAGACGTGGATCCAACCTTTCTTCCGGGGTCTCGCAGAGCAGAGCGAAGCATTCGTCTACGTCTGCATCGCAATCCAAGGATACCTGAGTGACAAACAGCGAGGCCTATCTGTGCTATCAATGGAACGTGTCGATCACGCGCTGCAGTCGTTCCGAGACGAGATAGCCTGCCGAGCCAAAACCCTGCATGTCGCTACGACCTGCGCTGGCCTCCTGATGTGCACGTTGTTGGTAAGGTCCCAATTGCCCAGATTTCCAGGCGCATAGACATGCCCGTTAAGGCGTAGCGCCGTCAGCGGTATAGCGCTGATAAACTAACACTCCCCATAGCTTCTACAAGGCCGCCCATGGACGTTCCAGATCCACCTCATGGCAGATCTGTATCAGCTGGCATCCGAGATGCCGGATACTGAGCACGACGAGGCGAAACGTCACGTTCTCGAGGTCATGGGCGTCATGGACCTTCCAAACATTGTCCTTGGCCGATCGAACCCCTCCATCGGCATTTGGAAGCGGTTGCGCGAGACGCAGGATGCTTGGCCAACTGGACGTGTAGGAGGCGTTGAGGTTGTGTCGGGTGTGCCTCGGTCCCTTCTCGACATATTCGCGGGCCTCCTGGACAACGATCCCGAGTACACGGAGAGGAAGTTCTCCCGGTGGCCCGGTCACGTTGGCAACTATCTGCAGTGTCATCTCTGGAGCTCATGGCGTCTGGCCGGCATCCTCGAAGTGCGGCGCCGCCAGAAGCTGAAGATACGCAGCGAATGCGATCACCAGCCATCAACAGAGATCGTATTGTGCCAGCTCATGGCCGATATGGATGCGCTGTACCGCGCGAGCCTGATCCCGCGTAACGGGCACTTACTCGTCAAGAATGCTTTGGCCTACCCGTTGATGACTGCAGGCCTGGAAGTTGGCCTGCTTCGACAGCACAGAGAGTGGAAGGATACGATAGATGAGATACGAGAGCACTTCATGCAGAGAGATGACTTTAATCTCATCAAGGTGACGTTTGAGCTGGTTGAGGAAGCCTGGGTAGACGGGTCAGACTATTTTGACGTCGGTGCAGCAGCTCGCCGACGTGAGGTTGAGGTTGCACTGTTCTAAGATTGAGAAGGACCTCGACTGTCATTGTATGGCGCATCATCGGCAAAGTTGTACTACATCATCATCATTATCCCGGACTCGAGCTTTTGTCTTCTTCGAGTGCAGATCTATGGCTTGCTGCTTCTGATATCATCGCCGAGCGCAGCCTGTCGTGTCCAGATATTCATCCCAATCTTGCTGCCCATGACGACCGGCTCTCCAGCGTGCAGAGTTCTCACGTCGCCAGCGCCATCTTTACCAAGATTCTCCCAGAATACGGCACTCCCCTCGATTGGCCGGAAAACGGCACCTTTGTCGCGTTCGGCGTCGCAGTCTACCCAGCGACACCACGTACCCTCGCGCGGCGCCTCAAGCAAGGGAAACGAAGTGCCGCCTCCGATTGTACCCTCGCCAACTGAGACATAGGCGAAAAAGCTCGTGGCCCGATTGCCGCCCTGCAAAGCCGTAGCCTGAGATGGCGACGTGAACCAGTCGGTGTGGAAGTGATAGTGGCCGCCGGCACTATAGCGAACGAGCTGCAGGGGCTCAAGGCGTGCAGCAGCGGCAGCGTCGAGACCTTGGAAGGCAAGGGCACGCTGGTGGAGGCAGTCGACAAGCTCTGAAGGCGGCAAGGCTGTTGACTCGGAGGCTCGAACGGCGTGGTGTGAGGCGTGACCGTCGGCGTCGACAACAGAGGACTTAGTAAACGTGTCGGCACTGAGGAACTGTCAATTCTGGGCCGGGACGTTCATGTGCCAGATCGGGGGAGACTCACGCTAGGCTCTGGAGTTGTTGACGCTCGGAAGGCGATATGAAGTCGGTCAAGTAGATGACCAGTGGTGATGTGGAGAATATGTGAACTCGGTACGACGGTTGCTCGCAAGTGGAATTGTCTACGGCTGTGACAAGAGGCGCTTGCTCTCGATTTTGGGCTTTGATGACAGCGTTGAACCCCAAAATCGCGATGGCGGTCCTCAGTCTACAGAACAGAACCATGATGACGATTTCACAAGCAATTAGAAATCTTCAAGACCGACAAGGGAGCCCAAGCTTCGAGCAAGTCGATGTCAGCGAAACATCTGGTATTAATTCATTCTTAGTCCCTCAGCCCATCAATTTTGGTCAGCCTGATGGAATAGATCAGATTGGCCCATTGTCATCGCAGGGTCGCGTTCGAAACACGATGAGTTTGGGGTGCACGGCCAGGCAAGCCCCTGAAGAACGCTAAATGATCGATCCCCATCTTTTGTCCCCGGCGCCTCGACATGGGTTGATGTTCAGGGGCAGGCCCCATACGCACCCCTTGACAGATGGAGTTGGCCGTCCGAGAAGGCCAGATCTGAGAAACCTCGTCACGAAATTGGAGCCGAGAACCCCGAGCCTGTAGCTCTAGCGATTATCTTACCATCAACCCAACTACTCAGCCAAGGGTTGCTCAAGAGCTGTCTATTCTCGCATCATTAACCTCACCATGCGCTCCCACGTCTCCCTGGCCGCATGTCTGGCTCTGGCAACCCACGGGGTTTTGTCTTGGGAATTCCTGTCCGAAGCCGACACCAGGCACGCCTTGGACAGCAATGAGTTCAGCTTGGTTGCTTGTGAGTCGTAGTTCAATCCACTGTCCATCTTGCGTCCATTAACCTTAAATAGTTGTCTCGGTACGTCTGCCACACACCAATATGTCATAACCCATGTGGCAGATAACTGACCTTGCTGGGGATGGTTCAGCCCGAAGAGTATACCCTCATCGCTCTATTTTGGAACAGGTCACAACTGATTGACATTTTCTAGCGAGGCAAGCAAGAACTTTGAATCAGAATGGCTACCTTTAGAAGGCCAAGAGTTCGCACTCAGTGTCGACTGCCAGAACGCAGCAACGCTTTGCGCTGAGCTCGATGTCGTCTCCTTGCCAGCCATCCGTATCTACACCCCCGAGGGCCTCCACTGGAGGTACCGCGGGCCGAGGGTCACCAAAGAGTAGGCTGCGGATTAAATTACTCGGGTTTTCCCATGCGTACTCAAAGCTAACATCGGCAGGATCATGGCCTTCCTCCAGCGCATGTTCCACCCGCCTGTCACCGAGTTTGACGGGCCATTGACGCAGTCTTTCGCCCAGGGCGACGACGTCGTCTTCATGGCGCAGGTTGGTTCTGGCTCGGAGAATGACAACATTTTCGAGCGTTACATCGACTTGGCCGACGAGTACCGAGATCGCTACTCGTTTGGTCTACGAAGGACCGACGATGCGACATCCAACATTCGGTGTTTCCAGAACGTAGACCGTCTCGTGCACATTACGTCCGAGTTGGAGACAGTGGAGTCTATGGGTGCCTTTCTCAAGAAATGCACTGCATTTCTGATCCCGGAAATGACCCGTCAGAACGAGATGGACATTCTCTCGGTACGCATCTCCCCCCTCCAGCAATTCTGGCCGCATCGCGTCGCATGCTAACGGAGAGACAGTCTGGCAAGTCTGTGGTATACTTCGCCTCGCCCTCCGCCGCGGACCGCGAGGCGCACAGAGAGGCCACGCGACCCTTGGCCCAGAAGTACAACGAGTACCTCATATTCGTCACGGTGGACTCATCTGCACATCCAGACATGATGGCGGGATTGGGGCTCGACGGCGGTGCTTCTACCAAGGGCTTGAGCGTTCAGAACCCACGTATGGGCCAGGTCTTCCCTTTCGCAGGTTCTGACAGCCAATTTGCGCAGGAGGCTCTGGAAAAATTCATCGTCGCAATCTCAGAAGGCAAAGTTGAACCATGGAGTGGTGCTGGGGCCGAGGGCAGCGATGTGGCAGACGCAGCTGGCGATGGTGTTGCGGGTGGGGAGGCATCGCGAGAGGAACAGTCACGAGACGAACTTTGAGCACGCCCCAGCTGGCCTTTGTCTCCTGAAGTTAGTTGAAATAATCCAAGCAGATTCTGTGGGGCATTGCAGTGGAGGCAGCGTGATCTTGATTGTCTTTCATCAGCCGGGTTTTCAAGCTGTTTGTCTGACAACTATCGCTTCCATTGATGCAAAATGTGAAGAAGCGAAAGATCGCACGGGGCATGGCCATCTGTAGTTTCACCGGCACAACATGACACGCAATATGCGGTCTGCTCGAATTTTCATTACAAACGGCTTAAATCGCGGCCAAAGGAGATCGCTATGATGAGGAAATGATATGAGAAACGAAGAAGCCCTGGGACGCCGGCCAGTCAATCATAAATCCTCCGACCTGAAGAGCTGCCCTAATGTCTGAAGTGGAAAGATAGATCAGAAAGTTGACAGTTATGTCGATCTGGACCAGGAGTGTTGATGTCAATATTCTATTACCAGTTAGTAAGTCTCAGCTCGCAAGTGCCACGCGCGTGGCAGCCCTCACCTTCGAAAAGACCTCAGCCTGCCGAATGCCCATCATTTCGCCGATATGAGTGAGCCGCCCCTTGACGAAAGCCCGATGACTCCTATCAGCAAAACGGCTCATGCCTGCCGCGAGGAGGGGCCACATGCAGGTTACGCTTGCTAGCCCCTTGGGCATCTCAGCGGTTCCGCAGGGAAAGTACGGCGTTGTCGTCGAGTCGCCCGCCCAGCCAGTCAAGTAAGGTGTTGATGAGATGATCTCCTTGACCTGCTCTCTGCCTATAGCTTGCACCTTGCGATATCCTTCGGTATGGAACGGATCGGCTGGGTGGCATGTCCATGCAATGCAGCGGGCTGTGATCTGCGCCAGCAGCAGGCGGGAGACGTGGGTGGTGATGTATTTGCCGGCAGCCCAGACATTAGGATAAGTGTAGATTTCGAGGTCTGGATAGGCAGTGAGGTTCTTGTACGACATGTCCGTCTCATCTTGCGCCTGTGTCGGGGTCGGCTCGCAGGGAGAGCTTTCCGAAGGGTCGAGGCGGGTCAGGCTTGACGAGAGTGGAAATCTGGCTCTGGAGGACGGTGTAGGGGCCGAAAAGGTATTGTGAAAAGGTGAGTACGCTGAAGAGGGCGTATAGGCAGATGCTGACGTTGAGGACTTTCTGGGATTCGATAACGAGCCTCGCAGCGGCGGCGCGGTCCCGGCCGACCCACGCTTCCATGCCGGAGGACAAGCTTCAAACCATTTTACGATCTCACCATCAAGAGCTCGCGCTTTCTTTGAAAGTTCAAGGGCACGTTCGACCTTTTCGGCAGAGTGAGCGCCCCGGAACAAGTGGTCTGCTTCAGCACGGATCAAGGTCGTCTGTAGATTGAGGGTGAGGGCTTGGTGCCCGACACTCTCGGCCACAGCATGTCCAGCCCACCATTTGATGTCCTCGATGGAACACTCCGAGAAGAACATATATTGGCGTATCTTCTCTGGTCAGCGTACTATGCAAATTCTGGAAGGAAATCGGAACCTACAGCCGAAGCTCGGACAACCTCAAACATAGCCACTCCCAAAGGTGACTCTATCAACCTGGGGCCCCTCAGCTTGATCATGGCGGCTGCCCCGCTGATATGCTTCGAAAAGGCCGACATTTCGTACTCGTCGTTAGCGAGTCCCTCGTAAAATGCCAGCAAAATGGATGCCGCGAGAGACGTGTCTTGCTTGGCTTGGTCTTGATCTTGCATGGCGCGCGTCAACTGCTCGAGCGCTCTGGTGTAGTGCACATGCGCGACGGAGAAGAGCGAGCGCGAGTTTGGACGGCCTGCCAGCGCAGCCATCGAGACGGCAGTGAACGCTGAGTGCATTGGCGATGCTTTGTATCTGGGTGAGTCAATGAGCGGGATTAGGAATGTGAAAATGCCGTGGCCAACACCGGCTGGTGGTACGAGGACGTAATTTGACAGAAAGAAGCAGGTGGCTTGTTCGTCTAGGGGGGTGTCGAGACCACGCGGGAGCCTCTCGACTTCGACTGAGCGTGATCTTCGATAGGCCTCATAGCTCTTTTTATTCAGGATGATCTGAGAGAATGATGACGAAGAGGACGGGGATGCGGAGGCGGAGGGGGATGATGATGATGAAGATGATGATGATGACGAGTTGGCGGTCGGTTTAACGGCGTGCTGCCTGCCTACCGGAGGCCAGTCGGGAGAATTGGCGGCAATGCCATTGATCAAGCCATCTCCGGAACCATCGGCAGTGTTCGAAAGGCCTTCTTTGGATGCTTTTCGAATAGCTGCTGACTTGGCTTTGCGGATGGTTGACTGTGTTTCATCGCGAAGATTGATCTCGAAAGCATCACGATACCCGGGGCACACGCGGTTTGCTTTAGCGCACTTCAGACATGCCGGCTTGGTCTCGTCGCACTTTATACGTCGCGACCTACAGAGCTTGCATGCCTTACTGGGGTGGCCAGTATTGACCATGATGCCGATGAGGGAGATCTGTCGTGGATCCAGAAGGAAAACCTTGGGAGAGGGAACGGGTACTGTCAGCGGGAATCGTGCGAAGAATTTCGTCGCTGCGTGGCACAACAAAGAGAACTGTCAACGCTTCGGCCGCGCAGCAGCATGGAGCCTCAGTTGGTCTAGCAGAGTTTCTTTGCAGTTGACAGCAGCTCTTGTTCACAGAACGGCCTAGCACATTCTGCAAGCGAGGAGTGTCCCCGGACGCTAATTGACAATCGTTTCTCCTGATCCGTTCCATCCCCCAGAGTGCCCAGACGTCTCGGGGAGACGTGGACGCGGCAACACGTCAAAAAGGACACTAGAGGAAATGTTTCACCCCCGCCACGCCAGGCCGCCAAACCTTCTCCGGGCAGCGCTCCCGGGTTTTGGAAGGACCAGGCCTGGCCATTCAGGTGGCCAGCGGGCTGGTGGACGGTCTACGGGCCATGAAGGGTCTGGAGTGAAGCCGAGAGCACAGAGCGACAGGCTGATACCAACAGGCCAGGAGACCCTGAACGATGTCTTGGACTTCACAGGGCTGCGACCTTGATAGGCCATTTTGTCAATGATACGGCCCCAAGCGCATGCGATCGGACGAAACGGGACCTGGACGCACGCTGCCGATACTGAAACCGGAACAGGGTCTGTTGGGTTCAGAAAAAGCAAGGACGTCACGACAGTGCAACATTGTGAGCATAGGCATTTCGCGGCCGAGCTTGCAGCGAGGCTTTCCACATCATTGGCCTGTTGAGGCACAGACACCAGAGCTGAAGAACCTACGTGACGACGGTGGCTTACGCGCGGAAATGGAGTATCCAAAAACCACGATTGGACATGGCTCCTCACGTTCGCTGTGGTCAAAATTCATTGTTGTTCAATCACCGCGGTGTGGCGTTGTACAGTATGAGCAAGCTATTTCGCCCGAACTTTCACCCATGCTCGTGGCTGGATGATCGACAGATTAAGCGTGTCGATCATGGAGCGACCCGCCTCTATACAACGCGGATCACAGGGCTGGTCACAGTGGGTAGGGAGCATAACCTCCCTGCCTAAGGTACGCATCTTGGGTCGGATGCACTGCAAGGTTGGTTGACGGCAGCGACGTCAGCTGTGCTCCAACAGAACTATTTTGCCATCCGCCTGGTCCCTCCTCTCTGCAATTTGAAGATGTGACGATAGATTGGCCACTCTCTCGTTTCCAAGTTGCCCCTGGCGGGTCCAATGCCCTATCCGCTAGACAATTACAATTGGAAGCGATCCAATGGGTAAGATAACGGCTCGATCTTGGCTGGAACTAAGGCAGGGGGCAAGGGGTGCCACGGCCCTGAAAGGATGCGCAGGTTTGACACAACAAGGACTGTTGACTGGAAAACCGCGCCTGGTTTCCTCGCCAAGCAAGGGTAAACTGTTATTGCAAACTGGCGCTCAAAGTACTCGGCCTGGCCATACGGTCTCTGGCAGCCGAAGGAACTGAATGCAGTCCAACGGAAACTATCAAATTACTGCCAGCGAACCCCTAGCTCGGATTTTCTGGCAGTTCAGCATGACGCTAAAATCCGCACGCCAGGCAGCCATGACTCCGAATTCCGGTCTGGCCATGTTTGATCTTTTGAAAACACGTTTTTGACTCGTTTGTGATGCAGGCTAGCACCAGAATATGGAACAGACTAGGTGCTAGTGCTTCGTTGTCAAAGGCCATATTACACATCACCCATGACTTCGTTCACGACGTTAGCTAGGCGAGAACATGCTAATATTGAGCTACAAGAGGTATGTAGTACAGCCGGAGTATATATGATGCAACACATCGCTGGGCGTGCCGTTAAATGCAAGGTGTATTGGTCAGCATTCTCCTGGATGGGATGATTCGATGTTGCGTCCCGATGCGGCCACTGCGCTGATATTCGTCTCTGTCATAGAAGCGCCGGAAGTACAGTTGAGAGAAACAATTCAGGAGGCCACTATACTGCTTTTACACACCTGGTGAGTAGTGTCATCGCAAGTGTCCGAAAGAAACGCCCTCCAGAAGGGATCATTCCAGCACATCAAGCCGACGGCACCCTTTTCGGCGGTCGAAGCATTGCCAGCATCGGAGATGTCGGCTGGACATCGCTGCAAGCAACATACCCGTGCTTAACGTATAGGGGTACTACGTCTTGGTCAGCGTCGAGATATGATGCATACCCCAGCGCATCTGCCAGGTTGCTTGCATATTGCAACAAAGCCGAAGCATGGCCCTGGCGGTGATGGAAAGGATCGACGAAAACGAGTTCAAGGTCTTTAATTGATCAGTGTTGAGTCCTGTGCGAGCTGTATGCATTACTCACAAATATGAGGACGCTTGCCCATTATGGTGTCGTGCTGGTCAGCCATGCCCGTGAAGAATTCCTTCAACGTCTCCTTGTCCTGGCCTTTTCTGGCTTCAGGCCATCGCTCGCGCCATGGCCGTACGTCGTTATCTTGAGGCAGGTGCTCAGGCCGGATGGTCCAAACGAGGGAAGCAGCAGTGACAATCCCTACAGATGTCAACTGTCTGTAATAAATGGCTCGCTGTGGAAGATCACTGTCATACCTTCTGGGGTCCTTGTTACCAAGACCTGTGCGTTTTGACCTCCGTGGTCTTTAAAGAGAATGAAACTTTCCCATGCCTCGTCATGCCACGCTCGGCCAACATCGTTAGGCGGGAAAAGGTCTTGAAAGAACTCACCAGAGAAACATCGAAAGAAGATCTCGGTGATTCCAGCGACGTCTCCTAGGTGAGCTATCTCCACCCGAGGTGCCATCATCTTTGAGATTTCTGAGATAAAGTAAGACTCACTTTGTTGCCCGGAGAATGATGGTGATGAGGGACGGGATTGCAGTTCTTGAAACTGGGAAGATCACAACCCGAAGGCCGTCGACGGCATCACGTGAACAACCCTTGCGAGTTACGACACTTTCACTACCAATGCAACGTCATGCAATCTCGAACTATTCGGGACCGGCATATCCGGCGGAAGAAGAAGTTTGGTATCGCCTGAGTGCCTACGTATATGTTTGTCTACTTGGATATGTGCCGCAGGCGAAGAGTAGACAGGTTACCGCTTACCAAAGCGGGAATATTATAGCCTCCGACAATAAGAAAGCAAGATGTATGTCTAGTAAAGTCATTGAGCTTTTGGAGGGCGCTCCGTCCACCTTCTGATTGCCAATTGACTGAACCAAAGGTACTCATTTCAGGCTGCCACTGCCCTCGCCTACGGTATGAATATTCCAGCGTGAGGTGTTCACTACCTCCTTGACTGGCATATTCTATTGTAGCTGGCCAAATTCTGGAGTTGATCATTCGTTCCTTTTCTTATTTGGAGATTGGCGCAATGCATATGCTGGCCAGGAACGATCCTCTGCTGAAGTTGAGGAGTATCGGACACGCAGGCCGAGTCGTGCTGGTCTCGCTAAAGGGGTCACGTGACAGCGCCTCCAGTCGCGTCTCAACGCGTCTTCCCAAGTACGATCAAGTTCAGCGTCGTCCGACCACAGCCAAGACCGTACCCCTTTGTACTACACCACGCGGAACCGTACGCAACTGCAGCCATGTCGGACTTTGAAGATGAGATGGACGTTGATGTCCCCGTCTCCAAGGACATCACATTCTCTTCCGAAGCAACCAAGGGCAAGCGCAGCGCCGCCAACCTACCAGTCGAGGCGGAAGACAGCCTGCCATGGTAAGCCCTCTGGCGCCATCGTGCCCAATAGGCCTTGCCAGAACACCCATTGATATAATGACAGGGTCGAAAAGTACCGGCCCGCCACGCTTGCCGACGTCTCAGGCCACCACGACATCCTCGCGACGATCAACAAATTCGTCGACAAGAACCGTCTGCCGCACCTCCTCCTCTACGGCCCCCCCGGCACGGGCAAGACGTCGACGATCCTGGCGCTGGCGCGGCGCATCTACGGCCCCGAGAACGTGCGGCAGATGGTGCTGGAGCTCAACGCTTCCGACGACCGCGGCATCGACGTGGTGCGCGAGCAGATCAAGACGTTCGCGTCGACAAAGCAAATCTTCACGTCGGCGCGGAGCGGCAGCGGCAGCAGCTCGGGGGCGGCGGGCTACAAGCTCATCGTGCTCGACGAGGCCGACGCCATGACGAACACGGCGCAGATGGCGCTGCGGCGCATCATGGAGAAGTACACGGCCAACACGCGCTTCTGCATCATCGCCAACTACGCGCACAAGCTCTCGCCGGCGCTGCTGTCGCGCTGCACGCGCTTCCGCTTCTCGCCCCTCAAGGAGGCCGACATTCGCGTCCTCGTCGACCGCGTCGTCGACGAGGAGGGCGTCCGCATCCGGCCCGACGCCACCGACGCCCTCGTCCGCCTCGCCAAGGGCGACATGCGCCGCGCCCTCAACGTCCTGCAGGCCTGCCACGCCTCGAGCACGCCGCTGCGCGGGCCCGGCGAGCCCAAGGTCCCCGACGCCCAGATTGTCCGCGACCTCATCACCACCGAGACCATCTACCAGTGCATCGCCGCGCCGCCGCCCGACGCTGTCCAGGAGATCCTGCAGGCCCTGCTGAGCACGGCCGACGTCACGTCGTGCCTGTCAACCATCAACTCGCTCAAGGTGGCGAGGGGCCTGGCGCTCGCAGACATCATCACGTCGCTGTCGGAGGAGATTTACAAGTTGGAAGTTAAGCCCGAGGTTATGATTTCGTGGCTCGACGGACTGGCCAACATTGAACATCGTGTAGCCGGTGGTGCGGGCGAGGCGGTTCAGACTGGCGCCGTCGTGGGTGTTGTGAGAAGCGGTGTCGAGCTGATGAACACGTAGAGGATCTCCACTTTAGAAAAGCCTAATTCACGATGTTATGACTTGCTAGGACTGTGGAAAAGTTGTGCTTGATTTTGATAGTACGCTGCGCAGTCTACCCGCGTGCAGAGGTACCCATTACTTTTTTTGCGCCATTGTATCCATCGCGTCCCACGCGGTAACGCCGTAATTCTCCAGCCCCGAAAAATGTCATACACGGTCGACCTAGGTGTTTCGTCGTCGTAAGCCACATGAATTTCCTCTCTTCTTCGCTCTGTGTGTCATGTCATGCCAAATCTTCAAACGCCAATGCTACTACTCAAGAAACTTCGGGCCACTTGACATCGCCACAATCACCTGCCTGCTCAATGAATGCGTTGATGCGGTTCATGTTCCACCCGCTGCGCATGCGTTTCCTGTCCTCGTCGTCCTTCTTTATTGGGTGACCCATCTTGAAGCTCCAGCTGACAGCACACAGTCCATCATCAAAATGGAATTGGAAGCAACCCGTGATTTCTTCGCAGGCGGCGCGACAGTCGTCGAAAGATAGATGGGCGCGCTTCTCCAGTTCCGTCAACTCTTCAGTCTTGACGCGTCCCTTTTCGTGATCGCCAAACTGGCGGCCGCCGGGGGTTTCGACAAAGTAAAATCGGTCATCGCTGAGGTTGTGCCAGTCGTCTATGGAGTCGTGTAGGCGTGGCTTGACGAACTCGTGGTAAATGTCTTTGATACGTAGAGCGGGTGGCGTGGATGGCATATCCTGGGCAGCATAGCGACGCGACTCGTATTCCCAGAAGGTGGAAATTTCTTCGCTGTTCATGTGATGCATGGTGACAATGGGGTGACACCAGTGGTTGGGGCCGAAGGGGAGGGTGAAAGGCTTCTCGCCGTTGATCGTAGGCCACTGCACATGTTAGAGACGACCTGATAAGCTGCTGAACAGAAGGCCACTTACGGTGTTTCTGACGCGCGTCTGGGTGGTGTTGTCGAGGGCGCGCGCAAAGATGTAGTCGCCACAGCACTCTTGCTGGATCTGCGTATCGAACTGGTTTGCGACACCGGGATGGTCGGCGACCATCTCCTTCATCGCGGCGTGCGAAATGATGTAGCCTGAGCCGCCGTGACCGAAGCTGAACCCATGGAGCATCGTAACGCTCCCCAGGTAGTGCTTCTTGCGAGGGTCGAGGCGCTTCAGCCACTGGACAAGGGTAGGCCAGAGGACGTACGTATCAGCGTCAACGAAGATGTACCATTCGTAGTTGGGTCGCATGTTAAAAGTCTTCTCGGCGATGTGAACATTTTTGTACTTGTCAAGGTTCCAACCTTCATTCTTGTCCACGGCTAGTTTGTTGCAGCTTTCCTGGTCGACGGCGCATGCCTGTTGGCGGCGGTAGAGGTCAAAGTCTTTGTTGCCGTCCATGGCCGCGGCAAGGACGGTATCAAGACTGTCGCGAATCTGGTAGCCGCCGATCGTCTCGGCGAGGTCGGAAAAGATAAAATATTCTGGTACGCACTTCAGCATGGTCATCAGCTGCGTCGGCACACGGTTGAAAGCCTCGGTTGCGCCCGTCTTCATGACGAGAAGTATGTTGCTCGTGTCAGGGAAGCTGTCGCACACCGGGTCCTTGGGGCGGAAGAAGAGTCCATTAGCTGCAGGCTCCTTGGGAGGGTCCTCTTTCGCCTTGGTGTCGGGGACGTTGGGAGTGTCAATAACATCAGGAGCCTCATCGTCGTCACTGGGCGCGACGTGATCGTTGTCGCCCACAGGCGGCGGCTTGTGCGGGTGGCCCGGATGTCCTGCCGGCGCAGGGTGATGCGGCGGTAGGTGCTTGTAGTTGAGGCCGGCGGCAGTCCATTCGCCCAAGCGACTGGAGCTCAAGGCGAGCACGATGAGAGCGCAGACAGTGATGGACACGGCGATGAGAGCGCGTCGAGATAACATGTTGACGGCACCAAGCTTCATGCAGCTTTCATGTCGTCCGTCGAGCCAGCCCATTACTGATGGAGCTTGGATTCGTGGATGCGATGTGCTGACGCTGGTTTATCGCCTGGCGTCTGGTTCGGTTGTAGTTCGATGCAGGGTGGAAACCGGGAATGTAGGTTACCTGAGGTTAAGAGAGTGGCGGAGGGAAGTGTGGAAGGAGTTGTAGGAACTGTCCGGTCGATACTGTGCGACGTGACTTGACATGCGCCCGTCTGCCTGGCCTATTGCGCCGCGAAGCCCAAGGTGACAAAGATCGCCGGCAGGTGGGTGGGTGATACAGGTTGTAACAGGTGGTGCGCGCGTGTGTGTGTGTGTGTTGGAGGGACAAGAGGGATTCCGTTTCGGCGTGGCGTAGCAGCTCACGCGGCAGGATGAGCCTGAAGACGCGAACAACGAGGCTGTGATGGGTGAGGCCAACGCTTGGTTTGTTGAAGGAAATGGAGAGGACGAAGACAAGCCAGGGAAAGGGGGAAGACAGAAAGCTGTCAGCTTGAACTCGAAGGAAAGAATCGAGGACGGTCGAGTCGAGACCCTTTCCGTGTCCGCCCAATCGAGAAACCTCCCTCGCACCTCCTCCCACTGGTGTCATGCTTAGTGCCTGCCTACCCACGCCTCAACCCACGCCACGCCTGCCCCTCCGTACCCGTGCCTCCCCGACGGGGCCGGCGGCGAAGGGAAGAAGGCGTGGAGGGAAAAGCTTGGTTTCGGTCCATTGCCTACTAGCTCCTTCCCTTCTGGTCGACCCGCAATCAGCCCGCCCCGTCGCAACCTTTGAAGCTTGCACCCAGGCCCGCTAGGTGCATCCATGGTACTGTACAGCGCCGCCGCGCCCCGCTGAAGATGCCTGGCGCACAGCTGATCTCTGGGCTTATTTATGGGTTTTTTTTTCAACCCTGGTAGACACCTAGGTAAGGTAGGTAGGCACATTACCTACATGAGGCAAAGTAGGTGCCATGGGTAGGCACCTCAGGAGGCAAGTTGGGCGAGAAGAACGAAAGGACAACTCGGCCGTTGCACATGCTCACAATTGACTGGCATGGATCTGCACACGTTGCCTGCGGGACTACGTGCCTCTGTCGATGAGCTCTACCCAAGCACTCCCAAGCCATCGTACGTCTAGCGCCTGGGCATCTCTCCCATATCTGTGGATTTCACTACAGCAAGCGCCTAGCTGGGCTGAAGAGCAATTTGCAATATCCGCTTGCAAGGTGCCTCAATCCCTTCTGTGCTGGGGGTCCATGCTTCCAACACAGAGGCCATGTAACCAGCCCCGGAACCTCGCCGAGGCGGTTTAAGTGGGGGGGGGGGCACGCAGGACGCTGGTCGTGCGGTAAGCTACGAGTAGGTACCTCGCCTTGCCTTATGGTGTCAAGAGCCAATCGACAGCGCCCCTTGTGGCACGGTTCACTGCAGACGGCGCCCGCACTGTGACATTGCTGTAACCGTGATCTTCGGATGCACCACAGAATCGGGAAATTACACTGTGCGAGCAAACCTCGTATTTGCAATCCTTTTCCTCAAAACACCTCAAGGTCCGGCCACCATCTTACGAGGTGCTTTTCGTCGCCAAGGGGGCGTCATGATGATGAATGTGCCGTCGGCTTGAACCCCATCTCCCGACCATCTCCCCGTCCGTGCCTCAAAGCACGTCCAAGTCCAGACCTGGTAGGCTCTCCATTCTCAGCACAGAGGCGTACACTCGAGATCGGGTAGGCCGCTGCCAGACTCCCGCGAACGCGTTCAAGCTTTTTCGCCCAGTCAAGCCCGGCCATTGTGGTCCCTGCAGAATGCTCGCCAAAAACGGGAGAAGGCGGCAGGATGACACGTATTTTATTTAGCGTTGCGCCGCAATCGACGGGCCACATGAGACAACGTCTCAACAGCACACATGCCTCGCTGTTTGTTCGTGCATCCACTTTGGGCGTGACTTTTTATTTTCCCCTGGCGATTAACGAGCGAGGGAGGGAGGGAGGGAGAGAGAGGTAAAGGGACTTTGGGAACTGCAGGGTGCCATTTCCAGGGTAAGGCATCAGCCATGGCGCTTGACGACCAGTCGACGTCCATGCCGTTGCGACGCCACGTCCGGATCCCAGCTTCCGATCACCCAAGCTCGGCCCAGGCACAGGCGCCAGGAGAACAGTTCCGCGGTGTCTCTCCTTCTTTTTGGGATGTGTTTGTGCCAAGGTTTTATCTTGCTGCTGCTTTGGGATATGGCGCTTGACTCTTCGATGGGGGCTTGCTTGGCCTGGCCGAAGGCATGTCATTTTTGGCACTTTGCCACTGGTCGCGTCGGTTTGTTCATCTTGGTCAGGTCATGATTTTGAGAGAGTGGAGGGGTCCCGATTCAGTTATGCACGATTTGCTAATTGAGTTTGGTCGCCAGGTGAGCTTCGAATGACTACAAATTTTTGAAGGGTGTGCCGTGAAGTTTGAGTTTCACAATACAGCCCATGCAATCGGTTGTCAAGATGCTCAAGGTATCCCTGAATACCCTCTCAGAAGCAACGCGGGGACAGATCTCGTGAGATTCCAATCTCTTCAAGGATGCGCTCTTGGGCGATGGGTCAATGAGAAAGTATTGACTGTAGGAATCAGTCAATTTCGAGACAAGTCACAAGAATAATTCGACAGCGTACGCAACACTGAACTAGCAGCCAGATTGCCAGCAATAAATTGAGTCGAAAATGACCCTGGCTACCTGAAGCTTGGGCTTGATCGCCGTGACACCGCGCGTTTGGCAGTCTTCAGGCAGGGAGCTCGGGGGGCCTTGACTGCCCCGCGCGGGGCACCTCCTACAAGCATCCAAGCACCCTCTGATTGGCCAAAGCGTCGGTTTCCAGAACGCCAGTGCTCGACCTTGAATCTTTTTTTCTTTCCACCCTAGCATCGCATCGTATCGCAGCGCATCGCCTTGCGACGACTCGACCCCCTACACAGGCGTCCCGACGACAATGCATACCGTTGTGCAGCCCAATGAATGGGTGGCCGTGAAGCTCCCCAACGAGAGCATCCGGATCATCCAAGTCATCCCCAATACGTTCGTTCGCCCGCTGCCAATGGCACATTGTAGTAGTTGGCTAACCCGGGTCTGGACAGCACCATTTCGCTCGGCAAATACGGCTCCTTTCCGAGCAACCTCATCATTGAGCGGCCATATCACCTCACATACGAAGTCCAAGACAGACGCGACGACGAGAACTTTAACAGGTTGCGCGTCGTACCGGCCTCCGAGCTTCACGCAGATGTCATTGCCGAAGAGAACGGCGAAAAGGCAGTGCCCGATGAGTCGGCGGAAGCCGACGCCGACGTCGACGCCGACGCCGACAATGACGCCAGTGCCGTTACGTCGGCCAACGTGGTCGCCGTCGAAGACGGCGCCGACTTCACCCTCGTCGACAAGGCCAGCGGCACCGTCATCGCCCGCGAGGGTCGCGACAAGATCGAGGCCGAGGCGCGGCAGCTCCTGACGCAGCAGGAGATCGAGACGCTGAAGAAGCGCGACACGGACGGCGGACGAGACATAATTGCGAAGCTCTTGCTGTCGCACACGAGCCTCGATGAGAAGACGACCTTTTCTCTGGCAAAATACAAGATTCTCAAGAACAAGAAGTATCTGAGGAGGTTCTCGGTCCAGCCTCTCTATGCTTCGACACTGGGCCAATTCGTCCTCGAAGAAAAGGAACCGAGCAAAATCATGGAAATGAGGCACGAGGCCTTGGCGCTGCTCGGATGCTGGGGCCATGTCCACTATGGCGGAGAGGAGATTGAGGGCACACCCAAGGTTGTCGCGAACAACGGCAAGCCTGTGGTTGAGGCGTCACAGCTGGGCGGCCGCTGGTTGGTCGTAGACGACACGGGAGGTCTGGTGGTGGCGTCCGTAGCCGAAAGGATGGGCATACTTCACCAAGATCTCTCCCAGCACAGTGTCGGAAACGGCCTGCCCATCCGTGCGACGACAACCCAAGATGCGCCTCCGAGCGGCGCGGCCGACGCTACACCGGCCGAACTCACGCCAGCTGACACACCAGCGGTGGGCACGCCAGCCGACGACGCGTCCCCAAACCCGGCGACTGCCCCTGCCAACGGGACATCGTACCCGACGAGAACATACCGCGACGACTTTGAGATTGACCTCGCCTCCTCCAACACCATCACCCTGCTCCACTCAGCCAACCAGCCGAACCTCGCGCTCCTCAAGTACTGGAACTGCGACATGGCCAACCCCACGCCAACAACGTCCTCCCACCCCCTGTTCAACCGCCTGTTCCCCCTCTCCTGGCTCCAGCTGATCGAGCCCGAGTCGGACACGACGTACGCGAGCTTCACGGACGACATAGCGGAAGAAACGCTGAGCGGCTTCAAGGCGAGCCGCCGCGGCAACTACCACCGCAAGCGCCGCCGATGGGCCCGCACGCGCTTCATTGTCGACCAAGCACGGGCCGGCGGCTTCTCCGGGCTCGTTGTCGCGTCGACCATGGACCCCATCTCTGTCGTCCGCGCCGCCCTGCCGCTCCTCGCCGGCGGCGCCCCCATCTCCATCTACTCGCCCACCATCGAGCCCCTCACCCAGCTGGCCGACTGCTTCAGCAAGGCCCGTCGCGCCGCGTGGTCCAGCAACCCGCCGACAGACGACAGTGGCGTGCCGCTGCCGGACCTGGAGAACTGGCCCGGGTCGGACGACTTTCCCGTCAACCCGTCGCTGCTCATCGGGCCCAACGTGCAGACGAGCCGGGCGAAACGCTGGCAGGTGCTCCCGGGGAGGACGCACCCGTTGATGATGGGACGCGGCGGCGCCGAGGGTTTCCTGTTCACGGGGTCCAAGGCCGTGCCCGCGGAGGGCAAGATCGAAGCACGCGGCAAGACCAAGCGGCGCAAGGTCGAGGCATAGCTGGAGGGTACTTCAAGCTGCGTAGAGGACCCGACGGAGGATCGGAAAGGGGAGCCGAAGGGGCGCGGTGGCAAGATCGTCACCATAGACTAGATACCCATAAAATGGAAGAAAACAAGAGCTGGGAAAACCAAGCTGGGGGCGCCCCCCGACAAGCTTGTTCTTATTTTTATTTTTGGTGGTTGGTGAAAGCATTCGCTTCCCTACTTTCTTTCGCCCTCTTCTTCATAAACGAACCCGGCATCTACGTGATACATCCGTCATGACGTTCCTTACAACGCCTTGCCCATGAACTTCCTCTTGGTGAAGCTGAGCCACCACTTGCTCGGCTTGCCGTCGCCGCCCTCCTCAAACACGCGCGCGAGTAACCGCGGCGCAATCTCCTGGCGGACCTGAGCGATGTACTGGCGCAGCAGCTCGGCCTCCTGCCTGTCGCGGGGGGGCTCGTACATCTACATCCCCATCGTCAGCAAGGGTCCGTCCACCAGAGGGTGCATCGGGACGGCGGGAAGCAAGAGGAACGGAAACGCACCTGGTTCAGGGGCCAGCCTGGGTCGCCGGGAATGGCAAAGTTGGTGTCGAGCGCCAGGTTCTGGACCTCTTTGGCGGCTTCGCGGGGGCCATGCTGAGGCTTGATCTTGGTGAGGCAGTCGGAGACGAACCAGATGCCGTAGACGAGGAGGCGGTCGGCGGGACCCTGGATCTCAAAGTTGCGGAAAAAGGTGTTGGCGCGGAAGAGGGCGAGGACCTCGTCGAGAATGTCGTAGCTCTCCGAGTCAGGATCGGGGGACTCGTTGGCGGGAAGCGGCGGGGAGGGCGCCGGCAGGACGTAGGCAGGACCGCGGGTCTTGGTGCGCAGGGGCAGCAGGGGAAAGTTGCCTATCAGACGAGGGACGTTGGGGTCCTCGTTGAAGATGGAGTTGTAGGCCTAGCGTGGAGGAAGGTAGGTTAGCTTGCGTCATGGCGACATGAAGCGAGCGGGAGTGGTGGAGGAACGGGAGCTCTGGGTTGTAGCAATTGAAGCCGAGACAGCATGCACATGACATACCGGCATCTTGGCGAGGTCTACGGTCTGCGACCAGCGGGATATCGATCTATGTGAGGATGAGCCCGCGGAAGATGGCGTCGTGGGCGAGGTGAAGCTGTCGTGGTGATGGTGGGGCTCCGCGACGACTGACGTTGTGGCAGTATCAGCCAGGCAAGCCGGGCCAGGCTGCATCTGGATGGACACCTGGAAGGGTGGGGCAGGAGGCTGGAGCCAGGCCGGCCGGATCAACTCCGGATGAATGAGCCAAGCAACCCCTCCAAAGCACGTGCCTTGTGCCTTGTGCCTCGTGAGTCTGCGCCCCTCGCTTCGCCACTTGGACCTCCATTGGTAGACAAAGGTGGATCTCGATTTGACGGATGCCTAGCCTGGTCACCTGATCTCGCTCGCCCAACGCGCCTCGATCTGAGGGGCGAATTTGCCGCGGGGATCCTCGTCGCGCCCTTCCGTCCGTCTTGAACAAGGTCAGGGGTGCGCGCCAGGTACACACGTTCCTTTTTCCTTGCCCACTGCAGGCAAGGCATCTATCGACATTCATCGCCATCAGCTCTTCTGTCGCGACAAAAGCGGTCGCGTATTCCCGCGATCACGACCATTGATTTGGCACAAAGCTTTCCTGAAACCCTCGTCGCGCCACTGACTCGAGGTTGAATTTTCTTTCATCCATCTTTTTCCGCCCTTTACGACGTGCCACCGGGTTCCCCCACAGACCGCGACGGCCAAGTGACTCCTCCGCACCCTTGCCTCCTGGTCAAAGCTAAAGCTTTGATGATGCTTGTTATAGAGTGAGCATCTCCCCCTGCTGCTGCCACCGCTGCTGCTACTTCTCTCCCACACGTAGCAGAAATTGACGAATGCCCCACAGCACGCTCTTCCACACAAACACACTATTCGATCGAATGGGCTCCATCGCGGACATGTTCGCGACCAAGATGGAGGCCACTGCGGACGCTGCTGCCGCCACGCCGTCGAGCGCGACAGACTCGACACCAAACCCGCCGTCGTCAGCGACACCGACCCCACCATCGCCAGTCGCGGCCGTTGCGCCCGTCTCCAAACGACGTTTCACCCCGAGACGGATCTACCGACCAGAAGCCAACTCTCTCTACGACCTCATGTGGGACGAGGCTGGCTCCACGCTCTTCATGAAGCCCATCTTCTGGACCGACATGCACTCGCGTCTTCTCGACATTTGCTACGTCGAGCTCCCCCGGTGCCAAAACATCAAGGCCACGCAAGACTTTTACCAGGCGTCACCACGCGCCGAGAGCCTCTGCAGGCAGCTCACCCAGCTGCAGCACCCCGAACTCAACGGCCCTTACGAGATGGATCACATATACGAGGCCATCGAAACACTCTATCCGTCGACGAGACTCACTGCAGCCCCGCCCCGCGGCATGATCGACCTGAACATGTACTTCTCCGGCCTCCTGTACCCCAGCGCATGTCGCGTCCAGCTCATGTGGGAATGCGGCCCCGCCCAAGATGCCCTCTGCGAGTCGTTCCAGACCATCTCCACACGCCCTGCCGAATCATTACCCGGCAGTCTCAACGCCAGCGCCGTCGTCCCGCCTCGGTCTTCGGCAGCCGCGCGGGAACCGACGCTCGCGTACATCAGCAAAAAGTTCCTCCACGACTCTCGCGCCAACATGTACCGCGCCTTCCGTGGCCCCAAGAACAAGGGCAACTCGCCCGTCGAGAGCCTCTGCCGGCTGCGCTCGAAGCGCCTCATGCCGAGCAACACGGACGAGGACCCGGCCTTCGCCGGCACCCTCCTCGCCATGGCCCAGAAGCGCTTCTACCACAACGCGCCGTCGGCCATTGGCCGCTCGCGCAACGCCCGGCGCCACGCGCCCAAGCCGCAGCCGGCCCCCGCCTTCCACGACGTGACGGTCCACCTCATGACAAACGACGACGACGGCAACGAGCTCATCGTCTACACGGCCGTCGTCACGGCCGCCTTCCTCGAGCGGTTTCACGCCCCAACCAAGACGCCCGCCGGCAAGAACGCCCTGGGCGAGGCAACGCTCACCGACCTCGGCATGAAGATCGAGTACACAAAAGTCCCCATCTGGCCCGTCGTCGGCCTCAAGGAGCGCCTCGGCAAAGCGCTGGGCCGAGACCTCATTGGCGACTTTGACGAGAACGACCTCGACATGCTCGGGTCGCAGAAGCGGCCGAGCGAGAACAGCAGCAGCAGCAGCAGCAGCAGCAGCAACAACACCAGTAGCAACAGCAACCCGAACAAGCGCGCGGCGCCCGCCGACGACGAAGACGGCGGCCGTGCCCGCAGACCCAGCGACGAGCAGCGTGACGAGGCGGGACTGGCGTACGAGGCCAGAGCCAAGGCGCTCATCGCGTCGATCTGGGACGGTGGCAGCAGCAGCGGCGGAGGCGGCAGCGACTCTGACGACGACGAGGAGCACGCACAGACGTCCTCGAACAGCCGGAAACGGCGCCGGCTGACCAACGGTCGCCGCATCGACGAGTCTGGGCGCCAAGGGGTGGCGGCCAAGAGCAGGCAGCTGGTCGAGTGATTTGGCTCTTTTTTTTTTTTTTTCTTTATGCACGCTTCCATGCAGGCGACTTGAGCAAGCAGCCATGCGTGCGTGCAGTTCGTTTTCCACATGTAGTAGACAAGCATCACGAGCAAAACGCGTTATGAAAGCGGGGCAGCGGCGTGGCGTCGTTGGTGCCGGCATGGCTCATAGAAGGAAGGCAGGCAAGGGCATGGTCAGGGGCCCGGGGTTCATGGTGTTTCGGGTTTCAAGCAACGAAAACGGTTTCGACAAGTCGTCAATGTCTTTATTTCGATTGGGAAAGGGGGAAAGGGGGGGGGGGAGGCACTTGTGATTTCTCAGTTATTATACCTCTGCTGTTAAGAAAAAGTGACGATAGCAACTCTGAGCCAGGCATCAACCGGGTTTTTCATCGCAATTTGCTTTCCCTCTCAACTTCACAGCGGCACGTATGCGTTGCTCGTCGCATAAAGGCCACCCACGCCTACAGCGTTTCATAGTAATACCGCGTCGCAACATCATACTCGAGCAGCACCTCGGCCACCATGCGCTCGACGGGCACGACAACCTGCCGCCACAAATTGACCTCGAACGCGTTGGGCATGAATCCAGGCGTCACCCGGGCGCAGGTGTACCGCCCCTGCGCCTGCCCGCCGTCGGCGCCCAGCACGACGGCGAGGTTGCGCCCCGGCAGCGGCATGGGCATGTCGGCGGGGGGATCAAACGCGACGACGAGGCCGGGGCGTATGCGCTCGGCGAACGGCACGCCCGCCATGTCGGGCCGCGGGTCGGCGCTCGACATGCCCATCTTTTCAGGGGCCGCGGCGGCCTTGGTATCGACGGGTGCGGCCGTGGCGCGCTGCGAGTCGACGTGGAGGCGCCAGAACTTGGCCTGGAAGGCGCGGGCCTGGTCGTCGGTCACGCCGGGGCTGCGGAGGCAGCGCGTGAGGAACTCGGGGACGGGCAGGCGGAGGAGCTGCGCGCCCGACTCGGAGGGGGCGAGGAGCTGCGGGACGACGGGCGGTGTGCCGGACTGTGTTGTCAGTGGATGTACGGGTCTGGGCAGCGCCTATTGGCATTCATGGCGTGCATCTCCCGACCTGGCTCGGACCTGGGCTCGGACCTGAGGACGAGAGATGAGGCGACAATGACAAGAAAGCAAGAGAAGGACTCACATTCTTCCCGACCCACGCCCGAAGCTGCTCGTTCGACCACGTCGCCGGCTTGCCAGCATCAAACGGCACAGCCGGGGCTGCAGGCGCGACGACCCGCAGCATCTCGGCGTAGCGCAGCGTGTTCTTGCTGGCGCCGACGTCGGCGAGGCAGGGGTTGACGCAGGCGACGACGACGGTGCGGCAGGCGCGCGAGGCGGCAGGGTCAAAGACGTGCTTGAGGACCTTGGTCAGGGCGCTCTGGCGAAAGGGCACGTAGGGCGGCTTTGTCTTTTTCTGGCCGGCGGCGGCGGCGGCAGTGACGTGGTCGGCGGCGGCGCGACCGCGGATGCAGTCCTTGAGGACGGACAGGCTGACGTTGATCTCGCGCGTCTCGCGCATGCGGTCGGCGCCGTGGGTGGCGACGTCACGGGCGGCCTCGGAGCCGGCGAGGTCGACGAGGTAGAGCAGGCCATCGTCGGCGTCGGGTAGGGCCGGGTTGGCGAGGCGCAGGCGGCAGATGGCGTGGGAGCGCGACGACGCGTCGTTCTTGGTGGTGGAGGCGGTGCGGCGAAAGCGGGCGGCGGCGTCGACGTGGGCGAGGAGCGCGGCGAGGTCGGTGACGGGGTGCTCGGCGGCGCCGGCGAGGTGGGTCGCGCCGAACGAGTCCTCGAGGACGGAGACGGGCTTGCGGGCGTTGAGGAGGTCGGCGGCGGCGTTGCCGGCGAGCTCAACGATGGAGACGTGCATCTCGCGCCGGCCCTCCAGCGTGCCCGCCGTCAGCGTCTCAGCGACGAGGCGCTCGAGGGCGCTGACGGTGTACGTCTTGCCGGAGCCCGTCTGGCCGTAGGCGAAGACGGTGCTGACGCCGCCGCCCCAGGCCCAGGCCACGAGGGGGTGGACCAGGTCGTGGTAGATGTCCTCGGAAGACGTGTCAACGCCGTAGAACTTGTCGACGCGGTAGTTGAAGGACTGCGCGGTCGGTCAGAAAGGCGACACGGACATGTGGGCTACTGCAGTGAAGGCAAACAAACATTCAGACCCGGCAATCCCCTGACCGGCCGCCTCAGCTCGTGAAGGTCGACATGGCCCGTCGTGTGCTCGCGAGGGAAGAGGCCAGGCACCATGCCCGAAGACAGCTCGTCGCCCAGCATGGGCCGCAGCCGCGTCACGATGACAATGCCGGCATCGTCCTTGGTCTCGCCACTCTCCGTTGAGGCGGGAGCAGGAGGAGGCCTGTACGCAGCGACGAGGCGCAGGTACCGCTGGGCGTGTTCGAGGATGAATTCGTCCGTCACGTTCATTGCGAGAGGATGATGTCGGCAGCCAATTGGGCGAAGGATTGTGATGGTTGGTTGTCTGACAGTCCCGAGAGTACTGTTCCTGCTCCGAGATGAATCGAGAGAGGTCGGATCATGGTATTTATCGAACAGGCCTTGCGCCCTTTCGCACGGCGGCGAAGGATGGATGGATGCACAGGATCCCAGCGACGCGCGCAGACCCGAAGAAGCACCGGGCCTTTTCTCCTCTCACCGCATGGATATTGGTCTGATCGCCCCAGGCAGCCGAATTATCATGGCCATCGTTGTCTTGTATTTGGCTCATGGCTGATGCCTACGAGGCGTCTCCTGGAGTCATGGTGATACCTTCGTCTTGGCCTTTCCCAGCAAGAGCGGGGGCATTGGTCATTGAGGTCTCGGGAGGGACGGCGCTCGCTCTCGGGAGGGAAGGCGCGGCGAGCGCCTTCCCAGGCAGCGACCGACGGGCCTTTCCAGCTGCTGCCGGCTGTTCAACCAAACCTCCCACCAGCTGTCATCGTCTGTCGAGCCAGCAGCTTTGGTGCTCCGACTCTGTGTACGCATTGAGTAGCACCAAAAAAAAAATGAAGCCATCCCCCTTATGACCTCTCTTGCTATCATGCAAACGCCGTGCGTTCCTGGGACGGGGTATCAGCTCTAAAAAGCCCAAAACACAACTGTGGACGCCGTCCAGGTTCGAAGCCTTCCAAGACAGACCAAAGAGAGAGAGAGAGAGAAGACCCAAGCCAAATACACCATGAGATAACCTCCATGTACGCCGTGCATCCCTTGCATCTTCTCTTTTCCTTCATCATTCCCATCAATCAATAAGAGTCGGAAGCCCGAGAAAGAGAGAAGAAGAAGAAAAAGTAAACCCTCGAGCTCCAGATCTCCGTCCGCCCCTGCTTGCTCCTCAGTCCAGCCGCAGCAAATTTCGCGACTCAAGCACAGACGCCATGTCCTTCAACCGCACCGGCTTCGTCAGGAAGAGGTCGATACCGCTGACAAACGCCTCGTCCTGCGCGCTCTCCGACGCCAGACCCGACAGCGCAATGATCGTGATGGGCGGCAGCTGCTTCTCCCGCTCAAAGGTGCGGATGCGCCGCGTCGCTTCGAACCCATCCATGACGGGCATCGAAATGTCCATGAAGATGCAGCTGTATCCTTCGGGCTCGGTCCGGTATGCCTCGTACGCCTCCAGGCCGTTTGTCGCCGTGCCGAGCGGCCGCCCCAGCTTCTTGACGTACGAAGACAGGATCCGAAGGTTGATGCTGTTGTCGTCCACCAGCAGGAATTTGCGCGCCTCTTCTCCCGTCTCCGACGGCGGCACCGTACACTCCGACGGCGGCGTCTGCACGTACCGGCCCCTCCACGACAGGATCGACCCAGGCGTCTGCGATCGCTCCAACACCGGCGAAGCGGCAGCCCGAGAGGAAGCCTCGGGGCGCGCCGTCGACGCCTGCCCCACCTCCCCTTCCTCGCCGTCCGGGTACTCGACAGCTGCACCCCCCTCGTCACCTGTGCCTTGTCGAGGCGGACTTGGCCGTGCTGAAGGAAGACGCAACTCGGCTGGAACAAAGTCCAGTGACTGCGATGATTGCAGTGCGAGCCATCGCTGGCAGGCGAGGAGCAGGATCTTGGCGAGCTTGCGCGGGCCGAGCCTGTCGTCTTTGCGTTAGCACAGCACGTTCACTCTCGAGGGTCAGTACAATGACAAGACACGCGTAACGTACGGTTGTGAAATGAACTCAAACACCCCCTCCGTCTGGGCGGCTTCCGCCGATGTCGAACGGTCGAAGGCCAGGAGGGGGTTGGCGCACACAACGACGCAGGGCGGGTTCCTGAACGTCGACACATCGACATCCGGCATGGCGTGCTCGGCGACAAGGACGACATCGGGCACGAGCGTCTCCGTATCCGACAAGACCTCCATCTTGAGCCAGTCGCGACAGATGCCTTCGGTCAGGCCGCGGCCGAACCCATCACGACCCGGCTTCGCCCGCGCTTGCGCGCCCGTGTCATCCCCGTGGAACTCACTGAAGCCGCTGAGGAGAACCCGCAGACCCTTGAGATCGGAAACGTGCGCTGCGAACTCGTCGTCGTCGCTCATGTACTCGGACTTGTTGGTGGCGGCTTGCAGAGGCACCGACACCGTGACTGTTGTCCCGACCGCTACCCGGCTCTTCACGCTGATCTTGCCGTCGAGGTTGGTGACGATCTGCTTGACGAGGGACAGACCAAGGCCCGTCCCGGCGCTCAGGTGGTCTTCCTGCGCGAACGCGCGGAAAAGATGATTCTGCAGATAGTCTTCGCCGATGCCCTTGCCCGTATCGGCTACCACGAGGACGACCTTGCGGGGCCGCGATGGGGCGTCGTGGTTGGCAGACGCGGGTGTCGTCTCTTGTCGTAGGGACACGACGATGGACCCTTCTTGCGTGTACTTGAGGGCATTGCCCACGAGGTTGAGAACGACGCGGCGAAATGCACCGGGTGATGTGTGGAAGATCCAGCTGCACTGCGGGTCGAGGTCGAGGGAGACAAAGACGCGGTTGAACCCCAGATCAATGGCATTGGGGCCAGTCATCTGGGTAGAACCAAAGTCCTGCATGGCATTATGTGCGTCCATCCGACGGTTGGCCTCGGCATCCACATACCGCGTCTTCTTGTGCTTGCCCAACTGCGCCATGGATGTGTACTGAAAGTTGTAGCCCGCGAAAACACTTTCCACAACGTCCTCGACCAGCAAGTCGAGAGGCACATTGGACTCCAGCACGCGCACGCCAGCTTCAATCGACAATTGTCGAATCGTAGGCCACGGATAGGGCCTGCGCGTAGACTCGGGGCTTCGCGGTCGAGTGGAAGCAGCGGCCTTGGCCATCGTCGTAAAGTTGTTGATCTTGGAGAAGTCGAGTAGATGATCGAGCGTGTCCATCAGCGTCCTGCCACACGTCTCAATGGTGTGTAAAATGTTGCCCTGGAAGACGGTCAAGCCCGTGTCGTGAAGCAGCTCGGCTGCCAAGATGACGCCGTGAAGTGGGGAGCGCAGTTCGTGAGACAGCGAGCTCAAGGCGTCTGATTTCGCCTTGTCCGCCTGAAGCGTCTCGAGGCGCGCTATCTCGGACATGGCGAGGACGCCGAAAGCCGTCAGGAAGCTGAGCTCGCCGGCCACGGTAAAAACCCGGCCCGGTGTGTTGGTGTAGACGAACCCCCCGGCGCGCCATCGATCTTTCTTCGAATCCCGGACGGGGACAAAGGCGACGCATTGTGCTCCGGGGAATGCTCGCAGAATGGCAGTGCCCTCGCGGTGCCGGGCCCAAGGGTGGTTGCGACGTCGGGACGGCGCAGGGGAAGAGCGAGGATTTGCGTGTGTGAGCATGCCTGGCAACGCTGTCAAGCGGTCGTCTTCGGAGGAGTCGGTCAGGCGCAGCTCGCCGTTGGGGCGGAAGTTGAAGATCTTGCCATCGGGGTAGCGTCGGAGCAGACGCGCCATAAAGCCCTCGGGCAGGTTGGCGCGCATGGCCGAGGGCCGCGCGCCGTTGATGCTGGACGCGTCTGTCGTGGCGAAGCCGAGCACGCGGCAGTCTGGTGCTGCGTTCTCGCCGCCAGACGAGGAGAGAGCGTCGCTGCTGCTCGCGGACTGTGCTGCGACGTCGCCATGGTCCGCGTGGGGCTTGACGTCGCTGAGGCCGCCAAACAACCGTACGTGTGCGTCGAAGAAGACGCATCCTTCGATCTCGAGAGACTCTCGAATCATGTTGGCCGCTTTGGAAAAGATCGTGCCGACGCTGTTGCCCTGCAAATCGTGTGGGCGAAGGAACATGGGACTTTTCAACGACGTGTTGGAGCTCCTGGAACTGCTACTCGAGTGGTGCGGGGTGGAGGCACGGGAATATGGCTGAGGAGCAGGTTCGTTGAGGGACTGGTCACCCGCCTTGGAGGTGGCGAGGGACACGCGTGCCTGCTCGTTTGCTTCGAGTATGCGGTCCTCCTCCGACCGCTGGAGGTCTTGTTGGCGGGCATCGAGGGCTCCTTCGTGGGACGGATCGTCCTGAAAGGCCGTCGTCGTGTCGTCGTGCCGCCAGCCGGAGATGGTGGCCGCTCCCTCGACGAAGGAGCCCAGGCCCCTGTTCATGCGTGCGCCCCGCCGCGCTGCGGCAGCTGCCCTGCCGGCCTCGAAGTGCTCCGTGATGGCCTTGGACAGGTTGCGAAGCACGCGGGTCATGTGCGGGCTCCAGTCGTCGCGCAAGACGGTATCGACGACGCTGAGCACGCCCATGTTGACACCTTTGGCGGTGCGGATGGGCACGCCGGCGAAGAACTTGGCCGGAGACCCGGGGCCGCAGTAGAGGGTCGAGGCGAAGCGCTTGTCCTGTTCGAGGTCGGGCACACAGAGGACGGGCAGCGTCGTCGATCCCTCGCCTTGCTCGGGGGCGAGGGGGTCGAGAGGGTACAGCGCGGCCTCGCAGACGCCGAAGCGTCGGGGGATGGCGGTGCCGCAGAGCCAGAGGTCATGGTCGTGGTCGGCGGCGCGCAGGCCGGGAACGAGAGGCAGGGCGGGTGTGGCCTCGGCAATGATGTGCTGATAGTCGCAATCGAAGACGGAAACGAGCGCACGGGGTGTGCCGGTCTGACATGCGGCAAGCTGGGCCAGGGCCGTCAGGACGGTGTCGGGAGAGGTCTCTAGCTGGGGCAGCGGCAGCGCCCGAGGTTGCGGGTTCTGTTTCGTCGTGGTGAACAGCGCCGGATAGTACCTAGAGGGGGGGGCGGACACATGGAGTCAGCCAAAAGGTTCGGGTCAGAATCGAGGCAGTGTCAGAATCGAGGCAGTGTCAGATCGAGGCAGTGTCAGAATAGAGGCAGTATCAGGTCAGAATCGAGTGTCAGAATCGAGGCAGTGTCAGAATCGAGGCAGTATCAGGTCCGCATCGAGAGGAGTAACAAACTTGAAGGTTTCGTGCTCGCGCGAGGATTCGGACACGATCCTCAGAGGAGCGGCTTGGCGTTCAGCCATGGCTGACGACCCGCCCGTTCGGGTGCAGGGTCCTGTCGGCTCGAGATGGCGGATGCCTGTGGGAGGCGAGATTTCGATGCGAAGGGCAGGTCTTCGGGGGGGGGGGGATATGGCGGCGTTTGTGGTGTGTGCAGGCAGAACCCGGTATGTGCTTGCCGTCGCCCGGTGCGTTGGTCGGTAGCGTCCTGTCGGGGTTCAAAGCATCGACATGACTTGGAGGTGGGTTCGGTCAATGTTGGATGGCAAAGAGGTGATCAGCGCCGTGACATCATGGACGTAGACGCAAAGTGGCAGAGGATGTGAGGCGGGGCATGGCAATCGTCAGTGCAGTAAATGAACGTGGAGATGCAAGGCAGGTCAGGGTGGTATAACGAGGTACCTGACAGAAGCAGCAGCAGCAGTAAAATGGTTGTTCGTCTTGTGATTTGTGATTTGTGATTTGAAGAGGGGGTGAGGTGAGGTCTGGCTCTCCGCTTCTGCTTGGCCAGACCAGAGACGGACGGGAACGGGTGGTGGTCTTTTTGGGGGGGGGGGAGGGGGGGGGGTCTTGTGAGAGCGGGGCAGGCACAACCAGTGGACAGAGCATGGCATTGTAGTCGTAGTGGGCAAAGCCAGAAGGAAATCAACGCAATCGGGAAAGAGAATCGCATGTGTCGGGGGGAGCTGCGAGTGGGCCGGTCCAGGCCCTGCCCGGCGGTCTGATCTGAGGTCCATTCGCGAGCGACCGATCTTCGATCCAAGCCTTGCGCCCCCACATGAGGACCCAGAAACCCAGGCCAAAGCCCAGAGCCAGAGGCCAAAAGCCAGGCCCAGCGCTCCTAACGCAGGAGCTGACCGTGGCCCATGTAGGCTCGATCTCGATCTCTCCTGCCACGACCTCCCACGGAACCGAGGAGGCCCGGCACTTTGGCCATCCGCATGCAATGCCTCGCTGGTGAATCTTACCTGCCTGCCTATCAGGTAGGTACCTGCCTGCCTATCAGGTAGGTACCTGCCTGCCTATCAGGTAGGTACCTGGGCAGGTACGGTAAGGTAACTACACGCTCAGTGGACAAGACAGTGCCTTGGTAGGAATCTCCAGCCGGGCGATCTGCATCTGGCCAACCATCCCGCATCACCCGTGTTGATCTCTTGTTCTAGGTCCATACCCATCCAGCCATTTTGTTCGTGCCCCGCATAACGCTAATCGGCTCTCGGTGCTGCGTCTTCAAGCTCGAGTTGACACATTCCAAACGATCCGATGGGAAGAGGGGGGGGGGAGAGGGCTTATCGTATCTAACTTCATTTGAGCCCATGGATGCTGTTTTCTCCCTGCTCCTCGTTTCAAACGTCGACAGCATGCACATCTGCACTCCTCAGCCCGGCCTCCGAATTTCGGGTCACCACTGAGTCGGCATCCAGGCATTCGGCATGCGCCCGGGCGTCAAGGCCGTCTCCTCAGGGCACGTCTCCCACTGCCTGCACCGTCCCTCATAACGGCAAGCAAGGCGCCATCACCGTGCCAGATCTCGGACGAGGTCTGCTGTCAGACATGGAAACCAGCGACAATCTGGGTCACCGCGTGACTGTGCGCATCGATGAAAAAAAAAAAAAAAAAAAAAAAAAAAAAAAAAAAAAAGAGAGAGAAAGGGAGATGTAAGTTGCAGGACGGAGACGTGCCATGTCCAGTCCATCCGTGGCCATCATCCCCAAGTCTCCTCACGGTTAGGTAGGTCCAGGAGTCACGATTTTCATTGACCCCGCGTCAGAACACCCTCCCAGCGAGCCACCTTCGTCGGTCTACACGTCGCCATCCACTCTCAACCCCTGCGCCGCACACGCCCTGCCCAGAATCGCCCGCAGCACCCCCGCCTTGCGCGTGTTGTACTCCCGCGCCGTGCCCCCGACCCGCCGCACCTCCTCCGCCGCCGCCCTCTTCGCCCGCACGTACCTCGCGCGGTCCTCCGCCCCAGCCGGCATCGCGAGCCAGTCCCGCAGCGCCTTGTGCCGCGCCACCTCCTCGCACCCGGCCGGGAACACGTGCAGGTTGACGCCCGCCGCCCACGGCAGCTCGCCGACGAGCATGCGCGCCCCGTGCCACGACGGCTGCCGCATCACGAGCGTGAACCCCACCGCCTCGAGACGGGGCACGTACGCCTGCTCGTCGGCCGGGTCGCCAACCGTCACGTCAATGTCGATGATGGGCTTGGCGTCGAGGCCGGGGACCGACGTCGACCCGACGTGGTCGATGGTCGTGACCTGCAGGTGTATGGCGTCGAGGACGAGGAGGGCGACGACGAGGTACATGGCGGGCCAGGCGGCGTTGTAGGGCACGACGATGAGGGGGCGCGCCGGCATGGGGTTGACGAGCTCCATGGTGGCTGGTGTGAAGCCTTGCGGTGCGGTCTGTGCTGGTCCAGCTGATTCCTGCGGCATGGCTGTGATGCGGAGCTATCTCCCACGCTGTGCTGTGCTGTGTCGTGCTGTGCTGGCTGTGCTGTGTCGTGCCGTGCTGGCTGTGCTGTTTTATTGGGAGGTGCACCGTTCGTAGGGTCTAGAGTGTCTATTGAATTGTCTTCTTGGACACCTCTTCACAAGCTTCGTTGCGTTCCCTGCTTCGTCCATATAATGCCCCAGGACGGACTGGAGCCCAATCAGTCTGCGTCGACGCACAGGTCTTGCGCGTGTTCAAAGGCCGTCAGCGCCGTCATTTGCCAGAGGTTTCAAGAACAGGTTGGTTGAAAAAGTCGACGGAGGACAAAGAAACACGGGCACCATTTCCAGGGGCTGGCACATCCCATGCCCGTCGACACAATGTGAGTACCTAAGAAAGGGATTGTGATAGCATGCGCTGAGCACTGCGGCTTTGGGTCGGCCGACGCCGAGAGAACATCAAAAAAAAAAAAATGCAAGGCAGTGCATGTTACGCCGCACGTTGCAGTCCAAGGAACACAATGTTGGAAAGAGAGTTGCGGTGGCCAAAACACCAGCTGGATATCGTGACAACGCCGTACAGAATGCTTCGCCCAATCGACTCTGCCGAGTCCCCCGCATCAGCTCACCTTCGACGGGACCGCGTCGTGGGTGGCGCCGGCTCAAAGTCGTCATCCCCCGATATCTCATCATCACTGATCTCAACCGCTTTCTGTGACGCGGCCGCTTGCGAGAAGTTGAGCTTGGTCTGCCGTCCCTTGGCAGGCGCCCTTGCAGGCTGCGAGCGCTGCGCTCGCTTGGGCTGAGGCGCGGGATCATCGGCGAAAGGGTCATCGTCCATCACCACGTCCTCGTCCTCGTCCTCGTCCTCGCTGGCCGCCTTCTTGCCTCGACCTCGAGCAGGCGCTTTTTTGGCTGGTGCCTTCTTCGTCGGGGCCTTCTTCGCCGCAGGAGTCTTGGCCGTCTTGGCCGCGCCCCTTTTCGCTGGTGCTTTCTTCACGGGCGCCTCCTCTTCCGAGAGCTCCATGGCGTCCTCGTCTTGCCCTCGCACGGGCGCGCGTCCGGGTCCCGCCGGTGTCACCTCGAGAGCCTCCGGCTGATCCTCCCAGTGGCCGTCCAAGTCCGAGTCCCATTCCTCGGGCTTCGCCTTGTAGGTCCGCCGTGACGCCATCTTCAGGAGGCCCTTGGAGAACTTGCTGTCCATAGTTGCTCTGATCTTCTCCATGGCGCTGTCGAGATCCTCGTCATCCGAGTCCAGGTTCAGCATCTGCTTCACTTGGCTGGCCAGTGAGTCGCTGACAAAGCTCTCCATTGCATGCTTGTCGTCCTTGTTGACGAACTGGTTCACTGCATCGCCAAAGGGCGCCTGAGGAAGGATCTTGAGCGACTGTGCAGCGAGGAACTCCTGCACGAGCGCTTCCACCTTGACCGTATCGAGGCCCAAATTCTCATCGATGCCTTCTGGCAGTTCGGCCGTCTGTTTGCCTCCTATGGAAGGTTAGTCTCGAATGGAAGGAAAAGGGAAAGGGCCCAGCTTCAAAGGTACGCACGCGATGCCGTCGTCTTTTTGCGATGGAAGTAGACGACGTCGTTGGTATTGGCCACCTTGCCGACAAAGCGGTTGGAGAAGCGCTGCGGGTTCTCGCAGTCGTACTGGCCGCCTTCGGGTGCTGTGTACTCGACTTTGAGGCGAATCAGTGGAAGCAGCGGAGCTTCCTCCGCATCCTCCTCCTCGTCCTGAATGGCGAGCCAGTCGGCGTTGGCCTGCTCGATCATGTCGTCCACGACCTTCATCAGCCGCTTTGTCAACTCTTGGCGATTGTCCTTCATCTTGTCCACGCCCTTGAATCTCTTGTCCGTGGCCAAGACAATGTCCTTGGTGACAAAAGGGCGGACCGTCTTCAGAGGCAGTTTTTTGATCTGGAAGTCCTTGCCCGTGATGCTGACGACAGCAACATGCTTGGGCACAGCCTCTCCAGCGACCAGGGAGGTGGCCACGGAAGAGCCTGGTTGCATGACGTGGAACCCCGTTTCGGGATTCTGTGAGGGGTCGATGAGGCATTCGTGCTCGTGGCCCCAGACGACCAGGTCCATAAAGTCAGGCAGTACATTCTCGGGCAGGTAGGATGTGGCGGTGTGGGCGTGATGGTTCTGGTGGACGGTCAAGAGGTTGAACCAGTCAGTCTGTTGAACATTAGGTCGGAACCACTTGACCTTGTGATCGCGGAAGGTCCTGAACATGCGCTCGTCGCGGACGTTGCTGAGGCCGTAGAGAGCCAGTTTCGTCTGCCCCTTTTGCAGCAGCACCGGCTTCGCCTCGATGTTGTCGGCCTCGGCGATGCGTCCGAAATAGTTGACCAGGCCGGCGACCTGCAAAAGGTCGAGAGAGCAGAAGTGGCCGTCGCCGCTGGGGTCGTCGTGGTTGCCGTGAATCGAGAAGACGGGGATGGATATGTTGATGTCGGGGTCTTCGTAGTTGACGTGGGGGAACGCGCCTTCGAAGACTTCGTTTGCGTCACTCAGGAATTCGAGCTCGCAAGGCTTCATGCCGAGGCAGTTTCTTCGGAGGGTGCGCATGACCTGGTACATGGACTTTCGAGACGGTTTATTGTCGTGGAAGAGGTCGCCTCCCAGGAGGACCATGTCGACCTAGGGAAGTCAGCTAGTGAAGATAGGATGGTGCAGACGCAATCGTGCTGACATCTTCCTTCTTTGCCATCTCCATGATCTCGTCAAACGTCCTCCAACTGTCGTCCTTGCGGATCGGGTCTCGCTCTTCATAGCCGACATGATTGTCCGTCGCAACGAGGATCCGAATCGTGTCTGCCTCTAAATTTGCGGAAATATTAGTGCATGCTCAAGTAAGCAGGAAAGAAGGGTTCACAACGGACCAGTGAATTCGGACATGCTGCGGTATCTGTCGTGTCGATTCGCCGACGACAGCGCGGGTCAGCGATGGGCGATGAGGGGCTGTTGGTCGAAGCAAGGTCCCATGGATGGAGGCTAGTACGACAAGCGAAGCGCGTGTCGCGTTGGATCAGGGTCCACTTCAGCATTGACGCGAGAAAGACACTCGCTGTCATGTGATCAGTACGGTCGGTCCATGCGACGAGATTCATACTGTACTTCACGTGACCATTTCCGAATGCAGACATGGTAAAGCGTCACGGCATGTGATGATTTACACGTTACCACTTCAACGCTGCTTTCAATTTTGATCGAATAGCTACTCTCAGTGTCGGCGTCGATAATCCTGGACCTCAAGACGTAGTCAGTTCTGATCCGTTGAGCTGGCATACGAGAATGCGACGCCATGTGCAGCACAAATCACATGCTTCGGAAGCAGGTGCAAGGTGTTTCTCATATCACATCAAGCATGGCGGATCCTTACGATAACCAGTCAACAATGCATTCTCTCACACCTCTCTTGGCCCACATACAAATCAAGGACTCGCAAATATGTGACCGCCCCTCTCGATGTATTGTCATGATTGCTCGGCATATCCCCTGCAGGCCGTAAAGGGCAATCACGGCGAGTCGTGTTCGCCACCTCCCTCTCAGACGTCTATTCACTCTACCCCAAAGCAATGGCCGGGATGATGGGCATGGAGCGCACATGAAACGGATCCACGTAGCTTGCCATCCATATTCTAGGGTAAGGTAGGTAAGGAGGGGTAAGGTGCGGAACATGAAGGGAAGGGGTCGTCTGCGAAGCTTGAATGCGCTTGGCTGGCATGGGCTGATCGTCAGGCCTCGGACGCATCCGAGAAGGCGGCGCAGCGGGTTGTCTGTCCTCGCTGATGGTGTCGCGATAGGATGACGGGGAGCGCAACGCGGGGCGCAACACGATGGGGCGGCCATATGAGATGGCCATGGCGGGCTGTGGCGCTCTTCGTTTGCTGACAGGAGACGTGGGTTTTTCTGCTGACCGCTTTGGATCTACAGCGAGACGCAGACGCAGACGCAGACACAAACACAGAGGCGGACACAAGAGCTCTGGCGGCGCGCAGCCACCTCGGATCATTTCGTGACTGACGTGGACAGAGAGGGGTAGCTACGGCAGGTGGCGCGGGAGGAAACGGCGCCATGGCGGCCGACGCAGTGAGAATCACAAGCGGAGGTAGCGAGGAGGATGATGGCACGCAAATGAATTGTCATGTCGATGCAAGATGCGACTGGGAGAGACGAATCCAGTCTTGGCGTGCGGCTGCCGCCGCCCTGTTGACAGGCGGGGACGTATCACATTGACTCTGGCCCAAACGAGACCCTGGTTGTCACAGCGTCGATTCATGAGCTTGACACTGCGGGATGTGAAGCCGCGGAGGAGCAGTAATTGTCTATTGCTAGGCCTCGCATGGGGCCAAGCGTGCGAGACTGCGGATCGTCGCAACGGTGCCGGGGCTGCTGACCGGGCGCGTTTCGCCGAGAGCGGTAGTTGTTGTTTGCCAGGCCGGGCGACATGAAGGTTATATGATCTATAAGTTGAGGCACGGGCCCTTCTCGTCGAGGAACGAGCCAGAGGCAGCGACATGGCCAACATGGCCAGGGTTGAAATGGTCGATGTCGTCAGCCCGCGATGGCTATGGCCAGGGTTGAAATGGTAGATGTCGTCAGCCGCGATGGCTGGGCGGCCACCGTTGAGGAGGGAGGTGACCACGTGCCTCATTGCCTCGGTCGGAAAGAAGACGACGATCAAGATGCAAAAAGAAAAAAACGGGCAAGGGTTCCGCGCCATCTATTCTGGTCCGAGGCGACATGAAGAAAAATGTTGGCCCGAATTCGTAAGTGGTCGTGTGCGCATTTTGCTCGATCACCAGCAGCACTGGCTCGTGGGCGATTGCGGTCATGTCATTGGCTGCATCTCCATAGACTGTGCCGTTTCTAGAAGTGTGTAGGCAAGGGACCTCTGGACTCGTTTCAACGAAGAGATCATACACGTGTAGGAATGGCAGCAACTGATTGGACAAAAAAATTGATGCAAGTTTTAGGCTTTGGCAGTGTGGGGTTCGGCCCGCTCTTGGCAGGAAGCTCGATCCCCTGTCCTGTCCATCATCCAACGCAACAGTGGACACGCCCACGCCGTGAGTCCCCTGGAGCCCACTGACGCATTCCACACCCCCCAAGGCGCCCCAATGGAAGCAACCCACAGGCGTCATCCACTGTATTCTCGCCTGTTCGTATTGTCGGCCTCCCCCCCGAAGCAGAGATTTATGGCGGCGGCTCTGGCGCTCAAGATGACCTGATTCCGATTCACATGCCTCTCTCTATGCACACACCCCCTTCTTTCAAGTCCCAAGTCCCTCTGCATGTGCGCCTGCGGGTCAGAGTCCTAGCCTCTCGGGGCCAAGAGATCCTCATGCTCCCTCCAAGGCGAGCAGGGCTGGCAGGGAGGGGAGAGAGCACATCGGTGGCAGCGCACATCAGGCAAGTGCTCACGCGACACATCCAACTTCATGCCTCGGAATAACGAGGGACGATCGGTGCTGTTGATTTGTTTTCATCAACCCATCGACGGTTACGATTCGGTTTCAGACAGACTCACCCAGCGTGGAGCCGCTTCGCTGTGGCCGCATCGACACGCCAGGCGGAGTGACCAGTCAACGAGGAGGAGACCGGGGGGGCATCTTACGGGGATAAGCTTAATGGTTCGGATGCATATGGGTTGATCGTGTGTGTGGGCGACGCTGGCCGAGAGAGAGCGACCAGTTGCATTGGGAGCCGCCATCCATGCCAACGCAACTCCACCATGTACCATGTACACCTTAGCATCAAGGTATTGTTCCTGGCACGAAACAGGATGATCGACTTTTCCATCGCACTTTGGCCATCGGCTTGACTGGCTGAGAGCCATCTCGAGAATTGTTTTTTCCCCTTCGACTGTAACTCTTGGCACCTTCAAGTTGAGGCCATCCTCATAAATATAGATCACCAGCGTCGTAGTGTCGGCCAATTCTTGTTTGATCGCTGCGCCAGGCACAATAAGCTTCTTTATTAACCTTTACCTTGACGTCGTCCCAACTCTCTTTGTCTTTGTGCCTATCAATGACGGGGACGACGCTGACTCGTCCGGGCCACTCAGGTTGAGACGGGACCTGTCGTGCTGTGCAAAGTGCCGCCACGGTCATCCAAGCGCATGCTGATCACCATGGTCGCCAGCGTCTCGCCTTGGCCTCAGGGCCCGGCGATCGATTTCCCTGGTTGCTCATTCTGTGACCTCCAAGTTGCCACGATAATCGGTTGATCCTGGAGACTCCCTCCTGTGGACAGTACAAAACAGAGCACCACCTTGTCATGTTCCCTGGCGTACGAGACGAACGGCTCTTGGCAACCAGGCCTGGTTTGGTCGGCTGTCCCCGACCACCATCCATTCGGCTCAATCCAAAGTACGCCAGTCACTTGGCAGCTAATGCCTGGATGCACACCCCTCTGGCCTCGGAAAAGGCCAGGAGGCCACCTCCCCCCCACATACCAAGAACGCCTCGACTGTCGGCGCCCATCTTGTCAGCTTGTTGAAGATCTTTCTTTCCCACTCGGGCGAAGAACCCGCAGGCGCTTTGCTCATGGGGAGTAGAGAAGTAGCTTGGAACTGCAGAGGTCACATCGGCCACCGCCCAACTTTGCTGGAGCCACACCCACACGACACCCGGCCGGGCGGTCTACCTGCTTCGCAGCCTTTGGGCTCCCCACCACGCAAACTCGCCCTCACCTTCGCCGCCACCTTCTCAAGCCAAGACTCTAGGAAAAGCTCACAGCACGAGGAAAATGAATCTACCCACAATGGTGCGCCTTGATATATAATTTCTCGCTTGTCCCTCTCTCTTCTCTCCCTTTCTCTCGTGGTCCTCAGTCTTCCGTCTCCGTCTTACAGCAAACACCCTTTCTCTCGTCCCTCCGCCACCGTCTTCGGACGACGACAACCATCGCCATGGCTGCCCTTCCTCAGTACGACTACCTTTTTGCCTTTGGCACCATTTTTGCTTTCCTCGATGCGTGGAACATTGGTATGCTTTTCTGGTGTCTCCCTGCCGCTACGGTCTGCTCATGCTAATCCTGTCCAGGTGCCAACGATGTTGCCAACTCATGGGCGACGTCCGTCGCCTCCAGGTCCATCTCCTACCTCTACGCCATGTGCGCCGCTTCCGTCATGGAGTTTGCCGGCGCCATGGGTGTCGGTGCTCGCGTGGCCGACACGATCCGCACCAAGATTGTCGACACGGAGCAGTACAACGATGACCCCGCCGTCCTCATGCTGGGCATGGTCTGCGCCGTCGTCGCCTCTTCCCTCTACCTGACCTTCGCCACCAAAGTCGGCTTCCCCGTCTCCACCACCCACTCCATCCTCGGCGGTGTCATCGGCATGGGCGTCGCCAGCGTCGGTGCGAAGAACATCCTCTGGGTCGGCTCCGGCGGCGGCACGAACGTCATCAGCACTGGTGTCGTCCAGGTCTTCATGGCTTGGATCATCGCCCCCTGCCTGTCCGCCATCTTCGGTGCCATCATCTTCTCCATCACCAAGTACGCTGTGCTGCTGAGGACCAACCCGGCCATGAAGGGCCTCTTTGTCGTGCCCATCTACTTTGCCATCACCGGCATGCTCATTGCCATGCTGCTCATCTGGAAGGGTGGCTCGTACGAGGTCAACCTCACCGAGCAGGAGATTCCCGGTGTCATTGTCGCCGCCGGCAGCGCCTGGGGTCTCCTGATCGCCACCTTCCTGTGCCCCTGGCTGTACCGTGTCGTCATCCGCGAGGATTGGGAGATGAAGTGGTATCACGTGTTCAAGGGACCCTTCCTTCTCCGCCGCGGCGAGGTGCCTCCCGCGCCCGCCAACTTCCAGGGCCCCATCCGCAACTTCTACGCCGGCCGCCTGACGCCCGAGCAGCTCGCCGCGCGCCGCGCCGATGGTGTCGCCGGTGGCGACGTCGATGTCGAGGCCGCCCAGCCCGCCGTCGCCGGCGAGAAGACCATTGGTTCCACGGCGGCGCTGGCTGCTGCCGAGGAGCCCCAGGCCATGCCCGAGCACAAGAGCCTCGTCGGCCCCAAGCCCGAGGGCAAGTGGAACACCAGGCCCGTGCTGTTCTGGTACTTCAAGTACGCGCTCCTGCACGGCGTCGACAAGGACGTCGTCGGCTCGCAGAACGACAAGGGCGCCATCGGCGGCGACCTCGAGGAGATCCACGCGCGCGCCACGCACTACGACAACCGCACCGAGTTCCTCTTCACCTTCCTCCAGATCATGACGGCGTGCTCGGCCTCGTTCGTGCACGGCGCCAACGACGTCTCCAACGCCATCGGCCCCTACGCCACCATCTTCGAGATTTGGCAGAAGGGCTTCATCCCGCCCGCCGACAAGGCCCAGGTCCCGCTCTGGATCCTCGCCTTTGGCGGCGGCGGCATCGTCATCGGCATCTGGACCTACGGCTACAACATCATGCGCAACCTCGGCAACCGCCTGACGCTGCAGTCGCCGACGCGCGGCTTCTCCATCGAGCTCGGCTCCGTCGTCACCATCATCCTCGCCACCCGCCTCAAGCTGCCCATCTCCACGACCCAGTGCCTCACCGGCGCCACCGTCGGCGTCGGCCTCTGCAACGGCGACTGGCGCGCCATCAACTGGCGCATGGTTCTTTGGATTTACGCCGGTTGGTTTTTGACTCTTCCTGTAGCAGGCCTCATCTCGGGCTCGCTGCTGGCCATCATCATCAACGCCCCACGCTGGTCGTGAGGGTGTGGTGTGGAGTCTCGGCAACAAGGTTCATGGGGATCGGAGGCGTACAACGAGCATCAGCAGGCGGGGAGTTTTGCCAATCAAGGAGTTCAGGGACACATGGATAGTCAGCGCATGGAACAGCTTTTTCCCAGGGCCACAGCTCATTTCGCGGCTGGGTCGGCGAAGCTTTGATGATTTTCTTTTTGAGACGGGGTTTTAGAGAGTGTGGTAAGGGGGCGCGAGTAGCCAGTTGGAATCAAATACCACAGAAATGACAAGAAGCATCCTGACACTCCCTTTCCTCTGTCGATGGTTGACCTACCAAGTGCTGTGCTACGAGAAGTCGGGGCAGTACGACGTGACGCGTCCCGGCGATCCCAACGAGGCAGTGCCGCCGGCAAGGAACAAGGGGACAAATGAGATTCGGAGCCACAGCAGCTGCACCTCTACACAAAACGGATCGGCGCGGCCCGTGTGCTGATTGACGAGGTGACGCCAAGGGGTACGGTGTGACGTCGTAGTGGACGCCCATGGGTTGGGCTTCCATGCGGCCCGTTCGGCACTTGAGAGGTCGAGAGGACCCGGTTGGTCATGGACACGACGCTACCATGTCAACGAGAGATCTGGCGGTGCACCGGTCTGCCTTCGGGGGCCGCACCGTGAGATACGGAGACGAGGCCTCGAGTCAGCACAGAGGAAGGCGGCACATGGGCTCCACTTTTGCCGAGAGGGTGGAGCGGCCCTTCGGCTGCGGCACGGCCGACGGGCGGGCGCATGCTTGTGTCTGCCAGCTACAGCAGCACCGACTTATGTGGCGATGTTTGAATAGTTGGGGAAGTTCTGTATTCTCATTCGTCTCTCATCGAATGTCTTCATGGTATACTGACGCAAGGACCGCAGCTTCTGTCAGTGCAGTGTCATTCTGCTGCATTTTTCTTCAGACGGATTATCCTATGGTAGGAAGACGATGTTAAACTTGATGAAGACAGATGTGGCGATGAATTGCATCCAATACGTACAGTGGTCGGCAGTGCGGCTCTGAAGCACGAACAAACAGACCCGAGGCAAGGGCAGGGTTGGGTCGCGCTTTCCTCAATCATATGCCGCCCAGCAGCACCTGACGCGACGAGCTTGTGCGCGTTCACGACTTGGCAGCTTCGTTGAGCTCGGCTGCATCACCGATCATATACCAAACACCAAACACCAAACACCAAACACCAAACACCAAACACCATCCCAACACATCCGCCAATAGAGAGTAGTTGGCCTGTCGCCCTGGAGTACCGCCAACTGCGCGATCCGATTCCTGCGGCACGTTACCACTGTCCGCCAATCCGACACTGCCGCCGACCACCTTTCATCGGCCTCCCGCATAAGGTACGGAGGCCCTGATGGAGATTCTCAAAAAGCCGCAGCATTCGAACTTCGTGTCTCTTCCACCGCTGCGCGAAACGGGGCGCCGTCACTTATGCCCAAGATACCAGTCACGCCATGGGTGACACTGCCGTGCCGCCGGACGGATCTCAATCTCTGCCTCCCTCCAGGCGTCGTCCTTGCTGGGGCATCGCGTGACATTGGCCTCGCAAAAACGTTCGGCAACCCGTCTGCCTGGATCCGCAATCATGGAGGTCGTCTTAGCAAACGTGCCCGTCGATCTCAGCGATCGTAGCTGCAAACATAGCTTACGCCATACATGAACGCCCTGGGCATCCTCGATTGGCAGTGCACCAAGAAGCGCGCCCAGAAAACCGGCTTCAATGCTTTCGTCGACAAGTCTGATGGCCACAAGTTTCTCCAGCGCCATGGCAAAGTTGCCGGCGCCGGCCCGGCAGCAAACCCCTTGTTCTTTCGCAGAACTGCCGGGCGACAAGACATGGCGCGGCTCACCCTTATGCGTTGCCATGTCTTGCCTCTCTTCGAAACGAAGCCCCGGACCCTTTCCTGATCAAGAGCCTCCAAATGCGCCAGGGTGTACGTCTACGCAACGGCAAAGCCCCCGAGGATGACATTCACCAAGACATGGTCTTCGAGGCGTTAGAATTGGCATGCGGCCACCTCTCGCTCGTGAATCCGACCAAGAGTCTGACCTCTGTTGAGCAATGTTGGTTCGATGCTCCTGGTCACGTTCGCTTTGCCAACAAGATGCTACTCGCTCGCCTCCCCGACAGCGCCATCATCCTCCACTTTGCCTACGACACAACCACTCATCTGATCCACGATTCGAAGGCCGCGACTCTAACGGCAGTCCTTCGCGAAGCCCCCCGCATTTTCCTCAGCGAAAGCCTCGATGGCAATATGGCCGCACTTGATGTCAGAGGTGGCAGCAGATTCAGGTACCGCGTTCCAGAGCGCTACACGCGTATCCCCGCCACGCGTCATCACGAGAAGTACGTTACGAGCTTCTTGGTGTACCAGGTTTCTTGCGAAACTAAACACATTATTCGTCTCGTGAGCCGAACGAGACATCGGCAGCTCTTCCCCATGGCGCATGAGGATCAGCCCCTGACACGAGAGCCCACCAAGAGCCTCGAAGACTTGGAGACCGCAAACTTGAGTTTCCAAGCCAGTCTGTCCGAGTGCGAACGAAGCGAATCGTTTCTTTCCGCGTGTCATTCCTAACACAAGCACTGGCGTCGAATAACGACCTGCACCCGCACATTGCAGACTTGCTCCTCTTCTGCATTCGCCAGGTGTTCAGCACAGCCAGGAAAGCCCAACAGTCGCACGACCCTGTTTCTGCCGAGGCAGTGAAAAGTCTATACCAGGGCATTCCATATCCATATCCAGGCATGGAGCCAAGTGACCTGGATCCTGTGGCTTTGATGGCGCTCCTCCTCAAGAAGGTAGCTCGCACCCGAAAGGAACAGCCATGACTGCTTTCAAGCACGCATCGAATAAAGACCACGCTTGGGTCTTCAAAGCCAACATCACACCCCCCAGACTTACCCTTCATGGTCCCGAGTATGAGCCGATGAATCGAATGTTGCGCAAGTTCTCCGATCATGCTAAATATTTCATGCGAGTCCAATTATGTGACGAAAATGGCGACGACAACTTTTTCTCGGCCAAAGCCTCCAACGACAATATCTACAACCGATTACGCAAAGTGTTTCAGAGCGGCATTCAAATTGCTGGTCGCGTGTACTCTTTTCTCTGATTCTCTCACTCTTCATTGCGCTCTCACTCAGCTTGGTTTTCAGCACCAGAAATCCATGCTTAAGTTCCCCAGATACCGACTACATCTGCGGCGCTGCGTCTCGCCCACTCAGGATGGTGCTCAACCGCCAAATGACCAAAATCCTCGAAGACAGGGGCGTCCGAGACGAGTGGTTCTTCAGCCAGCAGAAGCGAGAGCTTGAACGACTCCACGCCGTCACGGCTGGTGCGTGGAACACCGGGGCCTTTCTGCAGCTCCAAGGCATCGGCTCGGCATTTTACCTCTCGACATTCATCAACCCGCTCGACAAGTATGGTATCAACTACAGGCGCAATGACTTCCTGCGGTGTACTGTGGAGGCCGTAGTGTTTCAAGAGCTCCGCCTGCTGAAACATAAGGCGAGGATTCCCATGCCTCAAGGCGTGACTTTCTTCGGAATCATGGATGAGTCTGGGTTTCTTTCCGAAGGCGAGGTTTCCGTGTGTTACGACTCGTGCTACAACGGCTCTCTGCCGATCGACAGCACTCTTAACGATGGAAATATTCCTGTCATCCGGTCCCCTGCTCTCTACCCAGGCAACGTTCCATCAGTGAGGATGCGGACGCCGCCAGTGGGATATCCATTGCGAGACTTGAGGAACTGCATCGTCTTCAGCCAACATGGCGACCAGGACCTGCCGAGCCAGCTTAGCGGTGGCGACCCCGACAGCGATCTGTACAACATCATCTGGGATCGACAGGCACGCCCGAAACGCTTTTTGGCCCCGGCCGACTACCCTCGGATCACACCAACGGAGCTGAACCGCCAAGTCACGCGGGACAGCAAGGCTGGTTTCTTCGTCGACTCTATCAAGTCCGACGTGCTCGGAACGATTACCACGGAACACCTCTTCTAAGCAGACCAAAAAGAGGAGGGCATTTTGGATGCAGACTGTATCATTTATGCCCGGATGCACTCCACTGTGGTTGGTTTCTCCAAGCAGGCATTCCTGTGGCATTCCTGTGGACATGCAAGTCATGCCAAAAACCAACAGAATCCGCTCCGACTGGTAGGCATCCGCCTTTCGCTTCTCGCTTCCTTCTTGTCTCTTGTCTCGGTCAGGTCCATGGAGCTAACAGCATTCAGCTTTGCCCCGGCTCCTCCTACCCAGTACGCCGACTGGCAGCAGATTGACTTTGACGAAAAGCCGTCTGCCTCTTTTGACGGCGAGGACGAGGAAGTGGATGCTTTCCGGCCGACGCACAAGTTTTATCTGTCAAACAAGATCCTTGGCCGCCTTTACCGCTATATTGACGGAAAGAGCATGTGGGATCAAGACGTGCGACGCCCTGTTACAACGGAAGGTCCAACTGTTTGGGAGCAATTCATCGGTATGATGGAAAAGAAACTATTGGAGCATGTTCCCGAGGTCGGCAAGATTTCCTGAGGAGACTGGAAAGCTGAAGCCTGGGCGTTTCGAAACATCTAAGTCAAGCCTCATCAAGCCTTCTCACGTACTGCATGATTCGCTGACAGACGTCGGTATGAGGATGCTGTACACAATGTCATGTACGAATACTCGCACAGCCACCTGAGGATGTTGACAGAGATCGAGGTCTTTTGTGTCTTCATTTTCAGCAAGACGGGGTCGCAGACGCGACAGCAGGCCGACAACTCGAAGAAGCTCAAGGAGACGTTTGTGCGCATGTCCGAGACTCTTGTCGCCAATACACGACAGCGTACCCGGGAGACCGAGAAGGATACGCAGTACATGCCTCCTAGATCGGCTCCGACGTCAGGCGTGGATGATCCCCTCGATCGAGCACCGGCACCAAACCTGCGTGCGTTAGAGTTCTCATGGGCATGCTTGCAGGTCGGCCTCCAGGATAACGAGTACGATAATCGCGCCATCATGCAAAGCTTCAGGATTATCGAAGCGAGTTACTTCCTCAAAGAAGTCACTGAATTTGTCAATCATCTTGTGAATGGTAAGGTTGCATCGACGGCCTCCGCGAGCGGCACCGGTGAGTCAAGGGGAGATCGCATGATCCGACATCGTTCCCGCGGAATGGAGCGAACCCATATAATTTTGACGGAGGACATCTCACGAACTATGAATTTACGCAGTATCTCTGAGGCCTTATCGGAAAGACGGCTGGATGGACCAGGAATGATAGCAATGATGGGACGAAGGCGACAAAAACTGTCGAGGTGGAGGTCAAGATTTACGACGCTGGCGAGAATCATGCCAAACGTAACGAATGAGTTTTTAATTTTAGTGACACATTGACTGACGTTCACGATAAGAACCTCAGCCAAAGTAGTGTTACGCCTTGGGTAGGGCGGTAAACCATGCCAAGCAATCTGTCCGAAACGCAGAACTTTGCCAATGGAGTTCCGTCGTCATCGTCCTGCCAATTATCATCTCCGACAACGCCGTAACCCTTCATCCAGAAGCCAGCATATGTCCCAAAGGTAGTACGAGAAGTCTTGCAATCTGCACTCCCGCTTTGTCGGTCAGTGCTGCGAGTTAGGAAAGAATACATCGGCCCCGTCGTCCTGAAGCTTGAGCCTCACATCAAGGGACTTCCTTCCACACGGATACTTCCAGGTGAGCGTAGCTGAGATCACCTCTCCATGCAACAGAGCATTGCGTCGCATACTAGCCAGACGGCCGAAAACTACATCTAGAACAAGCGGCAAGTGGGGCAATAAGGAATATACAAACCGCCTCCCCCTCCTTGTCTGACTTCGTGGCAGGCCTGCCGCCCCTTTTTGTGCCGCCGATCAGGCCCGCTCCCCGCCCAGACATCGGATGCCCACGATCGCTGGGTTTACTCCTACATCTCGCACACCGTATCAACATGTACGTTTGGACCGAGACGACGTCCATGTCTGACCAACAGCCAGGCGCGACCCGGAACGAGAGCACGGTGGTCGAGGCATGTGTTGCTTTTTTGCCGGTGCCTGCAAGAAGGTGTACTGCGCGCCCCGACACAACGTTTGGGCAGCAAAATAACTCGTTCAAACGCGGGCCAGAAAGGGGAACTTGGTGTGTCGTCCTCGATTGTCACCATGACGCATGAGATCGACTTGACTGAGCAGCGATCGTTCGCCTTGGCCATCATGTTATTCCAGGGACCCGGCCCGGATTGTGGCCTCGTCCGGCAAAGGTACACTGTGAGGCGAATAACAAGTTTGCCTATGATGTCCTGCCCTCTAACAGGCGGTGCAAGAGTGGCCGAGCTGCATCGCAAAAGAACAAACCACAGAGTCCGCCGACTACATTGCCAATGACGAATCTCCTTCAGGAAAATAGTACATTCAACCTCGACCGTGCATGGCAGCAAGCACGCCATGTACTTGAGACCAAGTAACGGGTGGGTGGCCATCTGCAGGTTGCAAAACTTTACAGATGTGATACATGTTCCTCGCGAAGGCGTGGATGTAGCTCTGGCTTTCTCGATGCCGGCGTCTTGCGTGCGTCGATGCCCATCGGCGGCGAACTCCCAAAAGATGTAAACAAACCCGATGCACTTGAGGGTGCCGCGACAATGGCTTATATGCCTAGTGTACGGACCGGCAAGCCCACATCCATTGACGTCTTCGCCAGACCCCGAAAAGTCAGCCCTCTGACGCCCGACAAGGACATCTTATCGATGCCCAAGCTCCTGGGACCATCCCGTATCATTGTCCCGCGACCCCCACCTTGTCACGTTGCCCCTCCTGTTACTGGTAGACACCAATGAAGCAGAATCCAACATTGCTCCTCATCAACCCGTAGGACCGTTGCCGCGACGCCGACGCCGACAGTTTCATCACATAAACGCCATGGCCACTGGCCGGTTTGCCTTATGCATATTGTCTTTTTCAGTACGCTGACAAAAAGAACATGATGGATGTCGAAGGACAATGTAGCTGAACAACATCAGACCGACGTCCATGTCAGAGTAAGCGAGTCAAATGATGGGAGTCAACAGCTAGAGCATTCATAGGCATTGAGCCAGCAAATATACTCCCCAAATAGGGGCTTGACACATCACAAGGAAGAGCACGAAGTTTCCTGTGGGCAACGCCGCCTATAATATGCATTTGTCGCCCGGTCGATTCGTTGTTGGAGCCTCAGGATTGGTTGATGAACAGATCTTTCAACACCCACAATCGCCGTGTACATCCACGCGAGACTCTGATTCTCCGCACGGGCCTGGTTCAGTACGCCAGTCTTTCAAGCTTACGCAGCCACAGAATCGCACCCGTGTTTGGTTTTCAAGTTGTACGTGGAAGGACGTGACGGTTGGCCGGATAATCATATGTCCGATAGCTCGCGCCAACCGCTTCATTTTCATCGTCCTTTAGACCGCCAAGGTTTAGTGGTAATAATGCAGATCGAATGCAGGCTTTAGGACGAATAGCAAACTAAGGAAAAGGGACCACGGGCCACGACTATTCAGCAGGAACAGAGGGAAGAAGCTGTGGAGAACCAGGCAAGCCAGGGTACGCTCTGTGTAATCCAGCGGCAGTGACGGGCAAGTTGAATTGCACCAGAATGCTGGACATGTCGGATACTTCGGGTCTCCTTGCCGAATTCCAGCGACGGCAGCAGCCTTCACATTGCGTGCCGCAGCATTAACCTCACAGGGCGACACGCTGAACAGAGGGCAGCTCTTTCCGTGGGGCTCGTTCTGAGTTCTTAACCATGGAACCGTGGAGTGTCAGAAAGACAAGGTGGCATTGGCTTTTAGCTGGGAACAAAATTGGCATGGCGAAGTCGATACTTTCAGTGGTGCGGAGTAAGACTTCTCGATTCAGGAGGCAAGGAGAGCCTGCACTCAAATGCAGCGGGCCCTTCAGGGTAGGCGGATCATTTCCGGTACTCTGTGCCCCTGCATCGTTGGTACGGGAGATCATGATCGTGTGTGAAGTTGATGAAGAGCTAATGGGCCACAGGTCGCAATTTCGATTCACCTGCAGGCCGCCAATAGTGTTGAGTCGCCGGGGACTATTTCGCGTGGCAAGCGGCGGGAGGCCTGAGAACGAAAATGGGTCGCGAAGGAATAGGGGTTCAGTTCAGTACGTCAGCAGGGTCGTCTGTTTCGCCACGACCTCCACAATACTTTCGCTACCTAGATTTAAGGATGGTCAGACATGAGCGATGGAGTCAGAAGGCGTGAAAGCGGCGACCATAACCGTAGGTCGAAGCGTGTCGGGCCGGCGGGCGGGTGTAGGGCCATAGTCGGGTGAGCCCGTGTCATATTGAGTTTGGCATGCCGCGCCAGGAAGGCGGTCGCAAATTGTGTGCAACCACAACTTGAACAGCGTCCACTGCGAAAGAGGGTGGCCGACCTGAGCCGCATTTTCGCTGCGGCAGCAATTGTCAAGCGCAACAAATTCCGTTTCCAAGGGACCCTTTCGAGATTCCATACAGGCCTTCTTTCGTCGAAGCCCAGCCTAGCCAGTCCGGCGGCCGGCAGCTGGTCTGGCCCTTGGTCCCAAGCCGTTGGAACGTTCGGATCGCTCAAGGATCTGAGCTGGATAGTGACATCGGCGTTCGGTGGGCACTGGGCACTGGGCACTCGGTTCGATGGGTCCTTGCCAGAGTGGCTCCAGCTTGCCCTGGATCAGCCAGCCTGCGCGCTCTGGGCTCTGTGCCTATTCCTATTTGCTCGCTAAGTGCAGTGGCGGAGGTTCGCCTACGCTCATTTGCCCTGAGGATCGGGTGTCAGTTTTGTGTGATGGCCCAGGGGTTCCATCGCATTGGCGATATCATGTCTAGGCTGGGCAACATCGGGTTGTCTCAGTCTTTCGGCCTGTATCGTATCGTCATGGAGCGTAGATGCCTAGATCTGTTGGCTATGCATGATCGAGGTAATGACTTGAGGTTGCATCACATTATGTGCGCAAAGACCAGGTAAGTACAATGCACAAGCATCGAGTCTGGGCGACTTGCAGCTTTGTTGAGAACAATAGGCCTCGGAGGCTCAGTTCGCTGAAAAAGGAACCAAAAGGGGAACCAACCGTCAAGTATCTGAAGTACCGAAGGCGATTGCGTGGCGACTGTCGGTAACAGTGCCGAATGGCAGGAGCGAAATCGCCAGCGGATTGTCCTGCCAGGTCGATGCGACCATAGGCGTAATGCATGGTGTGTTATGTACGTGTGGTGCGGATGCGGTGCCGGTATGTACGTAGTTCGTTGGTGGTGGATGGAGAGTGAAGCGGGGTCATTTGTGTGTGTGTGCGTGCATAGCTGAGACCTCAAGACTCTTCCATATGTACCTTATCTCTGGATGGGCAGGCATGAAGAGGTTCTGTCTGAAGCACCTCCTGATGCAGCTGCAGCATGTGTGTTGTTGTTGATTATTTCGACCTAGATGTGGTTCAAACAAATGCATCCAGATCCAATGTCTTTGCAATATCAATGGCAAGGTTGCCCCAAGCTCCTGGTGATTGAGTTGGGGGGCTGTTCTGTTGTTCTAGTGAGGTGTCAGGCAAGTCAGGAGTCAGGAGCCAGTCGATGGTCCCCCTCCTGCCCGTCAGCAGACCCCACCCAAATCAGTGACTGGGGAGGACAGTGTTCGAAACGTAAATGACTGTGTGAATGTGTGGCTCTTGCCGTGGCTTGCGCCGTTCTCCCTTGCTGCATCCAATCAAACACCTCGTATTCAGCAGCTGACACTGTCTTGCGCACTGCTCCTACCTCCCCCCTTTCTCCTCCTCCCCTTCCCCCCCCCCCTCCCCTTTCCCTGAAGGCCCCAGCCCAGTACAGGCACTCTCATCAGAGGCAAGAGGCAAGGGAGAAGGCTGGGATTGGAGAGGCTTTCGAGAGGGACGGGAAGGAGCGACCAGGCAAAGCCCCATAGCACTTACCACTAGACAGCAAGCTATGGATACCCCATCCCCGTCCCCCGTCCGTCCGTCCCCATCCCAACCACAGTGAGGCAGGCAAGAAAAAAACCTACCCTTCGAATCCACTTCTCCTCTGCCTTGCCTCTTGTCCCCCCAAACACCACCATCACCACCACAATAACCTCCCTCCTTCTCACCCAAGACTGTTGGGCAACCTCACGAACCCCTCGACATTTCGCCCCCCTTTCTCCCTCCTCCCTCCTCCCTGCGCCTGCACCGTAAGCTCATGCCTGCAGCGCATACCTGTCCCGACGCGGACTCGCTCTAAACTACACCTCAGCAACGAGCCAACCCTGCGTCACCCATTTGACTCCGGCATTCCTCGCCTGCTGCGCGTTCTGGTTTCCTCTCACCGTCACCCACACGACGCTTCGCGAAACCACCCCGAGGCGGCTTGCACTGCGTTTGCATCCGCTCCCGCACTCTGATCAAAATTGTTCCTGCTTCGAAAGAGGCAGACGACGAATTTGCATCCAGGTACCTCACTGTGGAGTCCCGAAGAGGAGCCAACCCACTGAATACAGCTCCCGCGCAACCAGAGACACTTGCAGCGACTTGCCACATCGTGCGACCCCCTCGGCTGCCCGCATGCTCTTCGCATCCCGTCTCTGAGAAACCTGCACGACCTGACGACAAGCCGACGAGACAAGGAACGAAACGTTCGATCTCGCCGACACGAGACGCAAGTTTATTGTTAATGCTGCGACCTTTCCACGCTTGCATCATTCGCGCACTCTCTCTCACCGCCCGGGCTTCCTGCATCTGTCTGCCGACTCTTGCCAGCACATAGCCACTACAACCACAGCGCTCTTCATAATGAGCCAGCAACAGCACGATATGTATCTCGACTACGCACCTCCTTCGAATCGCTCTCCCAATTCCTCGCGCCCTTATCCAGGTGGCAGCGGCTTCCAACCCGGCATGTCTCTGCCTCGCCAGACCCAGAGGCCTTTCGATCCGCCTCTGGGCTCATCTGCCCTCTACTCGACCGACCGCCTGACAGGGGGCTACAACCCGCGAGGCATGGATCAAATGAGCCATCAAGGAGGGATGCAGGGCGGCTATATGCCTGACAACAACCAGGCATGGTCTTACAACCCTGCAGCTGTTGCCACGGTCAATGGCGCCATGAACGGCACAAGCCGGCAGAGGAGCGTCAACCGACGCAACCCCATTCCTACGGTTAGTAGCATGCATGATGGCGTATGCGTTGAGCGTATGGTACTGACAGGCGTCGACAGAACTGGACCGATCAGGGCGGCATGGGCATGCCGTACGGCTCGGTTAGCCTCAACGGTACCCCTTTGTCAAGCGGTATGAGATACGACCAGGGACAGCATGACATGCGTGGCGGCCCTGGCGAAGAGCAGCTGATCCCGACGGCCATTGTCATCAAGAACATTCCCTTTGCGGTTCGCAGAGAGACTCTAGCGGGGCTCATGCTCGAGATGCACCTCCCGCAGCCCTACGCGTTCAACTACCACTTTGACAACGGTGTCTTTCGTGGTCTTGCCTTTGCCAACTTCTCCTCGCCTGATGACACGAAGATCGTGATTGAGGCTATGAACGGCATGGACGTCCACGGTCGCAAACTTCGCGTCGAGTACAAGAAGATGCTGCCAGAAGCCGAGCGTGAGCGCATTGAGAGGGAGAAACGTGAGCGTCGTGGACAACTGGAGGAGCAACACCGTGCACCTATGCTCCACCAGCAGCCTTCTGTTTCTACGCTGAACAGCATGAATAACGGCCAGTCTCGTGGTGGAGCTAGCACCGCCCTCGGTATGTATCTGTTTGTGCTCTGTAATCGTCCCCAAACCCGCTAACCCTAAAGCTTCAGGCGATGTGAACCTGAATGACCCAGAGACACTCGAGTTTTACACGGAGCTCACCCTGTTCAAGCAGGACAATAACCGCGAAATCCTCATCTTCCCATCGACTGTGGCACCTGAGCAGCGCCGCCAGATTCACATCTTGGCTCACCATATGGGTCTGGAGCACCGTTCCGTTGGCGATGCCGACTCGAGACAGATCCATGTGCAGAAGCGCCATCTCCCCTCGCCCACTTCGCAGATGCCCACGGCGCCCGCCGTCGGTCTGGATTACCACAAGAAGGGGCTCAGCAGGGCCGCTACCTTCGACTTTGCCGCAGACAGGGAGCGAGAGACCAGGGCCGTCACCGGCAACTACTCTCACATGCTGGGCCGCCAAGGACCCACCCTCGAGCTGCCTGGCAGCCCTGATGGCACGGGTCTTGCCAATCTTCGAGCTGCCAAGAGCTTTGCCGATCTCCGATCGTTCAGCCCCAGCCCCTCGGCCTCGTCGTCCAGCTACTTGACGGCCGTCAACAATGGCATGATGCCTCCTGCCAGGTTCACTGAATATGCCAGCGGCATGAACCAGGGCAACTCACTCGCGACCCCCAACCTGACCCCGACTACGCCGGGTACGTCGAGCACCCCTGGGAACGACAGCCTGCTGAACTCTCTGGGTGCGCTTAACCTGGGAGCTTTCGAGGCCGCGACTCATGCGCAGCCGCGCAACACCCCCGGCGCGATCGGTAGTCAGCGTCCCGGCGCTGTGAACAGCCGCAACGGAGCCCCCGAGAGGCAGCCACGAGGCCCGGAATGGGAGGCGTCGGCTGGCTTTGGAGGCCGCACCCGCACTAACGGCCATATGCAGCGAGGAAGCGGTAAGTGACACCCAGATCAGTCGACTGTGAGGCGTGCTAGGCTAACCCAAACTTTGACAGAAGACTCGTCTGACAACGGCGCGCGTTCCACCGCGTCCCGCTACCACTGAGGGCCGAAAGCCCAACGATGACACGACTCATGAAGACTCGATGGATAGAGACGACGAAAAAAAAGCCGAGATACCAGCGCAAGCAAAACCGCTGTACAGATTATTCTCCTCACCCCAGGAATCTCCACCCGCCCTCATACGACTTCGCTTGCTTTTTTGACCACCTCTACGTTCCCCTCCCCGTACTGTTTATAATGATTGTTGCAAAGCTTTTCTCGACTGTTGCATTTGGTGGATAGAAAATCACGCGACGCTGGATTGGATAGCTCTGGTCCCGGCATCATCTTGACGACCGTTTTTTGGACGAACACGGACAGTGATGAGGATTCAAGACGCTCTCACTCTCATGGGCAACCATATCACGACCCGACACGGCCCCGGCTCCGACAGGCCGCCGCCCTGCCCTTCCTTACTCCACACCATGGTGCTGGACAGCGAAGGATGTTTGACGACGATTTTATGCTGTTACGACGTGACGTCTAGACGGACAACAGCCCCCTTGACGAAGCCCGTCTTCGGACGGTGCGGGCGTGGCTAGCAACGGAGACGACTACGACGATATACCCACCTAATCCTACCCGAACCTCGGTCTCTCAGCATCAAGTCCCCATGTTGACACCCTGGGCTCCCCTTTCGACACGACCTGGGCGCTTCAGAAAAGTTAGCCCCTTGTCGGCGTTGATTTGCTTTTGCTTTTTGTTTCTGTTGCCCTGGGAAATTTGGCCTCGGGTGAAACGGCGTTTGGTTTTGCATTTGTTGGTGATTCGATCTCTTGTTTTTTTTTTGAGCTTTCCATCTTGACGGTGGTGGGCTAGTGTTGCAATTTATCTGATTCGCACATCGCACATACGATTTAGTAGGAAAAGTGGCAGTTATGTCGCGGGTGACCGCTTGGACGGTACCTGATGAAGAGGTGACGGAGTGGAACGAAGTTGATGCGGCAACGAGTAATGGGGATCGGCACATTTACTGTGTTAGACTTCCAACAGCCACTGTTGAATATATTGCACCGTTTTGTTTGAGTTCGGAAGCTGTTGATGAATATGTTGTCTCCCAAGTGCGTCCTTTGCATGCCTTGTCTTCGCTGCTGGACATTGACGAGAACCGGGTCTTGCTTGTAGCCCTTTACAAGATGTTTGCTCGATAGACTCCAAAATACCGGCAGTCTGTATCATCAGTCCGAGCTAGGCAGGGTATTTACACTAGAAGGACACAACATTGGACAGGCATCGCTATTCAACGGCGAGCATATCAAGAATGGGCAACTGCCACGTCTTTGTCCATCGTCCCTTTGTCTTGTTGAGGCACGGTCAGCAGCCTGCCCGACACAGCCTTGTGAGGCGCCGTTGAACAGCATCTGCCCAAACGAGACAAAGCACTCGGGTAATAAGCGCGATGACGGCGATCCATCTTGTTGCTGGGCCTGGCGCGCCTTGTTATGTCGTTTCCTTTGTCCCTAGCAGCCATCCGAGTGGCGCTGGTTGCGTGAGCTGTATAGTGTCGAGTTGGGTTGGTGGATTCCACGATCCAGGTGGTGAAGTGATGGTGGTGGTTGGGGCGAGGGGCCAGATTGTGTATTGGAGAGTCGGATATAGAACACGCCGTTTCCACGCAGGAAGATGGGCAGTGTCGTTCACATCGTCGTGCCGCTTATTCTGCACCAGCCCGCTTCATCTGGTCCTCTTCCAGGCAAGGGATATATCCCAAGCAGACGAAACTTCTTCCCTCCCTCAGACGATGACACCAGCAAACAAAACAATGCGAACCCTCGCAGTGCAGATGCACCCCAAACATCAACCGAGGCCTCAAACCCTGCCAGTATCACCCCTGCTGAGGGGACCCCAGGACATAACCCCCAAGCCTCGCGCCACCCGCTCTCCAACGACGGCCTCGTTCCCGCAGCCCCCGGCCGTCGAGGAACCCGCGTCAGCTCCACCGCGGACGCCGATGCCCTGGCGCTGGCGCTGCCACGCCTGCGGCGCCACGTTTCGCCTCGCCTGCACGCGGCGCTGTCTCTGCTGCGGCCACGTGCTGTGCACCGAGCGCGATCGCAGGGGCAGGATGTGTCGTGCCGAGTTTGACTATGAGGGGTGGGCTGCGTATGGGGCGTGGAGGGGGGAGCGGAGGGGGGGCGGGAGGAGTGGGAAGCGGGTGACCGAGGGGATGAGGGACGAGGTCGCTTCTTCTTCTTCTGCGGCTGCTGATGACGGGGATGGTAATACCGCGGTCGAGGGGCAGGGCTGCTTCTCCGAATGTGACTGGCCCAGTCAGTGTCGGTATCGAGCGAGGGAGAGGCCTGTTTCGCCTGTAACTGGTGTTGGGATGTATGAGGTGGCGGGGGTGGTGGAACATGTTGAGGTAGCTTCGGGGGCCGCTGGGGGAAACGTCTGGGGGCGTGAAGAAGACGAGGAGGGCGAGAAGGACGAGGAGGACGAAGAGTATGAAGATGATGAAGAGGATGAAGGCGATGAAGGTGATGAAGAGGAAGAGGAGGCAGGCGCTTTCGCAATATTCATCTGGTGCGATGGCCCTGAGACGATAGACCCGCGGTTGCTCGGTCTACACGGCCAGGCAGACGGGCATTGGAGCTTGGCCGGGCAGAGGTGCGAGGACTGCATAACTGGGCAGGACATCTGTAAAGGGACCGAGCTGTAGAGGTATCTGAGCAGAGGCTGCACAAGGCGAATACATAGAGCTCATACACATCACCACATCACTCACCACACGGACGGTGCGCGCAAAAGCCCCCCATTACCAAGTAGTATCATCTACCTATCTCCCCATCAGCCACCCCCACAAGCCTGATCGGGGCGAACCGGGAACCGTGTTGTACAATACTCGAAGACGACAGCTCGAGGCAGACAGGACGGGCCGGGAGCCCTCGGCATGCGCGGCCGGGCCGGTGGTCTGTCCTGATGAAGCGCGCGGCATCCCAAGCGACTGAGTAGTCAGTTGGGCTGGAGGAGAAAACAAACAAGGCCCTCAGGCCTCGAGGTCTCCAGAGCCTTGCCCCGCGGTCGCTGCCCCAGCCTCGGCAGGACGTCTCGCCGTCGACCCAAACAAGACCACAAAAAACATGTCATCGAACCGAACCCCGTCCGGCGACCCCGTCGTGAAAAGAGATAATCCCGAGAAAAAATTCCATACGCAGAAGCGCCTCAAAAAGGCGCGTGACAGGCCTCGTCGCGTCGACGCGTTTCTGGCGTCTACGCCTCGAGCTGCTTGGCCTTCTTCTTCTGCTCAACCTTTAGCAGCAGCGCGCGGTTGATGTGCGGCAGCACACCACCAAAGGCGATGGTGGCGCGGATGAGCGTGTCGAGCTCCTCGTCACCGCGAATGGCAAGCTGCAGATGGCGGGGCGTGATGCGCTTGACTTTGAGATCCTTGGCGGCGTTCTGCATTGCGCGTTAGTCAAGGACGTGACGGTGGCGGACATGAGGGATCAGGCAGAAGCGATTGGGGTGAGGGGGTGACAGAGAGAGGAAACGTACGCCTGCGAGCTCGAGAACTTCAGCAGTCAGGTACTCGAGAACAGCGGTCGTGTAGACGGCAGCCTTGGCTCCGACGCGCATCTTGTTCTGGGTGTTCGACTTGAGGAAACGCTTGACACGACCGCAGGGGAACTATGGTAAGGGTCAGTAACGGAATTCGAGGCTGCACGCGACGGACGAAAGCTGTGTGTGTGGTGTGCGATGCGCGATCAATCCAGACACCAAATCCGACCCTGTTGCTTATCAAGTCGCGTCGAGGGGTTCGCATCGATATCAGCCGAAAAGACGTGTCGAGCAATGAAAACAGTGCAGGCCATGGCGATGCAGCCATGCCCAAAGGGTGCATCATCGTGGTGTCTCCACAAACGCGTCGTGATCGAGGCTGTTGGTGATCGAATGGTCGGTGGATCAAAGGCTTCGTCGCATTCACGCACACTCGCACGCACAGCCATGTCGCAAGCATGAACGAGCTCACGCGACTTGACGCAACGTACCTGAAGACCAGCACGCGCCGAGTGGCTCTGCTGCTTCTTGGGGCCGCCATCGGCTGAGGCCTTGCCTCCAGAGGTCTTGCCGCCAGACTTTCCCTTGCCTCCAGCCATTGTTGATGCGATGCGCGGTTGGTTGGAAGTGGATTCGGTGTTGCCAAGGGGTCCGAGGTTGACACGGAAAATCGGAAGTTGATGGTTGATCGAAAAAGGTGGACGTCGGTGTTGATGGTGGTTGATGTAAACAGATTTTTTTTTCGCGAATCGAACTCGAAACCGGTGGTGGGCAGGTGGTGATGTTGATGGATGGGGGGGTGGTCGTGATGGTGGAGCGGAGGAGACGGGGGAAAATCTCAAGGCTCGAGCGTGCTGATGCTGGAGCTGGCGGGAGCGTTTTGGGGGGGGGGGGACTGCGCGCTGAATGTTTGTTGTCTTGGACCTGGCCTGGCGAGTAAGGGACGTACCTACCTACCTAGTGAGTAGGTGAGTTCGGTGAGTAGGTGGTGGGTGCTAAGGGGGCCGAGGAGGGGCTGCCTGCCACCTGAGCTGCAACTGTCATTTTCCCCCCATCCCTGGTCTCCCCATCTCTTTCTCTCTCTCTCTCAGAATCTCTCAGAGGCTCCCGTCTGTTATGATCGTAGCGCGTGGCTGCCTGCCTGCTCCCGGGCTTGTTGACAAGCTGGTGCGGGCAAAAGGGAGGCCAGCGCCCAGAGGAATGTTGGTCTCACCCGAGGTTCTACCGGCCGGCCACAGTCCCGTATGACTTGAAGATGCGGGCAGGCAGAGACCAGAGGTAGTGAGGCGGTTGGATGAGCCAGCCATTGTTGTGTCCTGGCTCTCGCCACTTGGCAATAACATTGCCCGAATGGCTCCGGGAAGTCAAGGAGACCCGTATTGAGCCCTTGGAGCTTTTTTCGAGGGGACAGACCCTGTTGTGCAGGAGATATACTGACCTGGCCAAGCTTCCACGAGCGGCACTCTGGCGGCTACCAGCAGAAGCGGGAGCGCCAGCGAAAAGAAATGTCCACAACTCTGCAACCACGCGGTGTGCTTGTGGCTGGACTGCTGAAGGCGATCAAAAGGGGCATCTGGGTGATACTCGAGGGTTTTGCAGCTTCTCCGAGCCCAAGAGCGGGCTCGTCGTCGAAGCATACAATGCCATGTCGGCTTCTAGAGTTGGCTCAAGCGAGGCCCTGAGATCCAAGTGTCCCGCACGCTCGATGCTGTGGCTGGTGCATCACGTGCCAGACAGGTGTCTGTGGCTGCAAGCGCCGTGGCCGGCCACATCACGTGACGCTATGCGGCAGGCCATTATGTCGACCTGTCTCCTTTCCATGATACTTCTGCAGCAGCACTCACAGGCCATGGACGGCTTTCTCGATGGCGAAAGCGCCAAAAGGTTTCCCTTCGATGAGACGGATTCGCGATTCGGTCCCATGACATCTTGCTACACGCTGCTTCACCTCCACTAACTTCTAGCTGTATCAACAAACGGTCAATTCTATCCTCGTACCATCCGTTGGTAGTGGCCAACGCCCACATAGGCCCCGCTCTGACCGCCTGCGCGATGTTGACGCGAATCAACAAGTACTATCCGTTTGCCTTGGGAAGTAGGACTGTGTCTACTTCCTTTTTCAGTCGCGCTGGCCATCGAGAGAACCTTCGCTGGCTTGCTGGCTGGGGTTTCAAAACCCTCTGCATATCAAGCACCACATGCTTCTTGCCACTGGCAACCGAAGTCGACTTCACGTCCTCGAAGGCAGTATGAGGTCGCTCTGGATGCCGGCTCAATCCACCAATTGGGAGGGACTTCCCACGCCATGGTGTAGTTTGCACAAGAAGTGGATGGCAGCCTCGAGATTGTCCGCATTTTCGCGCTCCTCCAATCCGTCAAGGACGATATAATTATCATCAAACTGCGTTTGCTGACCTCGGATGATCCTTGAGAATTTGTGGAGATTCCATGGGTTATATGGACATCCTGTTATGCCTTCGCCTTTGATTCGGATATCGGAATCGAGAGTCTCATATGTGAAAGACGACGCTCTGTCTTGCATGAGTAATTGTACTATCAGAGCTTGTTGCAAATTCTTTAGGTCATTTGACGTGCCATCCAAACCGCCAAAGAAGAAATAGCACAGACTCTTCTTAGAGCTATCGATGCATTCCATCTAATGATTCTGTATGACTTGAGAGCTTGATGCGAAATGAGCATATGTATCGTGACGAATGCGAGCTCCGAGCTCAAACGTCCCTCAACACTGCTTTTCCGCACCCCGCTACCAGACAATGGTCATCAATGTCATGATCCAACGTAGTCTGGGGGAGAGCAGAGCGAGACATACGGATACCATGGAGCCACAAAAGCCTGCCCGGCTCCTGCTTCCGTTAAATGTAAGCTGGGTCCACAATGAGCGATTCGCCAGTTTCGGACGCACGCTTTTCAGACGCTCTCCGTAGTTTAGGCCCTTAATCTGATTTTGCGTCAGATTCGGAGTCTTGGCCATTTGTTCATCGGACAGGATAAATTAGCATCACTACAGAGACCTAACAATTGACCTACTGCCTTTCACCCTCATCTTAGCACGGTCAATGGGGCTAGCCAAACCGTCTTGAATGCTGGACACACCCTAAACCTGGTCGACAATCTTGCAAATATTTTGTTCGGGGGACGTCAGATATTCCAGACACAATGCTCTAGTGGTCAGAGGAGAGTCTGCAGGCGGCAGGGTGAGCTCATGCACTGTCAGCTGCCAGGGCCAACTGGAATGTGCTTTTGGTCCTCTCCATGATTGAGAGTGACTTTTCTGCTTCCGGCTTGTTCAGGGGCCTTTTGAGAGCAAATATGCGACTCTTCTTTACAGATGGTTCAAGCAAAGCCTTCGACGTATTGAGCTCCCGCAAATACGCTTCCAAAGGGCCCCCTTTCACGCCCATGGCTCTGAGGGACGAGAGGGATGCTTGGGAATCAATACTATCGTACACGTTGACATATCGACCAGACATTCGGCGACATTGCGAATTCCCAATGCCTCGTCGGACATGCGTGAGACTTCGTCGGGGTATCTTTTACAGACTTCTGAGACTCATCGCAGGAGACGATGACCCTGGAGGATACATGGGCGAGAGCGATGAGAATGTCGGCTATTACGATGGGGTCCATCTTGACAGAACCGCACTGCTGCCTCGGTTTCTGTGTGATTGAGGTGCGTTAGGAACCTAGATCTCGGCGAAACCAGCGCGAAACCAGCTCGACCTGGAGAGTCATGACTGATGTTTGGGCTGGCCGGCCGACATGCAAGGTCAAGCCCCCAACAGGTTCGGCGGGGTGTGTGACATGTTGGCGCTTGTAATCCGCGTGCACGCCATTCAGAGTTCGAATCGGGATGGAGTGAAGATCCCCCAAACCGGCCCAACTGGACACAAACTGTGGAACAGAGCAGCATGATTGAGTTCCGAGCAACAGAGTCGTTTCTAGTGCATCTGCTTTCTCTACAAGCGTGACTGAGTCTCCAAGTACAGACGATGAGGGTAAGACAAAGGTTTCCGTCACCTCACCGGCGTTACACAACAAGCGAATAGCAGTGGAAAAAGACACACCTCGACGGCGCGGCTGGAGAGGACAGTGGTTGCCACCTATTGTATAGGTAGCCTTGGCACCCACATAAGGCATGTCAAAATTGCTGTTTGGTTTGAAAATGTATAATTCGCGAACCAACGGGCGCTCATGGTTGCTTGGTATTTTTAGCAATGCATGGAAGTGGGCGCTTTCATTGCACAGTCCACTCAGCTCGGGCCGCAGTCGAACATCACCTACCAACGCTGTCAGTCGACTGTTCAAAACGGCTGCAAACGACTCATGACAGCTATGGCCGCGCCCATACGAACGAATGAGATTCCTGCCCAAGCAAATGCCCTCTTTGAAGATTCCGGCTTCTTTTGCCGCCACCCAGATGTCCCTCTCCCTACACTGTCAGATGTCAAGGTGGAATGCGAGGAGCAGAACTCGCCTGGCCTGAGCGAGGCCATACAACCCCTTCCGTTCATGTATGAGTCTCTCGGACTTTTTGTTGTGAAATTTGGTGGAATGGACCAAGTTCATGTAAACGAAGGCATATGCCTATGGGTTCTCCGTCGAATCCTCCTCGAAGTACCTGTTCCCGAAATTTATGGCTGGACTACTCAGGACGATTATGTGTAGCTATACATGGAACTTGTCCAAGGAGTTACTGTCGAGAATTGCTGGCCGCGCATGACTGAGGACCAGAGGGGCGTTCTCTGGGATGCTTTGATGGAGATGGTGTCGAAGCTTCGGACACTTTCTCGAGACGCACCACATCCACTAATCTGTAAGTTTCGCAAGACCCGGTTCGCTATCCGTACCGCCTCCGGACCTTTCTTGACGCTTCTAATAAACTCATCAGCCTGGCTCGCATTGACGGCTCGGCACTGTACGATGTCGAGGTCAACGACAACAGGGGCAAAAGGCCGTGAACAGCGTCTTTCGATTCCGTAAAAGCCTTACATAGCTGGTTCGCCAACACGACCATGATGGAGTTCGAAGCCATCTAGCCAAGGCGGACACTCGAGGATATCCCAGATGGATTTCGGCACTTATTCCCTGATGACAGCAAGTTGGTTTTCACACACGCGGACTCCACCCCGCCAACTCGCAAGGGCTGCATCGGGTAGACTTGCACTTGTTTGGGAATGCCAAAAATGATATCTTCCATGTTCCTACCACGGCACCCGATATGACGCTGCTAGATACTTAGATGGTAGGTATGTAGGGAATGTGCAGGCATGTATTCGCACTCGAGTCTGTCTACTGAGGTAGGTACCTTGGTAAGGTACTACCTGCCTACCTAGGTAGGTAAGGTAGGTACTCACGGCACTTACGGTACTTACACAGCAGCCCCACTTCTGTGCTGCTGGGAGGTGCAGCCTGAGATGCAGCCTGGAGGCAGGGACGACCACTGGCCTCGAGCGAGCAAGCGCCCTCAGACCTCAGGCCTCAGACACCTCACGTCTTATCGCTGCACCTGCCGCAAGGCTCTCGCCCTTCGCGACTCACTTCTGTCAGCTCTCACCAGCCCCGCCGCTTGCTGCCTACCTTAGGTGTCAGCCTGCGAACCGTGACCGCTGTCCTCGCTATGTGAGCGGGCGAGAGTAACGGAGGACGCGGCTGCGACAAACATCTGCCTGTCGACTGTGGTCTCGCTCTTCATTGTGGGCGGTTGACCGCTCGAGATACCGAATCCCACATCGCGACCTTGGTACTTGGAACAGCCGACATTCACGAGGTCCAGCCAACATGGACAACAAAGACGCAGAAGTCGCTCCAACTGCACCCAACATGCTCCGCCTCCCTGCCGAGCTCCAACTCCACATCATCCAGCACCTCACTTTCGGCGAGCTCGAGCACCTCCGCCGAACATGTTGCTTCTACCGCGCCTTCATCTCCCCGGCCGTTGTCGGCCGCCTCTTTGGCACGGCCCATCGTCTGCAGGCCGCCCTGCTGTCGACCTGCCGCGACTGTCTGCGCACCGAAGACCCCGTCGCCAGCGCCCCGCCCACGATGCTCTGGGCCGACGTCGCCAGCGCCGACTGGCCGCTCGCGAGCCGCTGCGTCGTGTGCGCGTTCAAGGCGCGCGACTTGTACGTCGACGAGCACATCACCTTTGCCGACTGGACGAGCGCCTACGTCTGTCGGTGGTGCGGCATGCCGGTGCACGTGGGCCAGACCAGCGACTATACGAGCATGCAGGTCAATGAGTTTCATGTGCCCTGCTGGGACGCCTACAAGAGGGTGCACCACCGGTTCCTGCTCCTCGGTCTGCTGAGCGCCGGTGTGGCCGTCCTGGCGAGCGCCAGCAGCATGGTGTTGGTGCCGCGGAACCTGAAGATTTTGATCCCCGCCGTCGTGAGTCGTGGACATGACCCTCGGCGCGTGATTGTGCTGACTCTCTCTCAAGATCAATCTCGTGTTGGGCCTGCTAGTGTACGTGATCATGTGGTTCCGGACGGACAAGTCGAGGACCTTTCATTTTGTCGCCGTGATCGACGTAGTCATCGTTGCCATCTGGATCTCGTCGCTCGTCGAGTTTGGTGCAATGATGCGGATTGACAGGACGGGCACTGTATCAACGCTGGCTGCCGTGTTTCTGGGCATGCTTCCCATCGGCATAGCCATGTGAGTGCACACCATGCAAATTCGAGGGTACTCGGTCTCTGACATGATGCAGGATCGTCCGGCTACTTGACATCGCTGGCAACATTGTCCTTGCGACAGACTACCGACATTGGCAGCGTCGAACACCGAGTACGGGCTGGGTCGAACGGACGTGGAGGCCGGTGGAGACATTTCTGGTGCATTTCACCTGGCCCAAGATCACCGAAGCGGAATACCCCTACCGCATGTTGTGGTATGGATTCGGGCGACTGGGGGGCACTGTCGTTCGGATGAGACAATCGGAGAAAGACATTGAGATGGGAACAATACCAGCGAGGCCTGGCAGCGCGTGAGGCCGATGGCAAGAGACGCATCACTGACCATGGCAATCTACTCGGGTTGAACGAGAAGCATCATGTTTGCATGCGCGCGGTTATACCGATCTCAGCAAGAACCGATTGAGCTCCGACGCCGTGGGTATCGGGAACAGCCCCACCAACGCCGCGGTCCCCGAGCCCAGGTTCTGGGGATACTGGGCGATGTCGGCGAATGGGATGCACCATCTCCAGGGGCAGCGGTCGGCGAAGGTGGGATGCGGGGCAGATCCGAGTGGTGATGCGTCCAAGGTTTCGCCATCAGTAGACGACCTTAAGGCCTCCCGAAGAACGCAGGATAAGCGCAGGTTAGCTGCGTGATGACGCGGAAATGCACGCCGCGTAAATGACTGCCTGGGCTCGTATCATCGGATGGCAGCTCACGAATACGACAAATCACGTCGTTGTCCGGCACATCCGTCCGGCTCCTTAGCTCCTACTCGCCCACTGGCATCATTGGTTGTACTCGTTGACGTCAGCTGTAACGCCTGCGTAACGTATATCACACCCCATCGCCCATCTACACTTCTCGCCGTCCCCCAACGCGTCTTCATCGTCGTCGTCGTCTCATTATTACTCGACACCATGAAGTTCATCTCAACCCTGCCGTTCGCGGCCATCGCTGCCGGCATCGTCGTGCCCAGCACCAACGATTTGAAGGACTGGCAGGATTTCCTTCCTACCAAGAAGTCCATCGCCTCTACCGTAGACTCCATCAAGGAGGACGCCCGGCACTTGGCCAGCAACGTCGAAGATGCTGTAAGCTATGCCGGTAACAAGCTCGACAGCTTCGCCTCGTCCATCGAGCAGGCGTTCGAAGAAGAGGCCAGCACTTTCGGTGGCCACCATCACCACCACCCTGATACGTCCAACTTGACTATTTATGAGCTCATCTCCAAGAGCGACTATGCCACCAAGTTCTTCCACCTCGTGAATGAGCACGAATCACTAGTAAAGCTGCTCAACTCAACAAAGGCAAATTACACCGTCTTCGTCCCCACGGACGAGGCTTTTGAGCACATCCCCGATCACCACGACAAGAAGCCTTCCAAGGAATTCGTCGAGGGTCTCCTCAAGTATCATGTCGGCCTCGGCCTCTACCCCGCCGGCCGCATCCTCGCCACCCACACCATCCCCACGGCCCTCAACGAGCCCTGGCTCGGCGACCGTCCCCAGCGCCTGCGTACCCGCGTCGGGCTCACGGGCGTGCGCGTCAACTTTTACGACAAGGTCGTCGCCGCCAACATTTTTGCCAAGAACGGCGTCGCCCACGCCGTCAACCGCATCCTCGTGCCGCCGCCCTTTGTCGGCCGTGAGCTGTCGCTGTTCCCCTCCAAATTCTCGACGCTGCTGCTGGCGTACGAGAAGACGCACTTTACCGACTTTATTCACCACGTCGAGATGAAGGGTGCCACCGTCTTCGCCCCCTCCAACACGGCCTTTGACCGCCTCGGCCCCGGCGCCAACGCCTTCCTTTTCAACTCGGAGAAGGGGCTCAAGTACCTCAAGGCGCTGCTCAAGTACCACGTCGTCGCCAACGAGACGCTGTACAGCGACCACTACTACAAGCATGATCAGGGCGAGGAAGAGGAGGTCGCCGGCGACGGTAACGGCAGCGTCGAGGCCGAGGGCATCAAGCACTACCACGTCGACCTGCCCAGTCTGCTTGACGAGAAGAGCATCGCCGTCGACATTACGCGCTGGGGCGGCTTCATCGACCTCAAGGTCAACGGCTACATCCACGTGTCCGTTTCGGACGCTGTCGCCAAGAACGGCGTCGTGCACGTCGTCGACAGCGTGCTGCTGCCGCACCGCAAGCCTGGTGGGGATGCCGAGTTGGATGTCGAGGAGCTCAAGGCCATGCTCGCGCCCTTTGTGGAGGAGGCCGAGGACGACTGGAATGAACTGTAGATAGTCCGCAGTCGACTCTTGCCGGTACAATAACTCTTCAATGCTGAATAACAAAGATATCCGATTCGCGTGCATTTTGCGTGTTCACCAGGTTTCGCGATGCTAGCCAGTCAGCGCTTCCAGATATAGCTGATTGGGCTAAACTTCGTTGTTGGCGTTTATCGAAGGACCACAGAAGAGCAATGAGATACATGGCCAGGGGTGAGCGCCTCGAAGACGATTGCTTAGTACATGTCGAAGCCGCCCTGATCATGACTGGCAGACCAACGTCCGGAACCCCCCACTGCCAAACTATGTGACTATGTAGTCGGAAGGTTATAGATGGTCTTCTGATCTGTCGCTGCACAGCCATCACGGGCGACAGATACAATGGAAATACAGCGTACATGCGACAAGCCTCCTACGCCTCAAGATCCTGTTCGGTAGTTCAGCCCTAATCGCCCCCCTTTCCCCTCAATTTCCTACGTGAACCATGAGTAGCATCACTGCTCAATGGCATGAAGGTAGGCAGCAACCTCCTTTTTGAAGAAGGAGCGGGCAACAAGCTCGTCGGCAGACTCAACAATCCATGTCTGGCAGTTTCTTTGTATGACCTTCGTGCCAGACTTAGCCTAGACATATTCAATCAGCTTGAACATCGGTGGATTATTGCGTACTGTGACGTCGTAACGCCCCGCTAGTAGGCATCAAACCTAGGATATGGAGAGAGAATCGCGCGCTTACTCTGTCATCTGAGGCATTCAAAGACTTTCCCGGGACCTTGACGCTGTAGAGAGCAGTCTCAAAGCGGCCGATGGGTGTGCCGTCGACTTTGTTTTTCCCACGGTTGAACATTGCCTCCTGGTCGGCGTCGCTAGCCTCGACCCACTGCAGCGGCACTTTGGCAGTGGGACGGTTAGCAGTTGTCGTAAAGTCATAGCTTCGTTTGACCTCGAATTTGAACCCATTTTTCACATCACCCGTCGCGTGGATTAGAACACCTATGTTTGGGTTCGTGGGCGAGGGCATCCAGTATGCCCAGTGATCTTTGAAAGGTGCGCCATTGAATATCAGTAGGTATACGAGGAGAGCGCGAGCAGGATCCTTTGGCGTCAGCACCGCCGGTGGCTTGGGGGCTGGAGGTTGAATGGCGGCTTTGTTCCCAACAGGGGGAAGGGGTGGAGGTGGAGGAGGAGGAGCCCCTCCCTCAGCAGCCTTCCGGATGGATTTCATCTTGGGGTAGATAGTTGCTTCCTTGATTTGAAAAGTGGAATTGACGAGGAAACCGACCTCAAAATTGTAAAATGATAAAAAGGACAGTAGCTAAAGACTGAGCTGAACAAAGTGAACTGAGGGACGTGTCATGACGAAGTAGCTGTCAAGCTAAGGTATATATGCTTGTTTCTTCTTTTCACCTGTGGAGTCTTTGAGCCTTCTCATCTGAATAAACGTGAAGGATCTGTATGCGCCAGGCAATCCAACCCAAAAGTAGAGCTTGTGATGAGCCGTTTCAGTTATGAGCAGTTGGCAACTCTAAGAGACCCGCGGTAAACTTATTGTCTGGACAGGTAGTAAAAATAACCCGCGCATATGCAGATGCTCAAAATACGGGCCGCTACGCGAATACTACACATGCTGAACTAGACAAATCATGATGCGTAGGTTCCTGTTGGAGACCAACTGGATCAAATATCTTGTCATGGATGAGCAATCACGATTCACGCCACTCGGATAGGCGCTTGCTCAGGCATTGGTCGCGCTGGGCCAGGCCCGTCGGAAGGGGTACACAAGTGGGTTTGGGGGTCTGAACCAGTACCGGGATGGCACGGAACCCTCCCCAACCGCCACTACTTCCCAGCTCCACCATCCGCCCTTTCTACAACCAACGTGTGGATGGGATTGCCTGTCACTTCACGCCAACATCATCCCGCCTCAACAGCCTCAATATCACGCACCTCGTTCTCGACATGCAGCAAATCAAAATCTTCCCCGAATCAAGCTTTTTCAAAGAGCGTCGGGCCAGTGACCTTCCAACGCCGGCAGCGGTTAGGGCCATCAGTCTAGCGTCGGGCGATCTTTGGGCATCAAGTTTCAATCGTCCCAGGCCTGTCAGAATCCCATCGCTAGGGTTGATGGTCAAGTACGGAGGCGATGTAACATTGACAGAAGTTTCGACTCAGAGGATGGTTCACGAACAGCTTCTTGGTCAAGTGCCTATTCCTGAGGTCTTTGGCTGGACTGAGGATAAAGATCAGGGGTTCATCTACATGTCGCTCATCGAGGGCGATACCTTAGAACAGAGGTGGATTGATCTGAACGAAACCGAGAGGCAAGCCATCTGCGCCGAGCTGAAGCCCATGGTGAAGGCATGGAGGGGTCTGAAGCAAGACGGCCAAGAGCCCTATGTTGGTGAGTGGCAACCTCAAACGTCAGCCACATGACCTAACGTGACTGCTTTCCTACCAGGCAGCATCGGTACGAGGCCTTTGAGGGATATCTTCCTCGTGTACCGCCCAGAGCTCGTGGGACCATTTCGAGGCGACAGCGCTGTTCAGCAATTTCAAGACGTCTGCGGCATCGATATCGGTTGCGAGATCCCAATTGTGTTTTCTCATAGCGACCTGGTCCCGCCGAATGTGCTCTTGTCACGAGGGCCCAACCCAAAAGTGGCAGCCGTCATTGACTGGGCCCAGTCAGGATGGTATCCCTCGTACTGGGAGTATTGCAAGGCGCGACGGGTAGAATTGGACCCGGAATTGTTCAGCAAAGCTCTGCAGGAGGAATGGCGGGAAAAGTACCTACCCTTATTTATTGAGCCTGTCGATGACGAGACGTATTACCACCCTTGGCTGTGGTTTGTTTTGTCAAAGGGAATATGATCCAAATGGAAGAGGTACCCAGTTACTCATGAAATGGTCGCAGGCCAGACTCGAAAGGGAGCCGACTTCGAGCTGGCAATGTATTCATAGCCTTATCGAGCATTCGAAAGGCCTTCTGACAGCATGATACGGTCAAGGAATGGCGATAGAGCTGTTGGCGTCTAGCTCATCAAGTTATTCTGCCTAAGAGGTAAGAAGAAGAATAAACAAGCCCAGCCGCAGCAGCCGATGGGGTATCAACAAACGTCTGAAAAGAAATTGACGTGTCCAAGCCGTTGACATGCATCAGTGCGCATTTCGTAAGGAAGGCTCAAGTTTAAGTATGGCTGACAGCGTCACCAGCGATCATTTCATCCATCGCTCGAAGAACAGGTCCGCTCGCCTAAGGGACCGGTCAAGACGCACCCCGACAACGGCGCACTCTGTGTATGTTTCGGTATCACGGATTCCAGCCAGACGCACCTCATCACCCACAATTACAGAGGCTATCATGAAAAGACGAGTGACGAACGAACTTTCCCCTAGAAGACCACCTACGACAGCACCTAGGTTAGAGCACGATACGAGGTTCTCAAGACGGCCCACAGAGGCCTGGAAGGTCATCACCAAGCTGTTTCAGATTTCTTTTTTTTTCTATTTCTTTTTGGGAAACAAGCTTGTTTCTTGGACTAATAGATCCAGTTCCCTGGCCCAGCAGCTCAGAGACGGCGTATTATAGCGCGATCTTCGACTGCTGGCGGCTGAGCTGGAACCATCACTTATTTAACGCGAGCAGATTGGTCAACGAGGCATCTGACCTGGTAGTAGTCCGCTGAATGATCCGAAATTGTGTCTCCGAAATACAGACCTACTTCTACTGCGGATGGCCATTGTTAGACCTAACAAGAGCTCGCACTCGGTCTGATTTTGCCATCAGTAGATTCTATGGATGCCACATCGTCTTGAGAGATTCAGGAATCAGAAGACCCCGTCATTTTGACAGTTTCTTTGCATTTAGTCATGTTCAGTTCCTCTCACTGTCGCTCACGCGAAGTCCGTTGGAGGCCAGCTCATGGGCCATCGTAGGTTCTACAAACGAATGCAACTCTCCGTCATCGATAACAATTCTGTTCATTTCGAGGGACCCAAGCCTAGCCGTCAACAGGCTCAAAACGCAGTGTCAAGCTCTCGCCAGTTGGCCGCGCGGTATACGCATCTTCCTGTGTGATGCCCGTATCATCGACCACAAACGTTCGAAAGTGGGTGTAAATCGCGGCGAGAATGTTCTTCATTTCTAACGAGGCATGGTCAGAATCGTATCCTATTGCAGCCGAGTTCTCAAGAACCTACCGTTCATGGCAAAATTGGAGCCCAGACACATCCGGCCGCCGCTGCCGAATGCCCAGAATCGGCGGAGCATCTCCCGCTTCTGGACATCCTCGACGAGCCACCGCGTGGGCGCCCAGCGCTCTGGGTCCGGGAACGCCGTCTCATCGCGGTGGAGCGTGTGCGCGAGACAGGCTACCCGGACATCGCCGGAGATCGTGTATCCGGCGATGCGGCAGCCGGTTGGAGGTGTTCGACGCGGCTCAGGCCCGGGTATCGGCGCGTGCAGGCGCAGGGTCTCCATCACGACGGCATGGAGGAGAGGCAGAGCGTCCAGGGCTTTGGAGTCGGGAACGGTGCTGCTCTTTTTCGATGACGGCGATGAGAAAGAGGGGTCCAGCGTTAGTAGCTCTGCGCGTAGCTCATCCTGAAGTCGAGAGGACCGTGAGAGGTGCCACGTCGCATACGTGAGAGCGACGCCGGCCGTCTCCTGGCCAGCGAGGAGGTGGTCCATGACCTCCGAGGCAACGGCGTCACCGCGTTGCGAGATGCTCGTCGTGAACAGGAGACTGTCCTCACCGGCCGTGCGCGCCTCCCGGTCAATCCAGGCGTTGATGGCGTCGAGAACGACAGCCTCGTCCACCGCGTCTCGGTCTTCGGCCCCGCCATCAGCCGTTTGCGCCCGCCGCTGCGCTTCGTCGCACATTGTCCGGTTCCAGGTGTTCAGCTGGGCGTTGGCCCTGTCCACCCAGCGTGGATATGGCGAAAGACCCAGCCATTCCCGACACACCCGCGTCAGGACCGGCAGCTCCTGTGGCCAAAAGCCATGCTCGGCGCGGGCGAGATACAGCGCCAACCAGGGATCGCGTTCATCGGCGCGGCGTACAAAGTCTGTCCCGCCGGCGAGGCCAAAGACGTAGGCTGCAATGAGGTCCATGGCGCACGCGAGAAAGATGGGAAACACGTCAACACCGGTACACGAAAATGCCGACTCTGCGCGTAGCAACGGTAGCAACCGGTCCTGCACGACGGCTGTGGTCTGGGCCTTGGCGGCATGAGAGGCGTGGATGAAGGATTTGGAGTATACATTTGACACGGCTCGCTTGCGGAGCGAGTGAGGGCGAGAGGAGAGGGTAGAAAACATGTTGTCGATGCTGTCACTGGTCAGTCTTCTTACTGTCCGGCCTTGATCCATATCTCATCTCACCCATAATTTCTGAACACGCTATACCACGGGTCCTTTTCAAAGCCGCCCTGGTAGATGATTCTCAGTCCGTCGATGCCGTCGATGCTGACGTCTTTGGGCCCGATGCGCACGACAGGGCCCAGCCGGCGATGCGCCTCAAGTAGCACCCTGTTCTCACGGCGGTTCCACCTCACAGCGAGGATCCAGAGAGGGGCATAGTGACACGACCAATGCGCCGCAGGTATCTTGGCGAGTGGAGAGATGAATCCGGGGTTGATGATGCCGTAGTACACCGCGAGGACGATGAAGGCTGACGCTACTGCGGAGATGATGGTGATCATAGCCATGGTGTAAGATGTTTGCTTCTCGGCCTTCGCGCAAGTTTATGAATATTGCAAAGAACGATACAAATTGCAGGAATTGGCTGCTTGTGAAAAGAGGCCAAATGAGGAGTTGCTCAAGTAGGTCAATTAGCTAGGTTTGGCTGCATATTGGCGCTTACTCCGGTCGACCCAGGACGGCTTGTGAAGCATTCATCCGAGTGGTATTCTCTGCACGCATAGCAACGGTGGCTCCCCGTCCAGCAGGTCCAGCCACTCTGCTCTCAACGTAGAAACCTAAGCAATGCTGTCACTATTTGTCGGTGTGTAGTCACGTGACCGAGTCGCTGTGACGTGCTGTCTTCTGCCCCTCTCCTGTCGACCGACGTCGTCTCTGTTGTTGCTCGTTCCTCTGTGAAATCAAGCGGTCGAGTTCCACTTGCCCGTACAAAGCAAGGTACTCATCATCAGATAGGCTGGCGGTCGCAGACTTTCTTCCGAATGGAATGTGTTCAAGGTATTGAACAAGGGCCTGATATACTACTTTGGGGGCTCTATGACATGATCTTCGTTAGTTCAAGTTTTAGGCCGCAAATTCTCTCATTTTGCTTACAAAGTAGTCCCATGCCAACTGTAGACCCTAACCTCGGGGGCCTCCCCTTCAACTACTACCCCATTATCCAGGAGGAAGTAGCATTTGACGTTGTCGGCATCGTATAGCCCTAGAGAAGTAAAATAGTCTTGCTTGTCGTCGAAGTCCCGACCCCATTCATGCTTGCATATAAGACTCGCCATGGTATTTTTCCGTTCTGCCGGTTTGCCGGGAATCAATTGCGACTGGCACTTCACCACGATTCGTTTCGCCATGATCGTTGATGAAGAAGAGGCAACGGAGGCGAGGCAGTCAGGCTGTCAGTCCTACTTCTTAGGCATCAAGTCAGTAAAAGCCACGACTTACAATGAAGGAGAGTGTGTTTCGGCACGTTGAGACAAGCCGGGCTGCGTAGTCACCCGTCCGAGTCGGGCGGTGTAGCGTAGCAGCACTCCGGGCACTTGACTTCTTTGAGAGCCGTGTGATTCGCCAAGTTCGAGCAGTTGTCGAGCCCGTGTTCGTCGCATTCGCTCCAGTCGTGAAAGATGATGTGCCCACAAGTATACTGGTTCCAGTTCTGGGTGCGCATGATTCTCCACGATGTGGTTCATCAAACGGAACGTTGACGTGTTGTCGCCAGGGGGGCTCTGGCCATTTAACCAGCAGCAATATACGTCATCTCATCCAAGTGGGTCCGTGCTGCTCTAAATCCGTCCATAGTAGAGCAAGTTCCGGGTGTGCTATGTATGGAATCTTCTCACAGCACAGGAAGACAACGCGTAGGAAGCAGAGAGTATGTCTTCTCATGTCAAGATTTCTTCCTTGCCTGATGCCGATGCTCTCTCTGTCAAGGGTAGTGGCGACCCACTGCGGGGTGGATCAGAGGAACCCGACTGCACTTGCCGAAGTTGGGGCAGCGACATGCGGGGGCACTTTGTGATGCCGGATGATTCCATACCCGGAACGAGGTACTAATTGCCGTGGCTATCATTCGAGCAGCATTGTCGGAATGGGCCGTTCATCGCAGTGAAAGTTTCGGAATTGGTTCTTATTGTCCGTCCTTTGACAAGAACTGCGTGATCCTCGAGGCTTCAAGAACTTCTTGTCTCTCTCCCCGTGTCGTCATCTTTCAAGGACCCCGCACCCTCCCCAGCAGCAACTGCCCCGCGCTCACGATCGTATCTGCCAGTGGCCTCGACAGCTGCGTAGGTTCTCTAGGCACAACACCAGTCCGCTCGCCTCACGAGCACCACTGCAGCACCCGGACGGCACCCAATCCCGCCATGGCCTCCCCTGGTATGCTCTACGTGACGATGCAGCCGAAGCCCGGCCTGCCTCTCGCCCAATTCCACGACTGGTACAACAACGAACACGGCCCCATCCGCCTGCGCATCCCCGAGATCTTCACCAACGGCCTGCGCTACCAGGCCACCGACGGCGAGCAGCCGACGTTTCTCGCCGTCTACGACGTGACGCGCATGTCCCACCTCGAGACGCCAACGTACCTTACCCTTCGCGCCAACCGATCGCCCCGCGAAGCCGAGACCATTGCGCAGGTCGACGTCAAGCGATACTTTTTCGACGTCGTCTCCGAGAAGAAGGCACCCAGCTTCCGACCGATTGAGGCGCTGACAGACGACGAGGCTGAAGGCATCCAGCTGGTCGTCAACGAGACGACCCTGAAGTCGGCCGAATCAGAAGCCGAATACAAAAAGTGGTTCGAAGAAGAACACATGGGCCTGCTGGCCAAGGTGCCGGGGTGGCTGCGCACGCGCTTCATGAAGACATCTACGATCGAGAACGAAGGCAGGACGATATACCTGTCAATCCACGAATATGCCAAGGAGAACGGCCTCGGCGGCCCCGAGCACCAGGCGTCCATGTCGACCAAGTGGCGCGACGACATTGCCCAGAATCACATTGCGACCAAGAGCCGCCGGACCTACTCTTTGTTCTACGTCTTCGGCCCGGGACCGCGGGACCTCGCCTCCCTCGCCGAGCTGCCACCGGCGGGCCAGGGTATCACGTCGGACGGCGCCAAGACGACCGAGCTGCCCGGCGCGCACGAGGTCATCAGCTCCTTCGTGACAACCGCCGACGGCCTGTCGATCCCGTACCGCCTCGAGGGCAACACGTCGCCCAAGGCGCCCGTCGTCGCCTTCTGCAACAGCCTGCTGACGTCGATGCACATGTGGGACCCCCTCGTGTACATCCTCAAGGAGAAGCGGCCCGATCTGAAGATCCTCCGCTACGACACGCGCGGTCGCCACGCGGTCCCCAGGCCAGAGCCCGCGACGCTCGACATTGTGGCGTCTGACCTCGCGGCGCTGCTCGACGCGCTGCGCATCCCGAAACTCGACACCCTCATCGGCGTGTCCATGGGCGGCGCCACGACGCTCAACTTTGCGCTGCAGTACCCGACGCGCCTCGCCAAGTTCATCGCCTGCGACTTTAACGCATCGTCGAGCGCCGCCAACACGCAGGCGTGGAAGGACCGGATCGCCGTCGCCGAGTCGGACGGCGGCGCCGGCATCAACAAGCTCGCGACGCAGACGGTCGGGCGCTGGTTCCACCCGGCGAGCCTCGAGAAGGAGACGATCGTCAACCTCATGACGGACATGGTGGCGGCCAACAGCGTCGAGGGCTTCCGATACGGCTGCCAGGCGCTCTGGGACTACGACCTCAGGCCGCAGCTCGGGGCGTGCCGCGTGCCGGGCCTCTTCGTCGTCGGCGACGGCGACGGCAAGGGCGCGCTCGTCAAGGCGATGGAAGGGTTCCGGGGCAGCGTCGGCCAGGAGGGTGTCGAGCTGAGGATTGTGCCGAATACGGGGCACCTGCCCATGTGGGAGGATCCTCAGGCGTTCTGGACGGCCATTGCGCCTTCCGTGTAACTAGGTATGTACGATGAGCTGTAGCCGCTGGAATTGAACTGCTGGTCAAGTCCAACGCGCTATGTTATGGTGCGCTGTGCGGGCGTATGACACGTCTTGGCACGCGGACACATCTGCGTTGTGTTTCTCGTCATGAGGCAAGAGGGATGAACCGTAGTGGACGGATAAAGGGCGAAGGATCCATGGCGAAGGACGGTAGCTTTGACGTTTCACAGCATATTGATAGACTTCAAAAAGGGGGCTCAGACGACGCGTCACCCCCATCACTTGCCAAAAAAATGACAGCTGGTTAGGGACCAGAGTTGAGGTCGTCGCAGACAACGTCGCAGACAGCGAGATGTCCCAACACGACAAAACGGATTTGAATTTACGAGTCCTGCACCACTAGCCCCAGGCTGGTCCCCCCTGCATCGTCCAATCGGAACAAAGCACGGCAGTCGCCAAGCCCTACGGCGACGGGGCGGCAGGCCCCCCGTTCCTCAGCACGTCACACCCCCCTACGCGCGCTGAGCCGCTCGCTGGCCTACGCAGCGTGGGCACGGTGTTTGCATCGCGCCGACTGTCCGTATCTGCGTCCCCTCCTGGGTCCAATAGGCGCGCCGTGAGGACCGGGTTTCGAGATGGCCGCCCCGACGTGGTACAGACACGGGATGAGCAAGACTTGGCTTTTTGTTATCCTTCCTCCTTGCTCCCTCCCCCCCTTTCGCACTCGTAGATCTCGTACTCGAAATGGTGGATCATGCTCGCTTCGAGATTAGGCGGCCTGAAGTAAGGTGAGGTGGGTGATGCCCGGTGGGGTCAGTCAGGATGGTTGTCTCTTTTCTCTTGGCAGGTGATTTGCACAGGCGGAACCTCGACTTCCCTATCAACAACGGCCGTTGTCTGCGGGCGTTCACGGGCTCCGATGGAGGAGTATGGCATATCTGGCTGCGCGGTTGGGCGTGGCACTGCCTGGGGGTGGCTCAGCTGGAGTACCTCCCCTATGTACTCGATACTCCCTCCATCGTGCACAGCTACTTTACACTTCATATGGCAGAGCATACTGCACACTTCCACATGTATCGCGATCACCCCATAGTCTCCCCCATGCGGCACCAAATGACGACCCGCGTGGTCTGGCCTCTTGGCTTTTTGCCTGTCGCCTCCCGCTCCCCACACCACTGACGACGACAGCATTCTTCTGGACCCAAATTCTTGGCAGCGCTTCGCACAGGGTCACTGCCTTTGCGGTCGAAGGAAGGAAGCTCTTTTGGCCCCCCCTGTGGGTGTGTTCTGAATCCCGGCCGTCCCCAATACGACGGTGAACATGAGGATAGACTATAAGCACCACACAACACCATGCCCCTTGGCCGCGACCCTAGATTGTTGATTCCTCGGCCGAGCTCATGACAAGTTGCTCCGTTTGCCTACTCTGTGCTCGCGAATAAGTACTGGCCCTTTCTGCCGCTAGCTCGCATTGCTTTGCTTTTGCCCTGTTCATCCAGTTCCTCCGGGCATCTCATCCCATCGAAGGACTCCTGCTGTCGGGCGTTATACTCCGCCTCCAGGGCCTGACCGTTCGTTTACTAGTTTCTTCCTCACTTGGCAGCCTAGCTCGTCTCGACAGCTCGTCATTGTTGCTCCTTTTTTTTTTTCTTTCTCTACTTTTCCCCAACGGTCGCAACGTTCCTTCCTCTCGCAAAGACACACACCAAGACACCACCCAGAGGCCCCAACCACGACCGCCAGCATGTCCTCCTCGACGCCCGATCTCGAGCCCCCGAGCTACACAACCTGCGACGGCGTCTCGGACCGCTGCCCCGTCTCGGCCACCGTCTACGGCGACTACTTCACGACCGGCGCCTGCGCCTTCTTCGTCGCCGCCCACGCCCTGCTGCTCGCGGCGCAGGTCTACCTCGGCTGGCGCTCCAAGGCGTGGTCCTTCGCCGCCTACCTCGCCCTCGGCACGGCCTTTGAGCTCATGGGCTACGCCGCCCGCATCGCCATGTCCTACAACCCCTGGTCCTACGAGGGCTTCGTCATCCAGCTGCTCATGCTCATCCTCGGCCCGACCCTCGTCGCCGCCGCCATCTCCGTCACCTTCAAGCACCTCGTCCTGTGGCACGGGCCCCAGTGGTCCTTCATCCGCCCGCGCCTCTACCCCTGGGTCTTTGTCGGCACCGACTTCTTCAGCATCGTCATCCAGGCCGCCGGCGGCGGCGTCTCGTCCGTCGCCACCGACGGCGAGGACCCCGACCAGGGCCTGCTCGACGTCGGCTCCGGCCTGCTCGTCGCCGGCGTCGTCTTCCAGGTCGCCAACATGATCTTCTGCGGCGGCCTCATGCTGCTGTACATCTGGCGCCGCCACCGCGCGCTGAAGAGCGACGGCGCGGCACGCCCTGGGGCGACGGCTGTCGTCGACGGCGGCAGCGGCGGCGGCGGCGAGACGTCGTCTTCCGTTGCGTCGGGCCGCGTCGGGACGGGCGCCGCCGGCAAGACGTACAGGCCCAAGGATCCGAAGGTGCAAAAGTTCATCTGGGCCATCACGGGTGCCTATATTGCCATTATTGTGCGGTGCATTTACCGGTATGTTTTCTTTTTTTTCTTTTTTTTTTTTTCTGTTTTCCCTTGTCGTACAATCGGAGGATCGGGCATGACTGACCAAATGCAGTATCCCCGAGATGCAGACCGGCTGGGCGAGCGAGCTGATGCAGAACGAGACGCTGTTCCTGATCCTCGACGGCGCCATGATCCTCATTGCCGTCCTGACTTTGACCGTCTTCCATCCCGCCTTCTTCTTCCCGTTCCTGGGCAAGGGCAAGGGCCGCGTGCCCGTGGAGGACGAGGCGGCGTCGCAGGGGCAGCCCGAGATGCGGACTGTCCATCAGGCGTGATCGGGGACGCAAGAAAGAAGAAGAGACCGTACCTGGCGAGAAAGAAGTGCGAGAGAAGGATACCCCGAGACCGAATTCTTTTGTCAAGACGAGAGTCTTTTATCTCCTTGTGTACAGAGTTGCATGCTGTTTGGATAGATGGACACTTGGTAGACACAACGTCTCCTTGACTGTCAGCGCCGACACTAGTTTGACCTCGATCGAACGTGGTAACGTGACACCATACGTGGTGAAGTGAAATGACAAGCACCGGGCCGAAACCACGGTGCTCTATTACATTAGTTAGTCTTATCTACTTTCGAAGGCTGCGGCGCCGTGCTCGGCGGCTGCGCCTTGGTCCTCCTCTTGGTGCACAGATTCCAGGCGAGCAGCAGGAAAAAGTTGACAATATAGGTGCCGATCGCGAGACCGATGGCGCCCATGAGATACCACATCCACGGCCTCTCGCCGATCCACATCATGGCCTGCGTGTCGCCGTGGTGCCACGACTGGCCCTCGAGATCGGTCAGGTACGGCAGCAGCTGGGTGGCGTTGACGACCTGGAACGAGGGCGTTGGCAGCGAGGGGAGCTGGAGGAGGTAGCTCTTGAGGACGAGCGTCAGGAAGAGGGGCCCGGCGGACATCATGACGGCCGTGTGGGGCTGGATGCTCGACCACGGGCGAGTGATCTTGTTGTAGAAGACGAGGCGCTTGATGACGGCCTCGAAGATGGGGTGGCGGGCCGTCGTGATCATCAGGTCGTTCGAGACGCCCGTCGGACTCGTCGACTTGAACACGGACAGGTCCTTGCCCCCGGCGGCCTCGATCTGGTGTATCGGGATCGACGCGTTGCACCACGTGTCCATGTCGAGGTAGATGCCGCCGTACCGGTGCAGGACAAAGTAGCGGAGCGAGTCGGCGTGCTGGATGGGGAAGGGGTAGTTGTCCCAGGTGTCGAGGAACCAGGGATACTCGGTGGCGATCAGATCACGCGCCAGCGCGTCGGTCCAGTGCTGTGGCGACAGGGTTAGCATGTTGTCCTTGCGGTGCTATGAGGCTCCTGCTCTTTTCCATGAAAAAGAGCAGTTCATTTAGGCGTACCATGTATTCGAAATCGCTGTAGGCGTCCTTGCAACTCTGTTGCGGCTTGACCCAGTCGTCGCGGATCTGTTCGGTGGCACTCGTCTGATGCAAGATGCGTGGTATCGCGTGCTGTTGGTAGTGGTCCTCTGTGTGTGGTGTCTTCTCGACAGGGAGCGCCAGGCGAGCGCCGAATAACCTCTCGTTGTAGAGGAGCAGTGTGATGAGGGGCCAAAAGGCGATGACGAGTAGACCGATGATGGTGAGATCAATCAGCAGCAGCCAGGTCGTTGACTTTTTGGGCCTTGGAAGTCGTAGGCATCTCCTCGATAATGACCATCGTGGGGAGGGTGTGTCGAACTCGCCGAGCAACTCGAGTCGCTCCTCGTCGTAGGGCTGGTTATGGGTGCCGCTGCCGCTCGCATGGCTGCTGCTGCTGCTGCTGCTGCTTCGAGTGCTGCTGCCAGCACGCCCACTGCCGCGATGTGGTGATGTGTTTGTGTTCATGGTGATCCTGGCTGCTCGGAGAGGGCGGGGGGAGGCCGCTTGATCGGTCTGGAAGGAGACGATGGCAAGAAAACCCGAATAGTCGATACGGCGTCCCCCTGGCGTCCGGCCGACTTGGCGGATGTGCGGGCTTTTGAATGAACCTGCGTGCGCTGCTGGGGGCGGCGGCATTTGCTGGTGCTCGAGGAGGGTCGCAAATCATTACGGCTGGGCGGCGTCAGGGAGTGGGTGGCCCTGGTCATGTCATTGGACACCGAGATGAGGCCCCCACCAGGGAGAGATGGGACTTGGTGATGCTGCCGCGCGGTACGTACCGCAGTCATCGGGTGTATCGTGTCTCACACATCTACGTACCTTAAAGGTATGTAGGTACTGTACTGTACAGAGGTTGTCTGATCCCCCCAAGTCATACACCGCTTACATGCAAGATCACAGACACACGTTGGCCCATTGCTTTGACTCCTGGAGCTAGGCCCCTTGAGGCCAAGCGCCATGCCCGGCCTATTCGACTAGTGCACTTGACTACTGGGTCAAGCCTGTTTTTTTGCAATGATCAGCCCCAAAGTGCATGTCAGGCCTCTGCATTTGCTGTGCTGCGCCCTGGCCATCGGCTGCAGTCCAACGTCAGCACACAGGGGGCTCAGCACTCCAGCAGCCACTCCAGCGACCAGTAACCGACGCCAAGCAACGAGCCCCCGACAGCACTGGACTTTGTTGACCTCTCGCGGGTTTAATGCATAATCCTGCCCCAGCAAAGGCCCCCCGGACCCTACCCAATCCCCACTGTCGACCCGTCTGCCCCCTTTGATAATTTCCCGCTATTGGGATTTTCCACCCCAGCGCCCGGCTTCTCCGGCCGCTATCTCGATCCTCTCTGTCCAGGGCAGTCTAAGGCTCAGTCCAAGGCACGCGACTCCTACCCACCCACTCCCACTTGGCATACCACCCGCGTTCGTTCAACACACTTTCCGGGCTAGACATTTTTCCTCCATCCCCTGAGAAAGTTCCCGTTGCAGTTGCAGGAGTCGAGCAGCACACGATAGCGGCAGACGGCGTCGGACGGTCCAAAACACTCTACCTTGATCCAACGGCAACCCGACACGCGACACACGATCATCATGGCGAAAGCAGCCGAGCCTGAGCTGGGTGCGCCCCAGTTCGCTTCCCATGCCGTCGTTGAGCCTTTCGTAAGGCGCCCGCCTCCCTCATGAGACTGTTCCAGCAGGGGAATATTGAAGAGAAGCATCTTGGCTTCGGTCAACAAGAAGCAATGGCTAACGTTGTACCGTCTCCCTTAGATCATCGTTGGTATCATGGTAGCCTCCTGCTACATCAACCGTCGCCGCGGCTTCACCATCATCCCCTCCTCAAAACCCGATGACCAGGGCCTGCTGGGCCAGAAGCTCGAGACGTTGGACGAAGAGGACCCTTTGTCGGAAGACTACGACGACCTCACCTCTTCCGGAACCATTTCTACGAAAACCGGCCCCAAGAAGCGAAACTGCTGCGGCGCTATTGTTCACACACCCGACACGAGCCGATACGCCAACTACTGGCACAGCCGATTCATTCAGAAGTTCCCTTTCCTGGTCGAGATCTTCTACTGGGCTGTCAACCTCCTGTTCTACGTCAGCGTCAAGGCGGCGAGCGAGCTCATCTTTGCGACTGATGGCGTGTGGAAGACGGCCGAGAGCCACGGTATTGCCGTCCTCAACCTCGAGCACGACAGCATATTCAGCTTCTTGTTCCCCGTCAAGGAAGTTGACGTGCAGACGTGGTTCAGGACTGACCACCAGGTCCTGCTGACCATCCTCAACCGGGCGTACTCCTTGATCCACATCCCCGTCACTGTCAGGTACGTTGACAAGAGGCGCAACTGCTCTAGATTCCCCATGTCTCGTGCTAACCACCGTCCAGCTTCCTCGGATGGTACTACTACGCCGCGCCGACCCACGCCCAGTTCGCCGCCGCCCGCCGCATGATGCAGCTCACGAACCTGTTCAGCTTCATCGTCTTCACGACGTACCCCTGCATGCCGCCGCGTCTGCTGCCCGAGCGCTTTGGCTTCTTCGACACGGTCCGCCGCGAGGACGCCGAGTCCATTTACGCCACCAACAAGTTCTTTAACCAGCTCGCCGCCTTCCCCTCGCTGCACTTTGGCTACTCCTTCTGCATCGGCACCGTACTGCTCTACCACTCGGGCATCTTCCGCCGCCGCCTTGCGCCGCGCGAGCGCCGCATGTCCAAGATGTGGCAGGCCTTCTTCGCCATCCTCAGCGTCCTCTACCCGGCCTTTGTCCTGACCATTATCGTCTCGACGGCAAACCACTACTTCCTCGACGCCATGGCTGCCACCGGCGTCGTCCTCATGGCCTGGCTCTGCAACCGCTGCCTGCTCGTGCTGCTGCCCCTCGAGGACCTGTTCCTCTGGTGCGTCAAGCTATCCAAGCCAGTGCCCACGACGGACAACCGGGGGTGAGAAGACAGGCATGTACGGTGGTGTTCCATTGTTGGCGTTTTCGTTTAGGGGGGGCGGGACCAATCAATATTCCCACCGGATGACGGGTTTCCAAAGAAAAATCATCCGCGGCGTACGTATAACGACTTTTACCAAGTACTTAATCATCTAGGGACGTGCATAACATAGCATCTGCCACAATCATACCTCATCCTATTTAATCCATGACATTGAGAAGAAAAGTACAGATACTAGTGACAGTGTTCGCGTGCTCAAACTAAAAGGGGTGAAATCCGGGGGGGGGGACCAGGGGGCGTTCAATTCCCGTACACCGGGGCGCGCGCCAACAAGAAAAGCCTCCGCGTCCGACACTGCCGGCGACCCTCCCGTCTAATACACCCTAGACGCGTTTCGTATCTCGGGTTCGCGTAATTTTAGTTGGCACGATTATACTCAGATAACTAAACCTCTGGCTCGCATGCCCTTCGCACATCTTGTCGCATTCGTGATTGTGACGGGCAAGTATTACTGGACCACAAATCGATTCGCGAGTCAAGCGAGCAGGACCCTTGAGACGCCTTTGGGCTCTTCCCCGCGCCCTGGTCAGGAGCGATAACCTTGCGAATACAGTACAAGCTTTATTGACCACGACCGAGCTTATGAGACAATACACGGGTGCAACTCTGGATCTCTTAAAGTGCACCGTTGGGCTGGCTGCGCGCGTTCAAGTACCCCTGTCCAGCAGGTCGGTGCCGAGCTTGTCGCATTCGAATGTATAAAAAGGGGGAGGGGCGGAGGGCCACGGTACATTCGCATGGATGGGCTTCTTTTTCTCGGTCTGGCGAGACTGAATTACTCGCAACGCGCCCCCCTCTGGCCAACGGCCGGAATGCTCGGCTTCACCGTGCATTTCAAGTTGAAGGTCCTCGGCAGTTTCCACGATGAAGGGTCTGGACACTTTCGGAACCAGGAGACACGATGCTTTCATTGCACCGGATTTTGGACCCTGAGACCCGTTTTGTCTGTGCAGGCCCGTCGGCCGTCTCGGTACGCTAGGACATTGGGCGCCGCAAATGCCCGAGCATTCTGCAGTGTCTTCGAGAAGGGTCGAGGATGCACAGGGAGTACGTCGTTCGTTGAGGCTGAGGTGCAGCGACTTCACACCCGTCAGTTTGCTCGCTTTTCTGACAAGGGGCTTGGGCCGTGGAGGAATTCAAACGGGCGAGTAAGGCAGCGACATGGCCCCAAGGACAACAGCTCGGCATCCGGATGGACCGCCAACATGGCCATTCGTCACGCAGTCTTTCATACCTTGTTGCGCCAAGTGTACGAAGCTTTGTCATCGACGGTACCTGTGTCTGATGCCGTTTCTGGTTCTCCGGCATCTAGCGTTGTGGTTGTTGATATTGACAGACAACGTGCCCGGGCAGCAACAGTGAGCTGCCGCAAGCTACTGGGGTTCCTCAACGGGTCCTGAGAAGCAGAAGAACATGTTCGCAAAGATGACCGTCAGCGCAAGTGATTCGATCGATGACCTACCTCTTTGTGGGCTGGGTGCAGCAGACAGCCATAGCACGTCTCCAATAACCAGCCAGGCTCATTGCCAGGAGATATAGGGTAGAACGGAAGCGCGCTCGATTGGCGAGACTTGTTCGAAGGAATCAAGGTGATGGTCATGATTAACACTCTTCAGTACCAGGCCATCAAATTCAGACGGCGGATGACTGGCCAAAGATGAGTGAATTCGCGCTGTTGCGTGAGTGGCACGGCAGGCGTACCACAACCGTGCTTGCCCGTCAAACTCCAACCGCATGTCACCAGGTGAGGCGTCGGTGGCTCACCACCACCTTCCTACGAAGAGCACCTTCCGGTCAATCTCTCCCAAGGCGTTCACCTATTCACGTCCCGTCGAATTCCTCTGCGTCACGAATGCGTTGATCACCTTCAGTCAGGCTTGTCCTTGTCGGTCTGCATCAGAGATTGAAGATATATTCTGTCTCTGTCTTCTTCTGTACTTTATCCAGTCAGCTGCCACTTGCTCCAGTATCCTCACAACCATCGAACGTAGAGTCCTGCCATCATTGCGACCTGCACACCAAACACACTCAGCAGACACAACGCAACACCCGCCAAAACATCAACACTCTTTCATCATGGCCACCACGGTCAAGTTCGCGCTCCCATCAGGGGCACAGTACTTTACACCATTCGCTGTATTTCCAGTGGAGATTCGCCTCCAGATATGGGAGGCTGCCATATTCGAACCTGGCATGCACTTTCTCAGGATTGTGCCCAACGAAGACCAGGGCCACGTCCTCGCCCGAGTCATCCAAGGCTCCCGTCGTTTCCTCCTTGTCAGAGCACATCTCGCTCCCATATTCCCGAATCCGAAAGCCGACAACTCACATTACGTCGCCCTCGCAAAGGTCCTCGACACCCTTTCCAACACCTGCAGTGAGGCCAAGCGCGTGGTCCAGCGCCTTCTTCGGGACCCGGGCACACTCGAGGTCAACGGGCAGCCCATCGCCCTGACCTCTCACGCCCAGGACATCGTGTGCCTCGACTACCTCCCATCGGACCTCTTCTACAGTGGGTGCCGCATATCACACGACTTTCGGTGTCCAGGTCTCGACAAGATTCGCCATCTGGCCGTCAGGTACTGCCACAAGTGGGAGACGGTGGTCTTGCTGTGTGAAGCCTGTGGCGGTTCGCACATGCGTGAGACGACCAAGAACCACCCCGTCCACGCCTATCAGTTCCTTGCGCGGCAGTGTCCCAACCTGGAGACGTTCTACCTCATCGACTACTTGATATTGCGAAAGGAAGCAAATGAAGCTGCGGGTCAGTTGAGCAACCTCGATCGGAAGCCTGTCACTGGACATTCTTCAGATGGCCAAGTGCCTCCGCCGGTGCAAAGTATGCCTACTCGAAGGGCATATCGGGAAAGTCCAAAGTTCACAAGTAGCGGTCGAACTTATTTCGAGATAGCTCGGGACCAGGATGACTGGCTCGTCCAGTCGCGCGTATTTGAGACTCTCGACTGGATTCAAAAGAGCTTTCGCCGATACGCTGTCGAGAGCACCACCACTCGCCACCGGCACAGCCGACCCCTTCAGGTCCAATTCAAGGTCCTCTCTTGCGAATGGGACGTTGTCCAGGCGACAGCGGCTCCGAGACCGAAGATTGTTGCGCAGCGAAAAGGAAACAACAAGCGCATGTTTGCCGGCGATGCAACGGAGCCCGCCCGCAAATCGGCCAGATCGACCAGCAACCAGTCCATGACTACAGTCTCTGTGCCGTGCAGTCAACGGATGGGTTTCGTGTTCGGGCAGGGAGAGCATCACGACTTTGTTTTCGGGAGAGGCGGTCGCCGCGGTCAGTAGCCCGGGCGCGCATCTGGTGTCTTCATAAACCCCTAGGTAACATGGAATGAAAAGCGGCTGACTTTGATCACACATTTCTACAAACGAGAGATCAAGCTCAATACGTGACTTTGGAATCTGATCCCTCGGTGACGGATCGTCCTGTTCCGCCTCTGCTTTCAGTAACGTGCATGATCCTTCTGCTGCAGGGCGGCCGCCATGCCCAGAGGATCGGAAAGTGCATGGCGATCCTTCAAAATCAGCCACGACAACAAGCAGCTTGCCTCAGCTCCTCACGACCAGTGGGCGAGCCCTCAACTTTGCTCTCAGACTTTGATCTCTACTTGGACCACGTCACCGTGAATACGTGGCTTCATTGCCCTCCACCAAGTCTGTCTCAATCGGCCGGATCGCACTCGGAGCCGCATGAGACATCACGGCAGCAGCGGCTCGCCATGCCTAGTGGTTCGGAGCACTAGCCGCCCCTCACGGGCACAACATCTCAATCGAGCATGAGGCATCTGTGGCAAGCTGTTGACAACCCCTGCCGCGACACCCAGGACACCCAGGCGACCGCCACGAGGCCCCTCGCTTGAAGACTCCGCATCACACCTGCACGCTGCCCCCTCCAAAAGATCCTCAGGCTGAGCAAGGGTTCCCCGGTCACTCACAAAAGTTCCCCAGATGGCAGGCCCTCGTGGCCCGCGCCTGGCAGCTCGACTATCGCGCCCCACGCGAGGACAATGTCCCGGCGGACCGACGTCGGTGCGTGATGAAGACGATACGCAGGATCCAGATCCGTGGATGAGCGAAGCTGCATTAGCCCGACCGTGCGGCTGGAATTCCGCCGGCTGGGGTTGCGGTCCGATGCTGCCACCATCCATCCCCACGTGGAACTCGATCTAGATGCGTCGGGCTCGTTATTCTCGTTTCTCCTCAGCTAGCAAATGTTGATAAAGATGTGAGCATGGCGCACATTATGCCACCATGTTTGGGGCACTTAGTCTGAAAATTCATTACTTTCCCAACTCACGAGAATGGTTCGAGTCCTCCCATCACTTCTCGCCATTGGCGCGGTTTTGGACCTGGCATTGGCCGCCTGTCTTTCTACGCCCAAGGCTACAACGCTGAACGGTACATACACTGGTGTCCGCATCCGCGAGTTTGATCAAGAGGCTTTTTGGGGGGTACGCTATGCAAAGGCTTCTCGTCTTCGCAACCCTCAGTCCTTGACCGATTCTTGGGAGGGCGTAAGGTCTGCGGCGTCTTACGGCGCACTCTGTCCGACCACACCCAACCCGACTGCTTTCGCCGACGCAGGGTTCAAGTACAGCGATGACTGCCTCAACCTCAATATTCTCCGTCCAGCCCGTACAACACCTGGTGACAAGCTGCCTGTTGCGGTATGGATCCATGGAGGTAGCTTTTCAGCCGGTTTCGGAACTGACGGCAATACAAACACATCCTATGTCGTCAAGGCGAGCGTGGAAAACGAGCTTCCAATCATCACAATCACGCTCAACTATCGTCTTGGCTTCCTCGGCTTTCCTGGAGGTCCTGATGCCACGGCTGCTGGCATCACGAACCTCGGTCTCAAGGACCAGCATCTTGCTCTGCGCTGGATTCAGGAGAACATTGCCGCGTTCGGTGGCGACCCTGACAAGGTGACCCTCTGGGGTCAATCGGCTGGCGCCATGTCCATCACCCACCAGCTCCTTGCCTACGGAGGAAACGGTGCTTCCGGTCTATTCCGCGGTGCCATCGCCGTGAGCGGAACCGGCGGCCTGGGCACTAATAGCCTGACCCCCGACGAGGCGCGAGTGTCGCAGGCCTACGACACCGTTCTCAACCTGACCAGTTGTGCGAATGCCGGGGACAGACTCGAGTGCCTACGAGAGGTAGACTACAAGGCCCTCTACGACGTCGGCCAGCAGGCCTCCGCGGCGGCAGGCCTTGCGCCCTTGTGGTGGCCCTCCGTCGATGGGGATTTCATCACCGAGTCCCCGAGCCTGCAGCTCGCCGCCGGTCGTTTCCCACGCGACATCAACTTCATCAGCGGCACCAACAGCGACGAAGGCCTACTCGTAGCTCAGCTGCTCCAGCAGTTCTTCGGGCCGATCGAAGATGACGCGACGCTCCTCTTCATTCTTGGCGCTCTCTTCTTCCCAGCTGCCCGGCCAGAGGTTCTGCAGAAGATCTTCGACGCGTACCCCGTGGACGCGCCGTCGCCGCCGTACTCGTTGCCCATGAAAGCTGCCAGTGGCGAGGACGTCTTCTGCGACGCCATGAAGGCGGCAGGCCAGCTCTGTGGAGCGCAGTATAGGCGCACGGCCGCCATTTTTGGCGACTTTCAGATCATCAACGGGCGGAGGTTCTTCGCGGAGAGTCTTGCCAAGCAGGGCGTTGACGTGTTCAGCTACAGGTACGTGTTTGTGTGCAATACGGCAGACAGTTAAACTGACAGTGTCAGGTTCGACACGAACCCGACTTCCATTCCGATCAGCAGCATCCTGACCCCCGGTTTCACGGCGCATTCCACCGAGTACACGTACTTCTTCAACCTGCCGCCTGGGTATAACATGTACGGTATGAACCCGCAGGTTGTGAACATCAGCTCTCACCGCGGGCTTTCGAGGGGCATCGTGGATAAATTCATCTCGTACATTGCTACTGGTGATCCCAACACGTTTAAAGGTTTGTTGTCCTCCTTTGATACTTGCGGTGGACGAGTCTGACAATGGTATAGTGGACTTTATCCCGAAGTGGCCTACATACGACTTGGCGTCACCAAAGAATATGCTCCTCAACGCGACCGAGTCTGATAATGAGATCAATGTTCGTCTTGAGCCCGATACGTGGCGTGCCGAAGGCATGGCTTTGTGGCCGCAGTATCCGATTGAACTTGACCTTGGAAGTACATGGAGGCCGCAGAAGTGATTTCATTTGAGTCAAGATCAAAACAAGTGAAAGAGGGGGATTGGAATAATGCTAATACATAATCATGAGCATCCGTTGAGCAAGCATCGTCTGGTGATGTTCAACTCGACCGTACACCCCTACGGACTGGGGAATTGTTCGGTCATGAGATCAAACCTGCGATCGAGTGATCATTGTAGAAGAATGGGAACAAATCACGGCATGGTTTTAGGGGATTCATATATATTACGGCTCAATGATTTACAGCTCCTTAGTCCGACAATGAATGTAATATTTACCCGACGCGTGCCAAAGAGCAGCTTCCGCCGGTTCAGAGGCCCACAGATTACGCAATGAAGCTTCAGCTGCTTATTCTTCTCATCATTCAGAAGGTCGCACAATAAGTATGACGCCAGCGAACCGATGGGTAGGCGGGATCCCATACGTGGCTATCTTCCGGCCGCGGTGCTCCATCACGACCCCACTGCGGTGGTGGCTTCCGATACTGAAGTGGAGGATCGGCAGTCGATGACTTGGTTCAGCCAACGACGAGTCGAGCCTTCGTCAGACTCATGAAGCGTGTCGCATGTGAGCCACGGTCGAGTGTTCCTGGCGTCTCGGCAATCTCATCTATCTCCGACTTGATCATGGCATTCTGCTGCCTTGGCTTCCCCATGTTGCGGCCGGGCCAGGCTTCTCCGTGAGATCTGCGCCGGGTCGCGATGATCACCCGAGCATCACACTGTGGCAATCTACCGAAACGAACAAATCCTTCGTTCCGTACCTGGTGCAACCTTGACTTGGTGAATGATTGAGCCCCAAAGGTCGTTACTCACTCATGTGGATCGTGTCAATAACACTTGACAAAGTCAATACGTGCCAGGTCGCTTTGCCAGGTCGCTTTGCCAGTCTCTCATATGGCATATAAGAACGAAACATGAAAATGTTTCTAGGTTTTTGACAGCACATCCTACTACTTCATCTTGTCTTTCAGCCTCTTCACCTACCCCAATCACAAGATGCGCACCTCTTCGATTCTGAGCGCCCTGGCGGCGGCTGGCGCAGTAGCCGCTCGTCCATCCATCTGGTCTCGCCAGAACGACGCCGATGCCAACCCATTTGAGGGCCGCCAGCTGTTCGTCAACCAAAATTACACGGCCAAACTCGAGGAAACCCGCGAGGCCTTCCTCACGGCCGGCGACAATGTCAATGCCGGCAAGGTCCAGTACGTTCAAGAGTCTGTCGGAACCTTTGTTTGGATCTCCAACATTGCGAGCCTTGGCGACATTGACGGCGCCATCGAATCTGCCCGTGGCGTCCAGCAAGAGACGGGCGAGGAACAGATCGTGGGCCTAGTGCTTTACAACCTTCCGGACAGAGACTGCAGCGCTGGAGAGAGTGCCGGGGAGCTCAGCCTGGCCGAGAACGGACTGGAGAGATACAGGACAGAATACGTCGACCAGTTCGCTGCGAGAGTTCAGGCTGCTTCTGACCTTACCTTTGCCATTGTTCTGGAGCCCGATGCGGTCGGCAACATGGTGACCAACCAGGCCATCGAGTTCTGCGCCAATGCCGCCGAGCCGCAGAGGGACGGTATCGCCTACGCCATCGCCGAGCTGCAGGCTGATAACATCCACCTTTACATTGACGCCTCCCACGGCGGATGGCTGGGGTGGGATGACAATTTGGCGCCGAGTAAGTCGCCATCTACACCCTCACGACGGAGGAGGTCTAACGCTATGGTACAGCTGCCAAACAGTTTGCCACCATTGTAGCAAAGGCTGGCCCCAACGCGAAGATCCGTGGCTACTCGACCAATGTCTCCAACTACAACCCCTTCTCCACGACGACTCCCGAGCCCTACACCGAGTTTAGCAACTCCTTCGACGAGAGCCACTATGCCCTCTCCCTGGTTCCGCACCTCGAGGCTGAAGGGCTTCCCACCCGCTTTATCATCGACCAGGGCCGTGTGGCCGTCCAGGGCGCCCGCGCCGAGTGGGGTGAGTGGTGCAACGTCGAGGCCGGATTCGGGCAGCCCGCGACAACGCAGACAGAGAACCCGCACGTGGATAGTATTGTCTGGATCAAGCCCGGCGGTGAGAGTGACGGCGCCTGCGGCATCGAGGGTGCGCCTAATGCGGGCGCTTGGTTTGATGAGTATGCGCAGCTGCTGACGAAGAACGCGCATGTGGCTTTGCAGCCGGCTGTGAGTGTCTAGACGAGCTGTACGATGTGGTCGTGTGTCGCACAGTTCGCGACGAGGGGTCAGGGTACTGAGAATTTTATCAGTTTAAAACGAGACATATCCATCTACTCGAAGAGGATGGGTCCAACGCTGAATGAACTTGTCCTCAGTTCAAATTGTGGGCTTGAGAACGCAATCATTTCACTCATACTCAGGGCCGATGTATTCATCACTTGGGAATATGTTGGAATATTGTAATTATTTGGATAATGTTACAAACGTTATAAAGTCGATTCATCGATTAAAGTGTCGCTGGTCGTGAACATGAAACTGGTGAGACAGGGGACTCTCAATCCTTCCCAGAGTCCTTGCCGGCCTCCTCTTCAGCAGACTGGGCTGCCAGGAGGGCTTCGCGCCGTTGACGATTACGTTTGCCGAGGACGCGTAATGTGTTCTCTTTCTCAATCTCATTCATCTCGGCCCAGTTGTTGATGCGGGACAAGGTGCCGTTGACGTTAACGACGACGGGTCCCAGGGCGTCCATACTGACTGTGCCTCCGAGAGTGAGGTTGGTGGAGCCATCCGAGGTATCCGAGGTGGATTCGGTGGATGGCAAAGCCAGGGGTGCGGTTGGCTTGCTGTCGCTCATGTTGCGAAACAGGGTGTGAGAGATTATGGGTGTGGGCGTGAAATGGCGGAAATGAATCGCTGCGAATGACTTGAGCATGGTGTTGATGTTGATGGCTTTTCTGTCGTGAAGAAGAAGATTTGCAGAACGTGCCAGAAGTTTTGAGCTGGTACGAATGGCTGTGCATGGGTCCTGTGGCTGTGTCACATCAACTGTGGCGTCGTCTCCCCCTCAAATCAGGGATATCTTGGCTGGCTTCTACCATGGCATTATCCATTTCGCGATCGGCTCTGAAGAAGCTGACGCTTTATATCACATGTGGAAAAGAAGTCCTACCTCAGCCTTCAAGGATGACGCGAGTCCTAACATCCGTGGCTGAAAACAACAACATGCCCCATGCAACGCAGCCGCATGTGATTGGCTTTTTCCAAAACATATTCTCAGTAATCCAAGTCTTACTAAGTGACATTGACCTACCTTGAATATTCATTATGCAGTCTTATAAGAAGGCTAGCACCATCGCCGTGTCGGATACGACGTAGGAGTACGTCGCAGGCCAGGACACTAGTGGAGAGCGCAAAGATGCCGAAACCCCATCCGCCCGGGGGTTAGGGTGCTACCCTGTCGGGTTGGATCGGTGAGAGCGTCAAATTTTGAGGGGAACTCCCCTTCCATTCCAACATTCCGAGGTGGCCCATTGTTATCACCCTACAAGTGTTCGGAGAAAGCCTCGTCCCTTGCACAAGAGAGCCTGCTTACGATAACAAACGACTGCACTATTGTGATCACGTCGCAAATGAGCTTGACTGCCTCCTACTAGCTGACCTTTTTATTCACTTGCCGCACTTCGATAAAAAATGTCTCAAGTCGACAAGGCAACTGTTCTCGACCTTTTACAGTGGCCAACTGCGCAAAAGTTCGTAGAGCGAGCGAGCGAGTTCTTGAGCGAAGTCCAAGACTTGTAAGCTATGTCTCATCCAAACGGCCTTCGAGAAAGCTAACGGTGAATCCTTCCCGAAATTAGGACCCCCGGAAAGGACCTTGAAGCCAGGCTCAACAAAGAGTACGGCCCTGGAAATTCTTACTACGAAGACTTTTGCTTCTATATCAAACAGGGCGTTAAGGAGGGATGGGTCGCCCAAACTGAACTTGATGGCCCAAAGTACCGCCGGGGAAGAATCACCGACCCGGTAGCCAAGACCAGGTTCTTCAGCATCACCACTGTCTTCATGGACAGCCAGGAAGTTTATACTGGCCAATATCACGCTCATCCATACGGAGAGATCAACTGCGTCATACAAATCGATTCGACGGCGGAGCTGAAGGGCATGCAGGGCTGGCAGGCAGCCGGTTGGACTTGCCCTGGACCCGGCACACACCACTATCCAGAGGTGCGAGGCGGCGCGTTGGTCGCGTTGTTTTTCCTCCCTGCTGGCCGCATCTCATACAATGCAAAGCCCGAGATGCCGCAACCTCTGTCTGTTTAGGCCTAGCACGCGTGGCGGGAAGATTCACGATAGTGTTGTCGTAACACTTAAAGGATATACCTTGCGTAAGGTCCGTTACCCGCCTCTCCTTAATGTACCTGAATGATATTGGAAATTCCACTCTGGGAAGATTAATCATCGAGCGGACATCTTCTGAGGTATTCATTTCAAGAGATCGCTTCGGCAGGGACACGGCTCTGCCCTACGTGGTTGAATATCTCTTTACGATCCTTACTGCTCGTTGAAACTATGATGTTGATCAAAGATAGATCTTTCTACCATCAATGCTCCAGTCATTATGAATGAATACTCAATATTTCTGGCTACTGTCAACTCACAGGCTGATTACAGTGCAACCTTTATCATCACCACCGCAGCCTTCTTCATGGCACATAATTCTCAATTGCTAAATTAGTGAAAACATACTTAGCCACATGGCCAGGAGTACCGACATCGGAGCCAACGGTACGTGTTGTGTCATCTCTTCGATAGTAGCGGCCTATATGAAAAGAGAGAAAAGGCCACTCTGAGTGATTCTCCTGTATCTAGGCATGTTCGGAAATATCGGTGAATCTGGCGTAGACAACTTCTCCAAGTTTACCCTTGTGATGTATCTCTATCACCTGCAGGTTTGACACACGTGAAATCCAAAAGGCCTTCATCAACGTTGACGCAAGCATAAACTGGCGGCTTCCCGCTGGGAACATTGATGGTGATATTCTCAGCACGAATGTTGCCGCAGCGCTGAGTGAAAGAAAGAAAGGTCAGATCATGGTGGCACAGCATTGCGAGTTCATCACTTACGTCAGGAGCACTGCAGACTAATGTACCAGCTTGCGGGTCGAGTGATTCCGAGGTTGTCCCCCACATGTTCTTCATCGTGATATCCTCAATCGTCAGGTTTGCCTAAAGCACCAGTCAGCTTTTTATCAACACAAGGGTGTAAAAGCTCACAGGATGCTCATAGCACAGAGTCTGGTTCTTCTGCCCGTAACACTGTGTAATTGTGATTGCTCGATCGTTGTTCTCGTGGTAGAATGTGTCCCAAGTTACATTCTTGACACGACCGAGCCCCCCTCCACCATTGAGCAAGGTCTGGAAGGAGGTCTCAATACCTGGCCAGACTTTTATGCGCGCACCGTCACTCGCATTGGCCATAGAGATATTGTAAATGTAGAGATCCTCGACAATGTCGACCTCCCCTGCATACTGGCCGAGAGAACCTACACTGATTCCGTGTGACCCATGGCAAACAAGATTCTGGATCACGATATTGGTGCTGTTCGGCTTGAAGGAGACGCAATCTGTTCGATCATTTAGATTCATTTCCGAGATTGTGTCATTTGAAATCGCCGTACCGTCAGTATTCCAAATAATCGAGTCTTGGATCACGACACGGTCGGATCGATACGTATCCCAACCATCCGAATTGGCTATCACAACCCCATCACGACTCTTCGTATGATCAGCCAAATCTCTAGTGCTCTGATAATTAGATGGCTTACCGTTGCGTTCAAGTGCATGTTGCTAATCAATATGTCGGAGCTATTGGCGATGATATTAAACCACTAAACACAATGAATCCGCTTTGATGAGCCTCGGAAACCTTCCAGTGCGCAGGAGTATCAGGAGGGAGCCAACTGTTGCTTACTCACATGGGGCGGGTTTCTCATGCGCATATTAGACATAACTGCCCCGTGCATGCCATCAAAGGCAAACAGCATGGGGCGGAAGAGCTGTATCAGTCAAGATCAGCAGCAATGTATATCTAGTGTCAGTGTTCGACATACGCTCTTATTTGTCCTGATCTCTTCCCAATAGGCTTGACCGTGGCCATCGATAACCGACTGGTCATTCCCAAGATCGCCGTAGATGTTGACGTCTTCGCCGCCGAGCTTCCAAAATACGGACTGGTTCTGAAACTTATATTTGAAGCTGTTTTCGGCCCAGTAGTAAACGTCTTCGTCCGCAAAATGAATTTCGCCAGTTATAACGATGTCGATGTGTCTCAGAAAGGTCAGGTCCAGGGGAGAGGCGATGCGATACACCTTGTCGAGAACCACGGTACCGCCGTTGTTGCATTTCTTTATGGCAGCGAGGATTCGCGGAGCGTCATCTCCATCATTGCTGCAGCTGGCAGGGACATGGCAATACCGGTCTTTCTCGCGTGTCGGAGAAACAGGAAGCGCCCTTCCAGTGTTGTATGGAGCTGCCTCAATTGACGGTCGTATGGGGATGGACTGAGGACTGGAATGGGCCGAAACAAGTGCAAGACTGGACAGGTTCAAAAGACCAACAAGAAGTTGCGGACCGAAAATCATCGTGGAATACTTTGTGGAGGGAGACTTGGGATCATATGAAATGGCATAGCAATCCCGTCTTGCCATCCGCATCCAGGCCCGGTATGACGCGCAGTTGTTGCGTGTTTATATTCAATTCGAAGACCCCATACAATCGACATTGTTCGGGAGAAAAGCTGACGAGAAGTAAGTGCATTGCGGTTGGAACAATCCTTCCAGCTTCACCGTACCTCCCATACGTGGAAATATTCACTTGCTGAAGTCAGGCTCGGGACGTCGGCAGAGTTCCCCACGGTTGGCGATGATCACCTTTTGTCGATCATGCTTGAATCAGCGGCGCCGCAAAACATTGGCTGCAGCAGTCTCGAAGTGACCCTACTGCATGACGGTGCGGGGGGTCAACACTGGAGACATTTGACGGATCAAGCGGGGAAGCTTCTTGTTACGATTGTCAAAATAAAACATCATAGGATTATCCAAACAGCCCCCCATCTGCATCTGTGCTTGTAGTTAAATGTTCACTACTGTTGCCAAAATACCAAGCATGGCTGACTCATTATTTTGCCCTGTGCCTTTGTCCTTGTTCAATGCAGGACAAGATCGTCGAACGGACATCCCTGATCAGCCGACTTGCGCTTCGTCTTCTCCATGACCACCTTCCGCGTCAACTCCATCAATCGATCCCCCAGTTCGTCATCCTGCGCCAGCTTGCTGCCGGCCTCGGGCACAATGGGAGGACAAAGGTACTTTCCTGATTCCTTCGTGACTGTAGCTGCGTAAACAGTCGGCACAGCACCTTCAAACTGATCTTTCTTGAAAGGTTCCATGCCAACAGTCATACCATAGCCAGCCAAGGGGAAGCTGTCAGGGTTAGCGAGCTCGTCAAAGGGGTGATATTCAGAATATCTTACGCCTCGAGGATGTCGACCTTGGTCTGTTTCGTGCTGACGAAGCCAGGGTGCGTCGCGTTCATGACAACGTCCGGGTGTCCGTTGGCCGTGACCTTTCTGGCGAAGTATCGCGCATACAAAATGTTCGCTAACTTGCTGCGCCCATAATTGGCGTTCAAACCCTTGTCTTCATTGATCTCATTGAGGCTCTCGAACTTGATGTCCGACGGCGCGCCCTGGTGAGCATTGCTTGCCTGGACCGTAATGCGAACAGTGTTACCCTTTTCCGCCGTGGACTTCATCAGTGGCAACAAATGGCTCGTTAGCACGACGTGGCCCATGTGATTGATGGCCATCTGACGATCAACACCAGACTCTGTCAGCTCATGGGGCATGATGCCACGTCCGGCATTGTTCACGAG